AATTAATTTATAAAAAAGCTTTTAATTTAAACTAAATATATTTAAAAATAAAGTAAAAATATTTAAAAGCAATTAAAGCTATTAAACTCTTTTATTAATATAAAGCTAAAAAAAAATATTATATATTACTAAAAAAACAATATTTAACTAAAAATATAATTTTTATTTATAATTATATATAAAAATAAATTATTTAATAAAAGCAAAATAGCCTATTAATAAAAAATTTATTTATTATTTATAAAGCCCTTAATAATAATATATATTATTTATAAACCTTAAATAAAATGGTTTTATAAAGAATATTTATAATAAAAACTTAAAACTATTTATTAAAAATAAAAACTAAATATATAATATCTATTTATATTTATACCTTAAAAAATATTAATAAAAATTTAAATAAAATCCTTTTTTAAATAAAAATTTAATTACCTAAAACCACTTTACCTTTATTAAAACTATAAAATAACCCTTTTAAATTCTAAAATTTAATTTACCATTTAAATAAAACTCTTTAAATAACTCTAAACTATTTATATACTTTTAATACCTTTTATTATTAAATAATAAAATTTTAATTTAAAATTATTAACCCCATTTTATTTTTATAACTAATAAATTATTTAATTACTTATTTCTAATATAAAAAAGCTAAATAAAATAAAACTTATTAATAACCATAATATATTAAAATTTTATTAAAAAAATCTTTAATAATCCCCCATTTAATTATTTTTATATTTTATTAAGCCTTTAACCTAATAAAAAAAAATATAAATTATATTTATTTATTTATTTATTTTAATTTTCCTTTTCTTATATTATAATATTATATTTATATACCCTTTATTTAATATAATATATTTATTTTATTTAATTTTATTAATAATTTTAAAACTTATAAAATTTTATTATAATATATAAAAACTTTAACTTTTAATAATATTTTACCTTATTTAAATTTAACATTTATTTATTTACTTATTAATCTTAATTTTATTTTTATTATTTCCTTTATTATTTTTACTCTCTTTATTATACTTTTAAAATTTATTAAACTCCTCTTATTACTCTTTTATTATTTTTTTATATATTTTATTTAATTAATTACTTTTTTAAAATTGCTTTAACTAAAATTTAATATACTAGCTTTATAAAAAATATTAACCTATAAAACTATTAAAATTAAAAACTAAATAAAAAAAGTTATATTATTATAGCTTATTTAATAATATATTTATATATATATATATTAAAATTTCTATAATTATATTTGCAACTTAACTTTATATAATAAATATAATTTATATAAGTTTTACCTATTATTATAAAATAAAAATATAATAAAAAGGGTAATTAATATAAAATAAAATTACCTTATTATATTTATTTTTATAAATATAAATGGTTAATATATAATAGCAAGTATAATAAGAATAAAAGCTATATTTTAGTAATTTTATAATATAACTAATAGTAATTAATATTGCTATAAATAAATAAATATTTACTAAAAGTATTCTTTAAAGGGGTAAAATCTAATATAATATATAAAATATTTTATATAGATTAATTAATATAAAGGTAATAAACTTATTAGTATTATAAAAATATTATTTATTAATTTAAATAGCTTATTAATATTATTTAACTTTTAAATATAATAAAAGTAAATCCCTATTTATATTTATAATATAAATAAAAATAGCTTGGTTTATAATCTACTAATTAATTATTTAAATATTTATATTATTTTTAATAAATAACTCCTTTTATAAACCAAATATATTTAATACTAATATTAAATCTAACTAGTTATTAAAGGCTTAGGTAAATAACCTTATATTTAGCTTATTTACTAATATTATTAAAAATATAATAAAAGTTTATAAAAATAAAGTTATAAAGTTAAAATTATTATTATAAAAAAAAAAAAAGAATTAAAAGTTATATAAAAAAAAAGAAAAGTTTAAATAATAACTAAAAGTAATAAAAAGCTATAAAAAAAAAGCTAGTAATTTATTTAACCTTACTAGTTATTTAAATAAGTAACTATTTAAAATAAGCTAGTAATAATTCCAACTACTTATAAGCTAGCAACTTAAAATGTAATTTTTAATTTAATATAACTAACTTTAACCTTCTTCCTTTTAATAACTACTTTATAAAAAAGGCTATAAAAAGTCTTTTAATAGCTATTAATAATAAAATTTAAGTAATTTTTCCTTTTAAATACTAAGTAAAAAAAAGGTTATTTACTTTTTATTGCCGCTAAATATATTTAACTTTAATTATTGCAATAAAAAGCTCTAGTTATTTATAACCCTTTTTACTAATAACTTTTATAATATTCCTTTCTTTCCTAATTAATTATATAATATTTTTTAAAGTTGCAAGCTTTTTCTTATATATAAAACCCCTTTTTATTATTTAAATTTATTTACCCTATTATTTAATATGCTATTATTAAATAAACTTTTTAACTTTTTTATTAAATTATATATTAGCTTAAAATTATTTTAATATAATACTTTTAAAAATAATAAAATAAAATAATTTATATATTTTTATATTTACTTAAATAATAATAAAATTTTAAAAAACTTAAATATTATATAATTAATTTAGCAAAATTTTATATTTGGTTAAATTTATTAAAAATATTCTCCTTTTATATAAATATAACCTTAAAGCCTTAAATAAAGTATATTATTAATTACTTTTTTAACTTACTAATAAAAATAAATATAAAAATAAAGTTTATAATATTTACTTAGCAAAATACCTTATATTTTTATAAGCTAAAGGAATTTATTTTAAATAATTAAAAATTAATTAGTACCTATATTTAGGCTGGAATAGTTTTTTAATTAATATTTATAAAATATAGCTTATATTATTAATATTATAATTAAATTTACTAATAAAAATATAATAATTAAGAATATAATATTTAATTTAAAAATAAATGGCTAGTTACCTTTATTATTTATATAGCTATTAATAAATACTATATATTTTACTAGGCTAATTGCAAACTTAAAAATTTTTATAATTAACTTAAACTATAAAGGCTATAAAAGCTTTTTAATAATTATTATATATAGCTAAATAACTTTATTTATATATATTTAAGTAAAAGAATTATAAGGTACTTGCCCCTAATATAATATATTTATTAAATACTATATAATTTTTAAAAGCATTTAATAATAGCCTTTATATTATTAATAACTTTTAAATATTTTTTAAAAACTAAAAATTATTTTATTTAAAGCTTTTATAAATATATAAATTAAATAAAAGCCTTTTATTTATAATAAATTTTATTTAAAATATAAAAATAAAAAAATATAATAAAAATATAATAATTATAATTATTTAAATAAAACTTAAAAGTAAAGGCTATTAATTTTATTAGCCCAAAACTATAAGTTTTAAATAAAGCAAATATTATAAAAAAATAGTACTTTTAAAATAAAAGCTATTTTTATATTTAATTATAAACTAGTTTTTAATTTAACTTGCCTATTTTTAAACTTTTTATTAAAAATAAAGTTAATTTATTTAGCTATAAAAATATTTAGTTTTAATTATAGCTATATATTACTTTATAATTAACTAATAATTTAAGTTTTACTAAAAATTTAAAGTGCTATTAAAACTTTAATTTATATAATTATTAAACTTGCCGGCCTATATTTTATTTTAAAATAAATTTTTTAAAAACTCTACCACTAAATATATTTATATAAAACTTTATAATAAAAGTAAAAACTAATACTTTTAAATATTACTTATATATATAAAAGTATTTCTCTAAGCTAAATAACTCCTATAAAAACTATATATAAAAATAAGTATTTATTATATACCTTTAAAATATAAGGTATTATTTCTTTTATTACTAATAATAATAATAATAATTAACCTATATAGTTTTATAATTTTAAGCTAATTAATACTACCTTTATTATAACGGCTAATATTAGCCCATTATTAACTTAATTATTTTATTAGTTATTTTTTTAATTATAAAAATTATAAATATTATCTTTATTTAAATATTCTAGCTTTATTTATAATTAAAATAAAAATATAATATTTACTAATAAATAAATTATAATATTAACTTTTAAAAATAGGCCTATATAAAAGCTAAAAAACTAAAATATAAAATATAATTTAAAAATTAAATAAAAATTTATAAAAATAATAATATATTTTATAACTTTTAGTATATTAATTTTATTTTTAGGACCTAACTTTATTTATTTTTATATTTATATTATAATATTTTTTAATATTCTTTTTAACATTTTCTATTTATATAAATATTAAACCTATATTATTACCTATATATTTAAATATATATATATTAGTGGAGGTATAAGTTAATAAGGGCCTTTATATTTATAAATACCCTATATAAAAAAATACCCATTTACCCCTCTTTTAAGTAGTTAAAAGAATTTAATTCTTTTTTATTTTTCTTCTAAATACATCTAAATTAAGAAATTTTTACTATCTCCCTTCATCCCGTATAAGCGCTTCCTTGGGCCTGCAATTAAGCGCTTAACTAGCCCACTTATACTCTAATTTAATATCTTCTAACTTTATTTATATAATATAAAGTTTAACTATATATTTATATATTATATTCTTTTTTTAATATTATTAATACTATATTTTTTTAAATATTAAATTTTAAGTATTTATTATTATATAAAAATTAAAAATAAAACTATATAAAACTACTATTAATTTAAATTTATTATTTATTTTATACTATTTCGCATAGCTTTAATTCTTCTCATTGAAACATATTAAATAGTACACTACTATGGATTATAAGTAAGTTGTATGTGACATACGCCCCAAGGCACTCATTCTTTTTCTAGGGGTCAAGAGCTGTTTTCACATAGCGTTATTGCTATATCTGGAGATTCAATCCTGCCCAGTCCCGGTAGGATTTCAGAACTTATATGCATAAGCAGCCTGGTTTATGGGCCTTCCTGGCTACCGGAAGACTAGCTGCATTTCCGTTCGTTGAATACCTGCACTTGAAGCGAAATCATAGGAGTTATCTAGGTTTATCTTATATTCTTTTGGCATTTATTGGTGAATTATCCTGCAATCCCTCCTCATCATTCAGTCCATTAGGCTGCCTCGTACTCTCACAAACCGCCATGCCACAGCGGCTAAGCCGAAGCCGACCTTTCGACCATGGTCAGCGCCTTGCAGCAGAAAGCTTAGTATTGAGTTATAAATACTCACAGCGGCAACATAGAAAGGCAAGCCTTGAAGCATTCCATCCATGCGCATTGACCTTGCAAATATTCTGAGCAAGATGGGGTCGCCAGCCATTCGCCCGACCCCTTCGACAATCTGAGCAATTCCAAAAGTGCTCGCGCGCGTGTCCTCGTCGGTCCAAGACGTGATGAGGGACAATACTGCAACTCTGGTCCCGTACCCGGTTGCAAAGAGAAGGGTAGCTGGATTGTGTAAGTCCCATGTGAAACCGGTGTGCAGACTGAGCAGCTGTTCACGTACCGCAGATGAGCCAATGCATCGAAGAGGCCAGGCCCATAAACGTTGCACCGACCGTCAGAATGACGAGACTGGCGGACACAACGTTGTAGTCAATGAGCTGCGGCATGATGCGCCACCTAGATGTGAGAAAAGCGACAGTCTGCGGGAGGACTACGAGGAACAGGACGATATTGCTAGCAGCGATGACCGAGACCAACATCGCAGTCCGTGATGTCGGCCAGCCAAACCGGACCGCGGCGTACTGGAGCAACACGGACACGGTCCCCTGCCTCAGTGCGCCGATGAAAAGCACGAAGAGGGCGAGCAGAATATTCCTATTCCTCACCACCGACAAAAGGCTCCTCCGGGGCCGTGCATCTGGCTCGCCTGCAGGGTCTATTGGGGCAGACAGAAGCTGGTCTGTCTCGCGAGCCTCGCTCTGATCCTTGTCTGACGAGCTCGACGAGCGTCGGCTGTGCGTAGTGGCCAGCGGGGACTCACCCACCCGATGCGTCTCTGGCATCACATGCAGGATCGGAAGGCAGGTGAGCAGAGATGCAAGCCCGACGCCGAAAGGAATAAGTATATTCCTCTCGAGCGTCACGGAGGCCAGGGCCGGGGCAAACAGCTCGCAGACGAGGAAAGTGGAATACAGGTAGTAGAAATAGCGGCTCCTGTGTGCGGGAGGGCATGAGTCGGCTGCCATTGCATATATCGTGGCATTCGCCGACGACAGGTTGCCCATGAGGAGAAAGGCTGAGCCAGCCCAGATCATGCTCATGCCTCGTTCCTGCAGTCCTCCCATGCCTGGGCGACGTCGTGATGGTGAGCATCATTGTTTTGTTTTGTTTTGCTTTGCCTCGCGCTCATGCCTTGCAGGGGCCACGACCCTTTGTAAAGTTACGGAAACAGAAATAGATCGACTCACAGACAAGGAGTATCCAACAAAGTTGCAAGATGGGACCCAGGACGCTGGAAGCGATAACCTTCTTTCGCCCGACCCTGTCAGCCAGGATACCCATCGGTATGGCTGTAATAAGGACTGCGGAAAATTGTGAGTGACAAGGCAGCCTCTCCACGGGCCCGCCGGCCCAGGGGGCAGCTCATTAAGCTTACTTGCGATGCCGTCAAAGAGGGCCTTCCAGCTCCTGAGCCGCGCCAGCTGGTACTGGACATCCGGACTCCTGCACAGCTCGTGCGGGATCCTCCCACCCGGGAGGGAGTGCCCACCGTTACCGTCGCCGGCGTGGTGCGATCGGCAGACAAACTGTTCAAAGAGAACGATCTCGGGCACGATTCGTATCTGATCGTACGTCTGCGTCAGGAAGTCGAGCCCAATACAGGCCAGCCGGACCCAGAGTGGCTGGTACCCAGCGCCGGCGCCGCCGGCATCGTCATCTCCATCTCCATCTCCATCGTCCCCTCCATCGCCGGTGACGGGCCCGGCCTCGCCCTGGTCGCCGGCACCCCGAATGTCGCTGCCAGTGCTGTCTCGTCCCACGGCCGCGCTCTCCGCGTCGGTGATTGCTGTCCCGCTCATGCTAACACATTGGGGCCCGCCAAGATCGCACCGGGGATTAGAGTCGAGAGAAGGTGGCAGGGGGCACGGGCGTGGGCGGGGGCAGTGAGGGAGGGCCCTGAGAAAAGGGTCAGGCAATCAATCGCTCAGGCCGGTCTTCGCGGATCCGAGTCAGCCGCCGCTGGGCGGGCCGTTGTGTGTCGTAGGCTCGTAGCCAGGCGCGCCCTGGGGGGTCACAGGCGCAGGCACAGGGCACAGGACACATGCTACCCGCTGTGGGGCCATTTTCTGCCAGGCGCCGGCTAATGCCGCTTGCAGCCAGTCATGTCCCGCCTGACGCTGCAAGTCATGGCCTGTCAAGTGAGCAGGTGAGCAGGTCTGTACGGACCTCGGGAGTGCACTACTATGGAGTAGTGCCCACGACTTGGCTGTGTGCGATCTACGTGTGGACGGCATAGGTTGTTTGATTTGAATGAGGTGATGTAGTTGATTATCACAAGCTTTTGATATGTTTAATCAAGCTTCATATGTGACAATGTAAACATCAGATGGTTGCCGTTCTGAGAGCAGGGGATCCAGGCAGAAAACATAGGGGCTCAAGGGGCTCTGTCCAGGTACCGAGTACTACGGCAGGACTCATGCGCAGCGCGTCGATCATTTCTTGGCCAATCCCAGTTGATTCTATATGAGCATGTACCACGGTAGTACATCAGAGTTTATCCCATTGATACAACTGGAAAGCAAGCCACGAACCGCTCAGAGGCCGGTTGTTGATGTCATAAGTTTGGCAGCTTGGAGACTGATTACCCAGGATCTACATCGCAGTGGAAGACTTGGGAACCGGATTACCACTCAGCGTGGGTAAATGGATGAAGTCCACCCCGTGAACCCCCGCCGGAAGAGGGTACAAGTAAATTAAAGGTACCACTCGTGATAATGCTATATCCACCCCAAGCCTTTGCAAGAGTGGGGCTAAATCAACGACATCTAGTCAGTCACTCGGTCACTTTGTAAGTTGATAGTACACCGAGAGTGACCAATTACGATACATCACCAAATGTGGAAGGACGCTTCACAGGAGGCAGAAAAGCCATGCTTGCTTGCTTGCTCGCTTGCTTAATTGCTTGCTACTAGTATGTCATTGATATAAACCTTGGGCTGAAAATATATACATCATACGCATGAAAACCATGTACATGTTGGCCAACATATTGCCAAGAGAAGGTGATACGACCGTTGTCCTCGTACGCTCCATGATAGGGAAGTGTCTTGTGTGAGATGCTGCAGGGGACCAGGGACACCTCCAGTGCCCCCTCACAGAGGTGTAGTTCAGAGTAGGCCGCTTAGGTGTGCTTGCCAGTTCCGACACAGTAGGGGATGGGGTAGGAGGTGCTGTTGCACAGCCTGATGGGGCCTGCGACCCACGACATGCCGGAGTAGTTCTGGTCCTCGTAGGAGTCAGAGGTGTATGGCTCGTAGCTGGGACCGTCGGTGCAGCCTGAGACAAAGTTGCCCGTGATCCTGCGGGTGTATGGGTTGCTGACAACCACGCCGTACTGGCCGGGGGACACGAAGTAGGTGAAGGTCTGCGTGTCCGAGGTGGTCCAGGAGTGCGAGTAGTCGACCTTCATGCTGACAGAGAAGATGTCCTTCTGGACCGTGTATTCGGCGCCGCCGCCCACAGTGATGGAGTTGGCGATGGAGTAGCCCTTGGTGACGGCGACGGAGGCCTGGCCACCAGTGGCACCGATGACGGGAGACATGGCGACGTCCCAGTTGGTGAATGTGGTGTCGGTGAGGACCTGCACCTCGGTGGTCTCGTCGCAGCGGCGCTCGAGGTTGGACGCGTACCCGACGCTGGCACCGGCGGGAACGGTCTCGCCGGCCAGCGCGGCGCGCTTCTCCTCCTCGGCGCGCTCGCGGGCCTGCTTCTCCATGCGGCGCTCAATGTCGGTCCACTCCCAGTCCTTCATCACGTCATAGCCACCATCGGCACGGGGCAGGAGGACGTCATCGTGAGAGAGCATTCTGGGCTCCTGCTTGGCGGGGGCCGCGGCGGCGAGGCCAACCAGGGCGAGCACGGCGGCTGAGTTGGTGAAAAGCATCGTGAAATATGTATGACCTTGCGGCTGGCGCTGATTTGCGGATGATGTCGTGGTAGAGGTTATCGGACAATAATGCACAGACCGGCGGGAAAGACTGTGAAGTACCTGGCAATCAAGCACAAAAAGGACTGTATGCTGAAAGGGAATGTGTTTCTAAGAGAATGGAAGATGCGGCTTGGCTATAGGACAAGCATCGATGAACCATGAGTCTCTCCGGCTTGTTAAATATGTAGAAGACCGGACGAAGCTCACATCCTTGACAGAGCCCATATGACTCTGATGACCCCGAGAGCGCGAAATGAAGGCATTGCCAGCTCCATTCCTTGTCCGTAAGCGGACAGCTCTCTTGCTTACTGCCCACGTTTCGTAGATCTTTAATCGAGTCATGCCCGTGCTCTCGACAGGCACGCCTCCAGCGGGTGCAACGTCGTTGGCTGAGAGCTGTGGTGCTCTAGGGTCCCCTTGAGCTCACCCCTTGAGGCTCAGCCTTGGGGACAAGGGTGAGTATAGGGCCATGTGATGTGTGGGGAGAGGAGCCTCGTGAGTCGCTCACAGCTTGTGCCTGGCGCAGATAACGGATATCAAGCGGGCTCCCAACAGGCCGGCTCAGTGGCCCTTGGCTATGGATTCGGCATGCGCTGGATCCACACAAACATGCTTGGGTCGGCCGGCTCACAGCCTTGTTTTAAGGTTGGTCAATGACTCGCCCCCCAGATCTTCTTCCATTCTTAGCCTTCTAGGACATTGGGACGAACCACCCAGATCCGCTCGCAGGTTTCAGGCCTCTGATACCACCAAATACTGACTCGGGCCCAACTGATATCCAGCGGTCAGCCTGCAGTTCCGAAAGAAGACATTCCAGTCGGCTGACTCTGGAGACCAAGATACGGTGCACATGGCTGGGAAAGCTGCCGATTGTCGCGAACATGGAAGATTCTGGGGTAAGGTGGTATAGACCCGACTGTGCATGAACGCCGTTGTGGCTCAATCAAAAGGCATTATCCCTGGTGTCTGCGGCCGTCCTCCGAATTTCCCGTATTCTCTGTTTGTGTACTGCAGTATTGGGAGGTCTGGACCATTACAGCGCCCAAAATAGCATCAATGATTCCACGGAACATCAAGACTGTCCGAACTGGAATGACGAATATTCAGTGAACCTTGGAAGCCACGTGCATCTACATAGGGGGTGATGTTTGATTACTCATGATCAACATTGAACGCATCCTGCGCGAACCGCCAAGGAAGGATGAACAACACCATTCATGTGCACCAAAAGAAGACATTCCTCGGTCCCTAATTTCCTTTCTATCAACTGGATTTCTTAACTTTAGTATGAATCCAGATGTCATGTATGTTGATACCAAGAACATGAACGATGATTGCAGACCAGTTCACCTTCGTCCCTCCGTCTAAGCAAGGCCGACCTCAAAAAGTTACGTAGCCGTGGGGTGAAAAAATGAAGGCACATGTGATAGGTTATCTCAGCCCTGGCAAGCAGATTCCTGATCAAGCTCCTTCATGTTTCGCTTGACCGGTGGATAACCCTGGAGGGCAGAGGGGCCGCTGGGGCCGCTGCAATGATCTAATAATAGTGTAGTGAGGAAACAATCGCGTGCCTGTTCGAACATGGGATAAAAAGAGTGGTTCCATCCAAGTATGCGGTCCTCTAGCGGTCTCCAGCATTCTTAGATATCAGCCACTAGTACTACATTTTACATACGGTACAGTGCTTATTAGAACCAGACATGTCTATTTGGCTTCAAATGTGCTCAAAGAGTTTGTACGACAGTTGCCAAATGTATATTCTGATTTCTCCTCACGGCGCACTACTGGTGAAAGATATTAGCCTCTCAACTTGGTTCCAATTTACTGTTCGTTGCTGACGGCATCGTGTACTGTATTCTCTTTCCACTGTTATTGGCACTATATTTCTTCAAACGCTGGGTCTTGAGCGTTTACCACTGTATGAAGGCGCCACGTACATTTTACATGTATGGGGATTAAAAACGAAACCACTTGCTGACGGCATCACATGAGCAATGTCTTGGAGACCTAACTTCCTTATGCTCCAGTCTCATATATTCGTGTTGTTTAAGGAATAATATCTAGGTATCTGTTTTGAAGTGACTCAATCCACGAGTCTCTAGTCTTTTCAACTTTTCATAAGAGATAAAAGACTGCCAGTAGTGTTTCTTTTAGGTAGTAAGTGATTCGGTTCCTAATGCCCATTACATAAAATGTATGTAGCGCCTTTTTAGGTCTTATCACTCGGTAAGACGTACTAGTAAGTATCGAGATTTTCAAGTTATTAAACCCCAGCCTGATATTGTGGATTGGGGCCTCGTTGTCCAAGAGTCGCCCACCTGGGCATATTTAAGCATCTGCATGCAATACTAATTTCCTGAGTTCTTCGGGTTGGTGGCCTTCAGCTTCGTTCCTGAGGTCAGTTGACCGTGTTGTTTCAACACATACAATTTGTCCGATAAAAGAAATTGACACTCGCCCATATATCCTTGTACATGCCTACTACGCTATCCTAAGCCTTGAGTGAAAGTTTCGCCCTGATAGAGGGACTCAAAGAATACAAATAGAACACAGTCCATCACTGCATCATGCAGATGAGGGTACCTAGGTAAGGTGGGAGCGTATCACAGTATACGTTCTCCCCTTCATCATAGGATTTTCTATCGGAAGTTGGACACATTTTGTGCTTGCTCGGCTGTTCAAGTAGCCTCAGCCCTCAATTTGGGACCACACTGAAATTGCACATAGTGTATTAAGACCTCAAGCTTGGCATGGTCGTTCGAATGGAGGTTGGAACCATCTGAGCTGCACCTGTGACTGAGAGCTGCTCCTAAGTTGACTGGCATTGAAACCAAGCATCTGCCATATCGGCCGAACTTATGAATGGACCATCTTGGAAAGAGTTACTGACAAATCATGACCTATTTACGACTTGCCCTAGACTTGACCGAGTCGATCAAAATGTCCACTACTTGACACGACTTAGAAGTAAAGAGAGTACTCTACACTAGAGCGTCTGAAATCCCCGTAAAAGGTCTCCAAGAATTGCTGGGCCAACTAGTCCTTGCGATACCGCTCCAAGTATGCCACCTTGGCGTGACTCAATGCAAGGACCTGCAGCAGTAGCGCTGAGAACTTGACAAGTTGATCGGCGGCCAAGTCTCTTGTCGGTACTTGAATTGCTAACAATTTACTTCATGAGAATTCACAACTGCACTTGGAGGAGGCGTTTGTCTTCCTAACCGGAGTTGCGTCTCGTTTACTACCCACACCAAGGCGCCGAAAAACTTCCTCGGGCCGTATGGACCGAGACACCAATTCACAAGGAATTCACACAGACCAACATCATACCATCCTCATGAGCTCATTCCAACATCACGAGAATGACGCCCGATGCCCCGTTATACCCGTGGCAAACCCGGCCGCTGGGCTCCACAAATTGTTGCCGCAACCCGGAGCTCCACCGAAGTCGCCGGGCTTGAAAAGCCGTCTGTTCCCCTAAGTGGGAAAAGGGGAAAACCGGAGTGGGCTTCAGACTGATGTACACTACGTCTTTTAGTGAAACAGTCTCGATGAATCCTGCCAGAAAGCAAGGCAGGAAGCAGTCACCTCCGCCATGGACACACCAATATCTGCCGCCCCGACCCTAGCGGGAGACCGAACGCCCCCAACCTGCCAGCCCCTGAGGGATGCCTTCGATTCTAGCCCCGACACTGCTGGCGAGTCTTCCGACCAGGATCTTGAAGTTGGCAATGAAGTACGACTACACGGACATCAAAGAGTCGATCCCGCCGAGAAGTCGCGCCACAACGATGCGAACGACAACGACGACAACGACCCCAACGTCGTGGACTGGGACGGACCAGACGACCCAGAACGCCCAAGGAACTGGCCCGCACGCCGCAAGGTCCTCTTCGTGATAGTCACGTCGGCGATGGTGACATGCGTATCCTTCGGGTCCAGCGTCTTCGCGCCGGCGGAGCACATCTTCGCCGAGGAGTTCGGCGTGCCGCTGATCGTGGGACAGCTGGGCGTCTCCCTGTGGATCCTGGGCTTCTTCGCCGGGCCCATCTTCTTCGGGCCCATCTCGGAGCTGTACGGCCACCTGCTCCCGCTCTGCGTCGCCATGGCCGGCATGTCCGTGTTCCAGATCCCTATCGCGCTCGGCGGCAACGTGAGGACGGTGCTGGTCTGCAGGTTCTTCGCGGGCGCGTTCGGCAGCGGCGCCTTCGCCGTCGTGTCGGGGACGTACTTCGAGCTGTACGAGCCCATCCCCCGCGGCGTCGCGCTCGCCTCCTCGGGCATGTCCATCAACCTCGGCGCCACCGTCGCCCCCGTGGCCGGCGCGTTCCTGTCCTATGAGGCTCACTGGCGGTGGACGGCGTGGGTGACCCTGATCTTTGCCGGGGTCCTCTGCTTCGCTGCGCTCTTCACCGTGAGGGAGACGTCGAGCCGGAAGATCCTGCAGCTCAAGGCGAGGAGGCTGCGCTTCGAGACCAGGAACTGGGCGCTGCATGCCAAGTCTGAGGAGACACCGATCGAGCTGCACGATATCGCCCAGCGATATCTCACCAAGCCGGTGCGCATCATCGTGCAGGAGCCCATCCTGGTCATCCTGACGGCGTATCTCACGCTGGTATATGGCATCCTGTATCTGTCTTTCCAGGCGTTTCCCGCCGCGTACCAGCAGCGCGGGTGGTCAGTCCCGATGAGCGACCTGCCGTTCCTCGCGGTGCTCCTTGGGGTCATCTCGGCGTTCCTCACCTGCTCGCTCTACACGATGACGTACTACAAGAAGAGAGTCCTCGCGAACAACGGAATGACGGAGCCCGAGTGGCGTTTGCCCCCCATGATCCTCGGTGCTGGACTGCTCCCCCCATCCTTGTTCTGGTTTGGCTGGTCCGGGAACGTACACTGGATCTGCCAGGTGATCGCGAGCTATATGATCGGGTACGGACTGCTACTCATCTTCATCACCGGCATTGTGTATCTTGTAGATGTCTATCAGCATCAGTAAGTACAAGCAAGACCTTTTCTGTCATTACCTCATCTGCTGTGTTTCTGAATGTTGCGGATGCACTTCTACGGGGCCCGTGGCAAGTGGCTAACACATCATACCGGCAGTGCCAACTCGGCCATGTCAATTCATGTCATCGTCCGGAGCCTGATCGCATGCTCATTCCCGCTCTGGTCCAATATCATGTACGACCATCTCGGCATACCGTGGGGGACTTCGTTGCTAGCGTTTCTGTGTATCGTCATGCTTTTCGCGCCAGTGACGTTCTACTGCTTTGGAGCGAAGATCAGGAGCTGGAGCAGATTTTCCGTCAGGACTGCTATATAGAGAGGGTATGGGCAAATCGATATGTCAGATTGCAGATGCTAATTCCAAAGAGGGCGCCGCACAGTATCCTTCTGTGCTCCTTTCTAGTTACACCACGGGCCAGGTGTTTTCTCTTTTCACAAATGGTATCAAGCCCCGAGTTCCCGCAGTTTCAACGCCCTTAGAGCCAAGGTATACCGAATCAAAGGAGTACCGTAAAACATACATAACCGTCACAAACTGACTGTTCCAAGTAATACACAGGCTGCTTTCGAGAATCTCAAGGTCCCGGCCTGGCATGGGTATCAAAATCATCCAAACACACACAACACCAGACCGCCATTGTCTTGCAGTCAGTCATCTCACGCACCCTCGGTCGGAGTCCCGCGATCAACCTTCTTGCCCTTATCCTTACCTTTGTCCCTGCCCTTGCTCGCCCGGCGCACGAGCATCGGCAGCTTCTTGTCCAGGTAGCTCCTGACCTGTGCCGACGGGGCCAGCAGCCTGCCCGCGCGGCTGCCCATCGAGGCCCGCTTCGCGGCCCTCTTGTCGCGCGCCTCCTGGCCCCGGAGCGCCGGGTGCAAGCCCAGCACCTCGGCCGGGTCCCCCCCGCCACCGCCACCGCCATCGCCGCCGGGCCCGTCGGCCTTGAGCTGGAAGTCGCGCACCTGCGTCGTCGAGCTGCGCGTCAGGGTCGAGGGGCGCGACGACTCCGTCTGGGCGCGGGTGCCGTTGGTGCGCGTGCTCGAGTCGCGCTTCGGGGCGGTCTTTGAGGAGGAGGCCTCTGTGGTCGCCGTCGTCGCGGAGCGGGTGCGCCCCACGCGCGCCTCGGGCTTCTCCGCCTCGGGGAGGACGCCGTCCCACAGCTCGACGGTGCGCACGGAGAAGGCGGAGCCCAGGATGCTCTCGAAGAGGCGCTCGGCCGTCATCATCAGGGCGAAGGGCTCGTCCTTGTAGACGGCTATGATGACGCCGTAGAGGACCTCGCCTTTTACCACCCATGATCCCGAGGCGGCAGGGCCTGTTTGGAACCAGTTGTCAGCAAGATCACGCTGCATGCAGACGGGGACTTTTACTGTGGGTTTTACTTGCCCAATGGCTGAGCGGTCTGCACCCTGCGGACGCGGAAGTTCCTCCCCCGGATGATAAAGCACACCGAGCCCCAGACGAGCTGCGCATCAGCCACGCGGCCCGCACCGCCCAGGAGATACACCGGCCCCTCGTCGAGCGCGGACGAGCTCGCGGACGCGGTCGACCTGATGGTGACGGGCGCGTCGGACCCGGGCGGCACGTACCGGTTCCGGATGCCAGGCGGGACGTCGCGCAGGCGCAGCATGGCAAAGTCGGTGGCGTTCTGGGGCCGCGCGCGGTTGAGGGCCACGTCGCCGCGCGAGTTCATGGATATACCCAGGAAGTCGATGGCGGCGTCGCGCGTGGCGGGCTGCCAGGCGCCGGGCTCGACCTCGCCGGCCTCGAGCACGATGGCGTCGCGGTCGACGGCCTTGCCCTTGGGCGTGCGCAGGTCGCCGTCGCCGTCGCCGCCGCCGCCGCCGTCGAACGAGTCCTTGAAGATGCCGCTGCTGTCCAGCATCGCGTGCGCCGTCGTCACGCCCAGCACGTACCGGCCGTTGATCTTGAGCAGCCCGCCCAGCCGGCACAGGCTCTGCTGCGTGCGCAGCTTGTCCTCCTGCACCGTGACGCAGACCAGCGCGCCGCAGGCCGTGTCCCTGCCCCGGCAGCTCTCGACGTGCACGGAGAGCACGGCCCCGTTGGACAGCTGGATGCTGTCCCTGTTGCTCGCGCTGTTGTTGGTGCTGGCGTCGTCGGCGGCGGCGTCCAGGTCCAGGTCCACGTCGACCAGCTTCCGGTCGCTGCTCGCCTCGATCCGCCCGCCCCCCTCGTGGATCTCGATGTCCGTCTGCAGGTAGTCCAGCCCCAGGGCGACCTGGTTCAGCGCGGCTGCCGTGACCACGTTGCCTGCCAGGGTGTATGACCTGTAGAGGATCCAGACTGTCGGTGCCAGGGTCACCGTGCCGGCCGTGAGGTCTGCGTGGCCCGACATGCGCAGCTCATACGTGATGCGTATGTCCTGCTGGCTGAGGTGTGCGCAGATCCCCCGCAGGTCCTGTTCCAACAGCGGCAGGGTCTCGGTCTCGAACTCGACGAGGGCCTCTGGCGGCGGGTTGACAACATCGGGCCATCCGATGTAGAGCTGGTGGTTCTTGGAGAACCTGTATATCACGGGTGAGTTCAGATCATACTCGTACAGGCCCAGGCTTCTCGGCCACGGGCTGATGTCGCTCAGGGGCGTGTGCACTGATACGGGCGTGGCTGTCTGGGTGGATCTCCCGTCGTGATCGTGGCCATCTGAGAAGAGCGACAGCAGTGATCTCAGGTAGCCCCCGCGCGACGTTCCAAGTACGGGGAGGGCCGGTAGTTGGCCGACAGCATCCTGCTCGTCTGGCAGTGGTTCGGTCGTTGTCGATGTCCTGGTGGATTCACTTGGCTGGGAGCTCTTTGCCCCGCCATTCTGTTGCTTAGACAGCCTCTTGACTTCGCTGTCTGACGTGCGTGAGGACCTGAACGAGAAGAGAGAGAACGGTATGGACAGGCGGTTGGCAGTCACGCCGGACAACCTCTTGAGACGCGATTCGGAGCGCGGGATGGTCGCCGGGTCCTCGACAGCACCATCATGTTCGGGCTGATCCATCACTGCGTCTGCGTGTCAATGCTGGACCTCTGAGGTCCACGCGGGGTTCCGCAGCGGCCCCGGGAGAGGCGGAGGAGGTTGTTTGCGATACGGACGGCCTCTGGGTGTGTTGTGAGCGCGAAAGAAGTTTCCATCGATTCGCGGCGCGTCACGGTCAGCATGAGATGTCGTCGGAGAGAAGTGAAGTTTACCGGGGGCGCTTGCAGGGCGTGGCAGTCAATGCACAAAGCAACTTGGAACAGGCCCGCGTCGCGTCACACAACATCGAACATGGCAGCTTTGAATACACAGTACAGGCCGGTCGGTCTTGTTGGTCGGTCAGCTAATAATAAGGGAAGACGGGGTGAACCTTAAAAATCCCCCTCGCGCCGCCAGGAGGAGGAAACAAGAGACTTGACTGTCCCTTGGCCCTTTGCTTTTGCTTGCTGCACTAGCCAACTGTCAACATCGAGAGTGTATCTGAGGCCGCTAGAGGCACCTGGGCTCAAACACAGGGGTGTGGCCGGTCGGAATGATGGTGCGACGCTACGCTATGGTGGGATGGCGGATTGTTCGATACCACATGCAATATGAATCCCGTCCGAACTACCAAAGCATGCTGTGCATGCTCTTCTTACCGTGCTATGTGTCACAATCTGACGCGCTCAGGTTCCTGGTCGGTGCCGACTCCCGGAGCTCCGGTGAGAAGAAGCCACCAGTCCTTGGGGTTGGGATGGAACCCTTCACCGAAAAGCAGAGCTGGGGAAAGCTTACCGCGGGTGCAATGCGACGGTGAGACATATTCGAGGTCACAGGTAGTGGAGGCATGGTCGGGACTGAAAGATAGTGCTGACAGATCGGACCAATTGTTGAGTGAGTCTGCTCTGGCCGGCGCTGAACAGTGAGGATTTGACTTTGCTAACCAATGCTTAGAACCTGCCCATTGTGACCCCTTCACCACGTTTCGCGGCCCGAGCAGTGCATCTGGGGTGTTATGTGGGTAACTAAGAATGGCACTCAGCTTACTATTACGCGACTGCCAGATCCGTGGATTTATAGTTAGCAACTCGCACAATACTAAGTGCTGCTAGTCCTAGATCACATTTGGACCGATGACCTGGTGCAGGTGACAGCCTTCAGGACACTCTGTCAAATGAAGAGAACGGGGTTGATAATAGTTGAAGCTGACATCTTCTGTGATGGAGGAAGGCCTGGGAGTGATTATTGAAAGATTATGTATGCGGTGAAGGAGCCACGAATGAAATGCCTCAGTCAACACTTTGTGATATTTACTTACCTTTGTGTGCACAACTTATCCTCGTAAAGCTAAACACCTGGCTTCTGAGTTCCTGACTCTATACCCACAATGCAGAGTGCATAAGATTCCATCCTGCGTTGTTGATGGCAGAGGCAAGAGAACACAGTCGAGGTTAAAACCCGGGAATAACAATGGGGTTGACCCGCCCGTTTTGAGTCGCTGCACGTTGCTCTCCCGAAGAAACAGCCGGGAAATGACGTAGCCACGTCACATTTTGCTGCTATGCTCCGGGCCGGGGCAGCCCTGGTGGAGCCTCAAAATGGCCGAAAAAAAATGGCACTGGCAGGGCGGTCAGCGCAGGCATGAAGAGCGAGAGCGAGCGTGGCTAAGTGGACAAAGTTCGCGTCGCGAGAGGGTGCAGGTGCACCAAGACCCAGCGAGTTGCGTATATCTGGCATGCCTCCCAGCTACATATTACCTGTACCTAGGTGAGTATGTACCGCGCCTGAATGCCGGGCTGGGGCGGCCAAGGGGCCAAACCCCACGGGACAGCCTTGACGGTCTGCCGTTTGACAGATCCGGCCGTGGGGCTGGCTCGGTCGAATCTCCCCCGCATCTCTGTGTGTGTGTCGTGAAGCGAGGCTTCCGGTCGGGTGCATGATCCGCAGGCCACGATCCGAATGATCTAGTACTCTGGGGTCTCACAGCATGAAGAGACATGATGGTCTCGTCTTGACTGGCATTGACATGTGTCTGTGTGCGCAGGGCGAGGGCAGGGCGAGGACATGGCGAGGACCGAGGGCAGCCTCTCCCGAGATGCTGGGCCGAGATGCTTTTCTCCCACATCCGCCAAGACACAGCAAATGGCTCTGCTCTGACTGGACAGGCAGGCCCGAGGACGGCTGCTTTGGGAGTGTGGGGTTCGGCTCAGGGCGCGGAGCGGAGCATGGAGCATGGGTGGGGCCCGTGTCATGGCCTGGCCGGGAGAGGGCATTGAAATAAATACTCGAGTACTTTCAAGAGCCCCCGAGTGGTTCTCCAACAACAACACCAAGGTGGTCCACAGGCAGTCGACAATGGCCGTAGTCAACCTGTTCGTGTCGCCGTGGGCGCTGCTGGCGGCCCCGGTGCTGCTGGCGGCGTGGTACCTCTTCCCCTACCTCGTCACCTACGCCCACCTTCGACACATCCCCGCCCCCTTCCCCGCCCAGTTCTCGAACCTGTGGCTGCTCATGGTCTGCCGCCGCGGCGACCGCTACCTGACCGTCGACGAGGCCCACAAGAGGCTGGGGCCCGTCGTGCGCATCCAGCCCAACCACGTCAGCGTCGCCGACGACGAGGCCATCAACGCCATCTACGGCCACGGCAACGGCTTCCTCAAGAGGTGAGTCTGTCTCTCTTCTCTTCTGCCTGCCTGCCTGCCTGCCTGCTCACACACCAACCCCCACAGCGAGTTCTACGACGCCTTCGTGTCCATCCAGCGCGGCCTCTTCAACACCCGCGACAGGGCAGAGCACTCGCGCAAGCGCAAGATCGTCAGCCACACCTTCTCGCTCAAGTCCATCTCCCAGTTCGAGCCCTACATCCACTCCAACCTCGAGCTGTTTGTCAGGCGCTGGGACGACCTCGTCGCGCGCGGGGCCGACAACACCGCCCACCTCGACTGCCTCAAGTGGTTCAACTACCTCGCCTTCGACGTCATCGGCGACCTCGCCTTCGGCGCCCCCTTCGGCATGCTCGAGCGCGGCGAGGACCTGGCCGAGGTGCGCTCCAGCCCCGACTCGGCCCCCATCTACGCCCCCGCCATCGAGATCCTCAACCGCCGCGGCGAGGTCAGCGCCGCCCTCGGCTGCCTGCCCCAGCTCAAGCCCTGGGCCCCCTGGCTGCCCGACCCCTTCTTCAGCCAGGGCGCCGCCGCCGTCCAGGCCCTCGCCGGCATCGCCATCGCCCGCGTCAAGGGCCGCCTCGACAGCCCCCCCGCCATCGACCGCAAGGACCTGCTCGCCCGCCTCATGGAGGGCCGCGACGACAAGGGCGAGCCCCTCGGCCGCGAGGAGCTCACCGCCGAGGCCCTCACCCAGCTCATCGCCGGCTCCGACACCACCTCCAACTCCTCCTGCGCCCTGCTCTACCACGTCGCCCGCACCCCGGGCGTCCTGGGCAAGCTGCAGGCCGAGCTCGACCGCGCCCTGCCCGACGCCGACGCCGTCCCCACCTACGACCAGGTCGCCAACCTGCCCTACCTGCAGAACGTCATCAACGAGGCCCTGCGCCACCACTCCACCAGCGGCATCGGCCTGCCCCGCCTCATCCCCGCCGACGCCCCCCGCGGCGTCACCATCCGCGGCCACTACTTCCCCCCCGGCACCGTGCTGTCCGTCCCCTCCTACACCATGCACCACTCCACCGAGATCTGGGGGCCCGACGCCGACGAGTTCCGCCCCGAGAGGTGGGACGCCGTCACCCCCCGCCAGAAGAACGCCTTCATCCCCTTCAGCTATGGGCCCCGCGCCTGCGTCGGCCGCAACGTCGCCGAGATGGAGATGAAGCTGATCGTCGCCACGTGGGCGAGGAGGTATGATGTCTTCCTGCGCCAGGAGGTGATGGAGACGCGCGAGGGCTTCCTGAGGAAGCCGCTGGGGCTCGAGATCGGGGTCAGGCGGAGGTCCTAGGCTGGGAGGCGGATGGGCATGGTCATGGTCATGGTCGTGGTCGGGCGTGTTTGGGGGATGGGTTGGGGTTTCTGGGTCTATATCCAATTTGTACGCTGCATTTCGGCGCTGCTTCCTCGTATCTCTTGTCTTATTTTGCCGGGCGCATATCGGATCATTTCAATAAGATCTACTCATCCCGCCACCTTCCTGCGAGCAGACCTCCACTTAGACTGTAGTTCGGAATTCTCTATTTGACTCAGCGTTCGGTTCGGAGGTACATGTTGATTGAAAATTCTCTGCTTTGTGCCGGCGTTGTAGTCCGGTATTCGTTGATGTGTGTCAGGTATTAGACTACAGCACGTGTCACCAATCGGGACGTCGTTGCATTTGAGGCTGAACGCCTGGCAGGCTTATCTACAAACATGCAGGCCTGCTGAACAAATCATCGACCTGCTGAGTAAGGTCCCAGGGCGCTGACAAACGAACAATCGGTCACGGCCACGTTAGAGGCGAATACTATGCGATTTTGTTACAGGGCATAGGACTTAGGTGAAAACACCCAACTCGCGTCGACATTGCGAAGGTCTATACGTCACGGTCTATTGCGAGTGGAAAACATTCAGCATGACAGGGGCGTAGGCAAGCCGGACAGGTTGACTGGCTGCGCTGCACTCTGCCGTTTGCTTGGCTGTCGCCGTGATCCTAATAAGGCGAAGCCGGGCCAGGGACAGCACCGTGGACGAATATCACAAGCACATTTGGAGTCTGAGAATTTGATGTGGCTTCGTTATTGCTATTCAATTTGAGCGTCAAGGAACCTCGATTGATTGAATTAGATTGATTGAATAATTATAGAGGCACTAGTCATTATCCTTTTGTACCTACCACATTATGAACAACAATTTGATGGAACCGCACACTCATCAGAAAATAAGCAAAACCCCAGTAAAATTACGATGTGCCAATTCAGTAGCCCACGCGCCCCCGGGGCACACCTCCAAAGCTAGTTGCAACCGCTCTGATCCATCGCCCCGTACTTGTTCTTCGTCGCCTCCCAGTACGCAGACGCAATGGCGCCGGCATTGCAGCTGAGCCAGGTCGTGAACTTCCACTCGATGGACGGCTCGCCGGGGACGACCTCGGCGTGTTCACAAGAGGGGTTGATGGCGGTACAGATGAACCAATGCCTCGCGAGCTTCTTCCAGAGCACCTGGCACAAGTCGCCAATCTCATCTCGGGACACCTTCCTGACGATCACCCTGTAATTGAGGAGCAGATCGGGTTGGTGGACCGTGCACCAGACGTCAGGCATCGGGCCCTCGTCCTGCCGGACGGTGATGGTCGAGTTCAGAAGGGCCACGTCGGTGGTGATGGTTACATTGGCGGGGGCCGCGGCGGCAGGGGCGGCGAGGGCCGTGATGAGGGCCGTGAGGAAGGAAGAGAGCTTCATGGTGGGTGGCGGGAGGGTTCGAGGCGGGAGCGTAAAGGGTACCTTGAGGAAAAATGGGGTGGAGAGATGGAGGAAATCCTGGATTCTCGTGGTCAGGAAGAATGAAGAGTCATCTCTTACATCTATAGCTAAGTAGGCAGTATTCGACGACTCTCATATTTCCTCGTTTTGGCATATTGATTACCTCGGTAACGAGACGACGGGCTCTGGATTTGGTACAAAACCAGCGTGAGCTTTGGTCATCAACTAGCATGCTGTTCCCCGCCCCATCCATGGGCAGTTGCGAGATCCTGAGTAAACAAAAGATGGCTTCTAGGCCATGTCGAGGTTGGAGAAAAATGTCCATGCCATCAACGGTCCACGCTATAGCTCACTAGATCACGACCGCGGGAGGGACTTGCAGCTTCAGCCTTGTCCGTGCCATTTGGCCATTGCCAGACATGCGCAGTAGTTACCCAGCTTTGACGAATCAACATCGGTTCTGGGATTTATCACGATGACCTTTTCTCTTGTGACAAAAGCTCTGTCGAGCTGGAGCTGCCATCGTCGAGCCGGGCTTGCTACAAGCTTGAGAGTTTCTGGGCTCAGGCCCAAGCACCAGTACTGCGATCTCAAAGGCCGTGCGACAATATGGACAGAGCCCGTTGCCATCGCGAAACAGTCTTCATTCCAAAACTTGTATGTGGATCAGAGTTGGGCTTGATTGCGAAAGTGCAGTCTGCAGATGATTCTGCTGAGAACCTTGGAAAGGACCTGACAAGGTGGGATCTTGCAGACTTTTGGTACTATTAACTTAACTAATCACACAGGCAACATTAGAAGATTTGCTGAACAAATTGTCGTAGAGCTCTCTCGTGACGGTGGTGGCATGTGTCTGCGAAAATTCGCCACTTTGGACTCCAGATATACGAAAATATCGCTGTGACGATTATATGTGCCCAACCCCAAAGCCTGGCGTGCCAGAAGTTTCCTCGCGACACTGTTTGCCTAGATTATCTCCGTTAAACCCTGAGGATCCCGCTCATCAACCCCGTGCAGCATCTATCACTTGAAAGGCTTCGAGAGTTCCTCTCGGTGCCGGTTCATCAACTGTGATTCCCTATCTGTTGAGTAAATCCAGTTCTGGTGACCTGTGCGGAGAGTATCACGCACATGCAGTAGTCTATTGTAGTTGGCCATGATGCCACAGAAGGGTCACTTCCTCAGAATCCTCCCTGCCACAAAGCCGGTCATTGACCAATGGAACGTTGGAATTTACTTGAAGAGATTACATATGCAATGATATGTCGCGCCGGTCAAACTGGTCACGGTGTACAGCCGTCATGCCAACTGCAAAATGTCTGGTATGAGAGGTCCCCTTGTTGACTTCCGATCCTTGCTTCGCACATATGATGAAAGGGGTAAAGCCAAGGCCATCAGTGTTCTGTCAGGTCTTCTGGGCTACCATCTTCCGCCTGATCGCCATGGAAGTCCACTTTCCGTGGCTGGTACCTACTTAAGTAGGTACCTAGGTAGGTAGCTTACGTGTGCACATACCTAGGTACCCCAGTCAGCTGCCAGGCACAAGTTGCCTGGGGTGCTATAGAAGGAAGGCTATACGGGCCCACCACCACTAGCCGACAAGAACTCCCGGACAAGATCTTTCGGAGATTCAAAGGATCAAGCGGATGTGGAGTGCAGGCTGGCAAGGCCTTTTCTATGACGAATATCAGCAAACTTGCATAGAGACATGCACTGGCACAGAAGTGCCGACAATACATGATCCTCACAGTGAGACGGCCCGCAGAAGCGTATGGACGGCGAAACCGCGCCGAACCGAAGACAGGCTCGGAAGCTCCTGTCGATCCCGGCTGCGTCGACTCCTCTGCAGAATGCAGGGTGTGGGCGTTAAACTACCCGAGGGAGCCGATCTCGATGTCTAATCACCGATCGACGAGAATATGTGAGATATGACGAGATCGAGAGGAGATTCGCGAGTTATTTCTCGGTGAGATAGCCGGGGTAGGCACCCCATTCGCCGCGATGCAACTGTATGAAGCATGTTCGAGGTAATGCCTAATTTTGCGGAGAGCTTGATGCCCTGCGAACTACAGGCCAAGGTGCCCTTCCGAGCTTCCCTTGCACACCTGCGCTGGACCGAACACCACACCATGCGGAGGCTAGTGTCGGGTGCGACCTGTGCGAGTCACGCCTGGCTGGCCTGGCGCCTGGCAACCTGGTTAGGTGCCGCGGTGATGGCTGGGTAAGGCGCATGGGTGGGTATAATAACTAGGTTGCCGTTCGCTACCCAAAATGCGCTGAACCTTCCGGTTCTCATGGACCCAATCAAGGCACACCAAGCCATCCTGGGATCCCTCTGTGACCTAATTTTCGGAGCTTCGTGCGAGTATATCAAAAAGTAAGCGAGTTCCAAGGCTACGAGGTGATTCAATGCGCTTCCCGAGACAAACGCAGCCTTACCGCAGCCTTACCACCAGCGGCTCTGCACAATCAGCGGCTGATTAGACTTCAACCCAGAAACAGACCTGGAGGGGGCTTTTCTTCTTGTTCTCAATTTTGCCCTCCAGCCGCCCCTCACTCCCCAGTGCGAGGTTGATCAGATGGTGATTGTTATCGCAGTAGCGTTGAGCTTCTCGCTCAAGACGAAGGTCACAATCAGGGTCTAGCTCGGCACGCGTACAGTACGACCCAACTCCTCATCGTCAAACATTAAAACGTTGGTGTTAAGGAGCTCGGCAAATGCTGTCAAATGCTTTCTATGACGAGCTTGGGTCTAGTTCACGCCACACGTGGGGATATAGTAGTACACGTATAGCCAGCTGCAAATGTTAATTCCAGCTCGAACGGAACTTCCCAGCTGGATCGAACGATTTCGTATCCTCTGTCATATTGACCGGTGTAGGTTTCTGACGATCAATGCATATGACGAACTGCAGAGGGCATTGGGCTGTCCTGGGACGACATTCCTACAAGCAATACTATCGGCAGTATGATACGTCCGCCACATCCAGCGAGACAACGTTGGAAGTCTTGACCAGATCGTGTTGGGAGGGGCTCCAGAAGACTTCAAGTGCCCTTGCATGATAAGTAGGGCATCTGACAGCTCCGTGACAGGTGTGAAAACAAACGAGGCATTCTCAGCACGTCAGCGGGCCGCTCCTCGCTTGACCGCGCAACGGTGTGGCCAACTTCGGAAATTTTTTGGAATGCCTGTATCCGACTACTGCAAGGTCCTGCAAGGTCCTGCAAGGTCCTGCAAGGTCCTGCAAGGTCCTGCAAGGGTAGGGCTTCACAGATGGAACTGCTATAGCGATAGTTGACTATAGAAATGGTAACAACAGGAGCACTCGGCCCTGACCCAGCCATAACATCTCCACATTTCGGACAGTTAAGATAATCCTACATCGCTTAAAAGAATCTCCCCCGAACTAATATCCGTCCACAGCCAACGATGATGCATTCAAGCTTTGCTTTCCCCGGCTCCTCCCGTGCCTACTCAGCAAAAGTATATGTTGGGGAAGCCCACGTCCCAGAAGCACCTGTCCGACGATCACCCCGAGGAATGTCAGTTCTAAACAAGATTCTGGCCGGAAAATATGACTTTATGGCTCACCACCGGAAGACATCCGAAAGTGAGCAAGTCAGGGGGAATATTTTCAGGCCAGAAATGAAGAGGTAAGTTTCTCGGGTTCCTGCGACGCACTTTTGAGCTCCAAACCGTGTGGAGTCCCAGGCCTGCGCAGCGTCGTTCCTCATTGTCAATGATCGAGCTTTTGGGCTGACATGCAGCGCCGTCTCTTTTCATCTAGCCTTCCCGATGTACCAGAGATGATCGAGTCTCCTCTCCCGCTAAGACACGAGCGCTCTGTGCCCGTAGGAGGAACTCGCTCCTTCTCCCCTAATGTGCGAAGCAAACGTTCAGCAATGTCGCTTCGCTCCACCGAATCCTCATACCAAACGCAGGTCACCACGCCTAGCTCCTCGCCCCCAGATTTCATACTACCTCCACTCCAGGCCACTATTGCCGAGCACCCTGACGGTCTTGATCCTCTGGAAGAAGACGAGGTTGAGCCTGGCAGCTTTGACCTCGTTTCGCCTGAGACTGAAGAGGCTGCTGTGTACTCGCTAGAAGAGCGATCTGAGTTCCTGTTCTCGTCACGTAAGCATCACTTTCCACCTGTTACGGGTCCTCGTATTTCACGTCTTGGAATGTTCTGGGATGCAACACGTTAGCATCTGTCCCAGGACTAACTTCATCAATAGAGCACCTGAGGATAATATTCAATGATTTCACCTTATTCCAGCGCTTCTCCAGCTTCATGAGCGCTCATCGACCAAAGTCGGTGGCCCTCTTGGTCTACTACCTGGACACGGTTAAAGCTCTAGCAGCTTTCAAGTACGCCAACGCCATTAGCGAAGCGCTCGAACCACTGGATGAGTACGAATTCACGCGGGACACAGACGCTGTGCCCCAGACAGCGAACGACCGCCTGGAGTGGAAAGCCGATTCCGCCTTCGAACTGCTGGCTCAAGAGGATCTGCCTGCTTTCATTACCAGTGTATGGATGCAGTTCGTTGAGACCTCCATCCGGAGGCGTATTGTGGGCTCCATGCCTGCTCACCTCAGAGAGTATGTGTCTTCATTATCACTGGCGGTTGTCTCTGTCCTTTGGCGGGAGCAGTTGCTGCAAACATTGCAGCTAGTTTCGAGGATGACCACTAAATGTATGTTTGCTTAACTAGTATGTCGGAAGGTCTGGCCGAAACCTTCTGCCTCACTGACCCCTCACGCCACGAGAATCCCATCATCTTCGCCTCTGAAGGTACGTATTATATGAGTTGACTTTTTGTTTTACTCGTCCCTGGAAATAATACTGGAGAGACTTTTACTGACGGTGAAATAACTCTCACAGAATTTCATAGGACCACACAATATGGCACAAAGCACGTTATTGGCCGGAACTGCCGCTTCCTCCAAGGGCCGAAGACCAACCCCTTCAGTATCAGGAGAATCAGAGAAAAGCTCGATGCGGGCAAGGAACACTATGAAACGTTCCTGAATTACCGAAGAGATGGGTCTCCGTTCATGAACCTCCTCATGTGCACCCCTTTGATGGACTCCAAGGGAACAGTACGATACTTCCTGGGAGCCCAAATCGATGTATCAGGACTGGCCAAGGAGTGTGCTGGGCTGGAGTATCTGAAGCGTCATGTTGACAACCAATACAGGGAAGGCGAAGACGACGAAGAGACAGAGAAATTATCTGCCGAGCCACCAGAAGGAAACGATGTCGAACAACAGACCAAGGATGAGTTCCAGGAGCTGAGCGAAATGTTCAACTTACAGGAACTGGACACTGTCCGCAAGCATGGCGGAGCGATGCATCGGCCCCTCCAGGATCAAGAGCACACACACGCTTCCAAGTGGCACAAGGAGCGACTAGTGATCGAGTCTGACTCGGAAGGCTTTCTCAGTGGTGACGGTGACTGCGATGGTGACGGCGACAGTCGCGACAGGAACAGCACAGATGCAATCAAGAACCTCAGTCCTGCTCCATTCAAGGCCCTCTCAGGACCAGATGAGCTCTACCCGCCGCTGCGCTCTAGGCCGTCAACCCCAGCGGACCGGAACCCACTCAACAAGGGCGGTCACATGCCAGGCGTCTACCAGAACTATGTCCTAGTCCGGCCGTACCCAAGCCTCCGAATCTTGTTCGCATCGCCATGTCTCCGCATCCCAGGCATGCTCCAGTCCAGCTTCATGGACCGGGTCGGGGGTTCCGGCCGCACTCGCGAACAGGTCCAGCAGGCACTGGCCGAAGGGCGCGGCGTCACCGCCAAGATCCGCTGGATCTCCAGCCCTCGTCGAAATGCAGAGCATAGCCGGCCGAGATGGATTCACGCCACCCCGCTGCTCGGGAGGAACGGCTCGGTGGGCGTGTGGATGATCGTCATCGTCGACGAGGAGGAAGATGATGCGGTAAAAAAGTCAGCGAGGCAGCATGCCGGCGTCAAGCAAAGGCGTTTCGGTCTCACGGCGAATTTGCCAGATATTGACACCACTTGATAAACGCGGTGAGAGGATTCGTTGGAACATGTGGAAAAAGCAAGCAAAGAGATTAAAGAAGGCGATGGACATGGGACGCGTATCAGCCGCCGTAATCCTCCCAGTGAGTTCAGGGTTGGAGTTCCTCATGTAATATCATCCATGTCTTGACATCATCGGCACGGGGTTCCTTCTTATAGGATAGGAACTCTGCAATCTTTCAAGAACAAAGGCATTGCTAGAAGTGTCTCTTGACTCGGACTTGTTAACTCAGCTGTTCCAATGCACGGTGAAGGGAAGCGAGGTCTGTCTATAACAGCTGATTCGTCTGGTAAAGCTCTATGATAATATGAGCGGACCGGTAAGTAGTCTGCTGAAGCTTCGTGTGGGTATCACCATCGAAGATAATTCACCAGTGGTATTGCTCAAAACCTTCTCAGGGAAGTCTCCTCTTCCCGGTGATTCCTTTCCCTCCATCTTTCGAGCGCACTTGAGAAGCTTGATATCGAACTCCAAGTAAGTCAAATCCACGTTTGGGGGGGGGGGGGTTCAGTTATGTGTAAAGGAGACCGGGTCCCATGTTTCTTTTCTGTTGATGTCCAGCATTTGAAGTCAACATCATTACAATATTAAGAGCTGTGAGCTAGTTCTAAGTCCGTTGTCCGGTAGGTAAGCCGCTGAAGAGAAATGCACCTGGAACCGGCCGCATTAACGGGCCTGGAATACCTTTCAACCAACTCATTTCATACCCCATCTATACTTAGAAATAGTGAAATAGGGTAACTAAGACGGTTGCCTCGACTACTGTGCAAGGTCGTGTGGGCTGTGTTGATGGTGAGAGGGGTGGTGGTGGATGGTCCGGCTGTCTTCTTCCCGGAATATGTGTCGCTTGGACCAGAAACCGACGTACGTCTCCTGGTGCCTAATTCGTATCTCCTAGGAAGATTGGCTGGCCTCCTGGTCAATATACTCGAATGCAGCTCTATCCCAGTCTCATCACCATAATAGTTAAGAATTAAGTGCGTAGCCCACCGGTAAAGAAGTGGATTAATAAGTTATGTGTGTCGTCAGGGAGAAAAGCTCCCTTAAAACTGGCTAGAGAAGGCCTCCTACTTGACACCCCGCCGTTGGCCTATCGCTCCTTCCTGCCACAGCCCACAGTCGCCTTGGCTTAAAGATCACAATTCCAAGTCCCCCGAACTTAGAATCTAACAGTCATAAAACTCGTACCGTCACAGTAACTTATAGTAGCTAGGCTACTTAACTAGTTTAGAGTCTAAAGACATATTTATAATTCTTAACCCTTACATTTTAAACGTAATTTTCTACTAACCTACTTAGTATATTCTTTACATAACATATTCTATTAAATTAAATCTTTTCTATTAATAAGATAGAAGCCTGAATCGGGTCTTAAATACTTGAGAAATGATGATGATGGGTAGCTCGGAACAATGTTTTGCCGCCCCTGCCTCAAGCCGCCTCCTGTGACGCATGATTGCTGCTGAGGAAGTCGCCTTAGCACCTCATCATGTTTCGACGGAGCTGGGACTATTCACGGTCACCATCTCTAATAAACATCCTGAACTATGGACGTACCACGTCTAACTTGTGCACAGTGTAAGAAACGCAAACTCCGATGTGATAAATTGGCGCCGTGTTCGGCTTGTCGCAATGCAGGTCTTGCATGCCAGACGGTACAGCGTGCGCGCCTGCCACGTGGGAAGAGTGGGAAAAGTCGAAAACAGAAGCAAACTCTCGAGAGCCGTGTCACGAATCTGGAAAGCCTGTTGAAACAGCACAGTGAGGTACAAAGTTCAGAATGACACCCTCGATTACCGTACTGACCACAGTCGTGACAGCTCAATACAAGTTCAACTACTTTTGCAGGCAGCACAGGAACTGTTCCCAGCCCTAATGCGCCTGGAGGTCAAATTATGGCTACAGACTTTTGGTCTGCACTCTCTGAAAGCATCTCTGGTCTGCGCGAGATGTTGGAAGAATCTGAAGATGAGACTGAAGATGGATCAACAGTACACATGCAAAATTGCAACTCTGAAGAAACAGAAGGCACATCTTGCATGCAAACGGGGTTGCTATTCCCGAGTCTCAGCTCTAAGCAGCACATGACGCCCCCATTCACTTCGCTCAACGTCAGTAAGATCCTACTCAATCTATATCGGGCTCGTGTGGACACCGTGTACAAGATTGTGCACTGGCCTACCACCGTCACTCTGGTCGAGTCCAACCGCACGAACCCGTCACCTTCTATATCCAATCGAGCGTTGGAACGTGCAATCTACTTCATGGCGTTGTGTACCATAAGAGACGATGAAGCGCATGAGCTGGGTCTTGGTGTTCGGGCGGAGCTACTCAGGAACTACAGATCGGCTGCAGAGAGATTTTTGACGAGCTCAGACTTGCTGAAGCATCCGGACGTCGAGACGGTCCAAGCATTCGTCATATATCTGGTGTGTCTTACTCGGCGCAAGCGCTATCTCACAAATACCTGGCACTAACACACCTGTAGGTTGGACTCAGAACGTGCCTGAACAATGCAACCACTTGGGCCTTGATCGCTATCGCCGTTCGAGCCACGACTTCTCTAGGGCTCGGCGACGAGGATGCTAAGAGATTCACCCCATTTGATCTGGAGGTCCGACGAAGACTCTTATATGCCATTGGCATCTTAGATACACACTCCGCTCTCGATCGAGGTACAATACCAATGCTGGCATCGACTGCCTTCCGCCATCCACCGCTTGATGTCAATGATGATGAGTTATCACCATTGCAGGGTGTATGCGCGACTCCGTCACTGGGCGTGACAGACATGACCCATGCTATGATGTCGTATCAGGCGATGTTATGCCAAAGGCGCATGTACGAGCTATCACAAGAGTACGATGAAAACTACAAGAACTGGCCGAGGAGGCTGCAGCTGGTCGCAGACTTTGGTCGGTACGTAGAGAAAGTTTGCATACAGACATACGATTCGCCCACACCACTCAATACACTTCTGAAGATTTCTGGAAAGAAAATACATGTCAGCCTGGAGCTGCTCCTTCGAAGGCCGCCCTACCGCCAGCCACATGACACGGTGCCTCCATGGGATGACTACGACATCATGCTTGCTGCGACCGAAGTACTCGAACATCATCTGCAAGCACCACCACCCGAGCTAGGTCCATGGGCTTGGAAGAATTGGGTCCAGTGGCATGCTTTGGCCGTGGTACTGGCGGAGCTGGTGGTCAAGCCTCAAGGGCCTTCTTTTGCTCGGGCTTACACTATCGCAACAAAGAGTTTCCAGTACTATGCTCGGATTGTAGCCGACTCTCAATCGGGCATGCTATGGAAGCCCATTGCGAAGCTTATGCGTCGGGTTCAATGCTCCCAACAAAGCTCAGCTGTGGCGCAAAAAGCGCTACTGCCGGACCACATGAACGATCTGGAGGACACGTTACGGTCGTCTCACCCAACCTTGTTGAAGGCCGATGATAACTTCGACTTCAGCTACTGGAACGTCGATAATCAAGCAACTGTCTCATTTACGGATGACATAGGTCACGCAAACCAAGATTCGACACTGGGCGATGACGACATGTCATGGCTGGCGTGGGATTCCTTTCTTTCGGATATGACCGATATTACTATGTGAAGCCACATTCTAGCTAATCAAACAATCCCTTCAGACGGATTGTAGCGCATCACCAACTATGAAACTAGAGCTGCCACTTCTGGTGCCACTTGCTGTATCCTAAGTATAAGGTCTCTCCAGACCTTCTTCTGGATTTGTCTGCCCCTCTCACTCCGCATGAACTGGGACTCTGGCTTATATTGGCACTCGGATAAGTACCTGCCATGGCTCTCCTTTCCTTGCGCCAGGGCATGGACGTATGCTCGACTGCCCTTCTCTGCTGTCCATCCGATCAATGCGAAGCAGAATTTCTCTCCCGCATTCGAAGGTTTTGCGCGCGATAGCTCAGTACCACACCATCCTGGATTGATGAAGTTGAGAACAATCTGCGCATCATCCTTCGAATTGCTCTGTCCGAGACGATCTGCTAGTTCATGGGCGCACTGATGGACCATGAGCTTGGTTAAGGCGTATCTCCACACGATATCCGTGCGACTGGAATCGCTGAGCAGATCGAACATGTCGACGTTGTCGGAAAGACCAGCATCAAACTCGCTGTCCGGACCGAAGATGTGGTACATTGACCCGCAGAATGTAAGGGTAGTTTGGACCTTGTGCTCCTCGGATGTTCTGCGAAGTGCAGGTAAAACAGCGATGGCAGACATGAAAGTCGAGACGACGTTGACAGCGAGCTGTTTCTCGAGCTTCTCAGCGGTCTGGAATGACTGGATCTCCATAGCGGCGTTGGCAACGAAGGCGTCAAGGCGAGGCAACTCTCTGCAAACACGATTTCCAAAAGCAAGGACGTTCTGGTAAGAGGACAAGTCCAAGTCCCAGACCTCGAGCTTTGTCTGGCCCTGGCGTTTGGTTTCGCGATACACAGATTCAATTGCTAGTTCGCCTTTCTTGATGTCTCGACATGCAAGGATGATGTGGGACGAACCAAGACGGACGCTATGTAGGACAAATTTGGTCAGCGTAAGTTTTTACAACCCCGACATGCGATACTTCCAATTCTAAGGACATCAAAAAGTAGTTGGCCACACTCACAGATGCTTCACACACTCCAGACCAAGACCAGTGTTGGCACCGGTTACAATGATCGTTTTTCCAGTCAGATCCATGTTTGGTATAAAAGTTTTACCAAAAGCCTGGCCTCTCAGCATGTTGAAAACTTCGCTCAATGGAGCCATGATGTAGATATTAGAGGATGAAGAGCTTAGTTGCAAGTTCAGATTGCGTCTAAAGAGAAGATGTCGAGTTCCTTAAGATTGTTTGCTAGTTATCTATTCGCATTTGACTACCACGGTGCTGTTGGTGCAAGCTCTACAGAAACCGCAAAACCCGTAGATGCCGTGTGAGCTTCAAAAGCCGCAAAAGCCGCAAAGACCTTAGAGCGCTGATCGGGCCCGCATCGTGACAACGGACCTTACCAGAATTGTATAAGATGATGAGATCATCGCCATCTCATAAGACTAATTACCATACTTAAAAGAGCTAGCCCACCTTATCAGCATTGGGGAGTGGAAGGGTCCCATCTGGCAACCGTGTCAACGATATTGGACTTGAAATCATCTTCAGCGTGCTTACTGTCATATACCCGATTCGGGACTACAGCCTTCCGACTTCTCTTTCCTCATGCCATGAAAACGGGTGTCGTGCATCGCATGGTAGAGTTGATCGAACACTGAACCCTTTTCCTTTTTCTTGGCAGCCTTGTAAGGCTTATTCCCACCGATCGCCCATGCTTGGTGAATGGCGTCTGAGAAACCAGCTGGGGGTTTTATTTGATGTTGGTGATGCTGGTGAAGGAGTGCCACGACGAACAGTGCTACTCCCACGGCGACTATCAGAAAGAAAGCTCTGGGGTTCTTGGTCATGAATGTCATTGTCGTACCCGGCAAGAAAATGGTATTGAATATATATCTGCAAAACACATTGCTTCGCTGCCCAAATGCACAACCTGGGAACTGTTGCAGGGTATCTTAAAGACTTTGTATGTGCAGCTCAAGATCGGCTTTGTAAGACTACCGGGTTAAGCAACCGAGGAAACGGCCCACTTGGGGGGGGCTTGTGTCCCTTGATAACAGGCCAGAAATGTGTACATTACCCATAGTCTCAGCCATAAATTCCCGTTCATCGCTATCCTTGGCGTGTCTTGCTCGGATGGTATTCGCGATTGCGACTTTATGCCGTTTTTAATTCCGCGAAATACTTGAAATTGCGGGTGAAATACTGTCCCTGAACGCCACATAACTTCCCAGATGATGTTCAGGGGCACGGCAGTGGAACAAGCCACAAATGCCTGATTACCAGTGCGCGATACGTGTTCCTGATGACGCGACAGGATTCATCATAGCACCCCTTGTCACTATTCCGGATATCAATTGAGTTTCAGCGTTCCCTGGTCTCCGCGCAAGACGTCTCGATTTATCCATTGCCTAGGTCTCATTCTTTATGCTCTAGATGTCAGAGCCAGTCGCACATCGGCTATGATCATGTTGATTTAAAGATTCAGCACATTACACGTGAATTTGTTTCGTTTTAGCAGTTGTTATCCATCAGATAGTGGTGTGACTGTGCCAATATGTCATTCTATGGAGTCAATCTAGGTGTTCTCATTTTCTTGAATTCTGTACTCTTTTATCGGGAGCGGAAAAGCAAAACCACGACCCCGCCCTCCAAGGTCGACCTTGAGGACGATTCAGATGAAGAGCTGAAGGACGTTGACACGGAACCCGGCACGGGAGTGTTCGATTTCACGAGGCAGTATCTGGTTGGACATTTGCTGGCCTATGCCGCCGACTGGCTGCAGGTAGGCGGATCCCGTCCATCAAGTTCGCGAGCACCGACGGCTTTCTTCAGGGCTGACGGATTCCATAAACCCAAAGGGGCCGCACCTGTACGCCGTCTACAAATACGACAAGAAGCTTGCAGAGACTTATGTCGCCGCCCTGTACGCAACTGGCTTCATCTCCGCAGCCCTCAGCGGCGCCTTTGCCGGGCAACTGGCGGACAGGTTCGGCAGGAAGAAGGCGTGCCTTGTATACTGCGGCACATACGCGGCGTGCTGCCTGTCCATGCTGTCGGACAACATCCATGTCCTATTCGCTGGTAGATTCTGCGGAGGGATCAGCACCACGCTGCTTTATAGCGCATTCGACGCCTGGATGAACACAGAATACCACAGGCGCGAGCAGTGCTTGTCGCTGAGCACTCTGTACGGGCGGTTGACATTTTACAACTCGATCGTGGCCATCGGGGCTGGAATGACCGGAGAGGTACTGGTTTCTCTCACTGGGACAAAGATGTCGCCGTTCTTGCTGGCCGTGATGGTACTCGGCGGCACTGCCATGTGGATCAGCTTGACATGGGTAAGCCGGATGACCTTTCGTCGTGACTCCACGCAGCTGCTGAGGGATAACAGAGCGAGAACTACGGCAGCCAGGCAAATGATATGCCCGAGACTTCGTTCGTCGCGGTGGCACTTGCTGCTGTCAAGGAAATGTGGCGAGGTTTGTGGCATCATCACTAGGTATGTGAAGTGCTGGGTGATAGATGACTGACACGAGGTAACCCTAGACAAGCGCATCTTTGCCCTCACGACAGCGTCCTCATTATTTGAGTCTATGATGTATCTATGGGTGTTCTTCTGGTCGGCCGCAGTGATCAGTGCCCGCAAAGTCTCAGGAACCACGGAGGACCCGCCCTTCGGAATCATCTTCGCCAGCTTCATGTGCTGCATGATGGCAGGGTCGACCATATTCAACATGACTCGGCGCTCACACGATGTCACCAGCGCATCTTCCATCCTCAAAGCCGCCATAATACTTGCCAGCGTGTCGCTGTCGTCGGCCGTGATCACCCAGTCTCACGAGTACCTGGTCTTCTGGGCATTCTGCCTGGTCGAGCTGTGCGTGGGCATGTATTTCCCGAGCAAGGACTTTCTGAAGAGCAGGATTATCGAGGACAATTCTAGGGCCAATATCAACAGTATTATGAGGATGCCTCTGAGCACATTTGTCGTGTTGGCGCACTCGCTTGCCGAAGAAGGTTCGTCTGTTTGATGCTCTCCACCGCAGCCATCAGAACGAGTATGTCTGACCGCAAGCCTTTAGGTGATCATCATCGAAACAACGTGTTCGTGACATTTGGAGGGGCTCTACTCGTGGCTTTGGTCATCACTCATCGATATCTTCAATGAGTGAGCAAGCTGGAGCCACACTGCTGTAGGTTGATAGTTGAACGACTTGCATTTGAATGGCGACAGGGGCATTTGAATGACGGTCTCGGAGCATTCCAGCCATCCCTGGAGAGATGTCTTCACGTAGTTCGAAGGAGTGTAGAATGCATAAAAGGAAGCAAGTACCAAATATAAATGTTACGATCCTCGATTGGCGCTTGGCAGGCTTACATAAAGATGCATTCTAATGCTGCTGGTGACGAGCCGAGATTCAACACCCCTCCCCCAGTAAAAACTTGTTACAGAACTGCATACGCACCGAAATGGCTCAAACTTTATCTTTCAATGTCCATTTTAATGGATGACGGCAAGACGGCAAGATGGATCCAAAATTAGCAGCCGTGCTAGCCGGGCCTAGGCCGACACAGCTGGTTGCGGGATTGCGGCGGCAGGTCCACTTTATTAGTCCACCCTTTTCCAGGAAGTCGGCCCCCAGCCAAACCTTACCTCGCCGCAGACCCAAGCGACGTGTTCCAAGGACGGCTCCAGCAACGGCTCGACATGACACGACACAGCACAGCAGCACAATATGGCAGGCGTGGATGAGTACGGCCTCAGCGTCGCCCGCACCCGCGGCTTCAGGCTGGTCGTCCTGGCCGGCGCCGCCGTCATCGTCATCTGGGTGCTGGGCACTTCGCGACTCTTCAGCTCCAGCGTTCGTCTGGCCCCCATTGAGCCCCCATTGAGCCCCCTTTTCCCACCCTGTGCACCAGTACTGACATGTCCAATGCCCCCATGCGCAGGCCAGTTCGACCTCCCGCCTCATCCCCGTCGGCACCGGCGCAAAGGGACAGAAGAATGCACACACAACCACCGACACAACCACGAGCCCGACCTCGACCGCGCCGCCACGGGGCCCGCCCATAGTGGGCACCGGCGACGACTTCTTCGTGGTCGACGCCCTCCACCACGCCCTCAACCCCCCTCCGCCGCCGCCCCCTCCGCCTCCGCCTCCCCCGCCCAAGGTCCCCTTCCCGGACAACGTCGCCGTGATAATGGAGACGGACGTGGCGCGCGTCCCGAACCTGGTCCCCGTGGTCCTGCACTTCGCCAACGTCCTGGGGCCCAAGTGGCCCGTGGTGCTGCTGACGCGCAAGGACAAGTGGGTCGAGCCCGCGAGCCCAGCCTTCCGGCGCCTCATGGCCGAGAGGCGCCTGCACATCTACTTCCTGCCCGAGGCCACCACCTTCCCGGACCACCGCTCCGTCTCGGTCTTCCTGACCAGGCCCTGGTTCTGGGAGCAGTTTGAGAGCGCCGGCCGCGTGCTCATGTTCCAGGCCGACAGTATCGTGTGCGGCAACAGTGGGCGGTCCATCAACGACTTCCTGGAGTGGGATCTCATCGGCGCACCCGTCGCGGCGCAGTATGGCGTGGGCTACAACGGGGGCCTGAGCCTGAGGAATCCGAAGCTGGTGCTTGAGGTCGTCAGGGATCCTGCCAATGACTTTGCGAAGGACTCTGCCGATGAGGAACCGCCCGAGAAGGACGACCCTCCAAAGAAGGACCCGCCAAAGAAAGAGGAGCCACCCAAGAAACAAGAGCCGCCGAGCAAGCAAGGACCACCTGAACAACAAAAAGAAGCGCCCAAGAAGGAAGTTAAGCTGGTACCAGGCGACCTCAAGGGGGAAAACCAGGTCACTCGGCGGGAAGAAGAAGACACAGAAACGCCGCCGCGGGCCCCGAAACCAGTATGGATGAAGTTCGAAGACCAGTGGCTGTACATGAAGATGAAGGAGCGGGGCGCGAAGCTGCCGGACCAGGACGTCGCCGAGAAGTTCGCCGTCGAGACCATCTACTATGACAAGCCGCTCGGCTACCACCAGCCCTTCCGGTGGCTCAACGACTTCCAGAAGAAGCAGGCCATGGAGTGGTGCCCTGAGATCGGCATGCTGCAGGACGCGTCGCACTTCTTCTAGTAAGGGACCAGAGGAGGACGTTTGGCTGTCAGGTGGCTCATCTTTTTTATTTTGCTTTTTTGTTATCTGGTTTGAGGTTGGACCTCTTTTTTTTGTAGCATTGCACGGCGTCATGGGAATAGAGTCTAGAAGAGCCATCACCACTGGGGGGCGGCGGATGTATTGCTTGCTTGCTTGCTTGCTTGCTTGCTACACGCTGGGAATCAGAGAATCATTTGCTCCACCCGCTTCGAATCCACAGTCTGTCTTCATCGTCGTCTGGTCCTTGCTAGTCCACATACGACCCCGGAATGCTCAAGGTACTCTGCAGCGGCGGTCTCGTCGGCGCCGGACGGTCCTCCCGACGATCCCCAGTCAGGTGCACCGGCCTCGTGAGCACCACCGTCGCCCCGGACTTGGCCCTCGCCTGGGACTTGAGCGCCTCCTGGGCCCGCACGAGCCTGACCCTCGCCGCGGTGGGCGCCCGCAATGGCCGACTGCCTGGGCTTGCCACGGCTGGAGGTGTTGTCGGGCCGGCTGACCCGTTCACATCGTGCTGCACGTTGTGGTAGCCATTGTCCCGCGAGCCCCTGGTCAGCGGCGGCCGGGCAGGCGGCGGGTATGGCCCATGACCTCTACCACTATCACTGCTGCCACTGCCGCCGCCGACACCCCCTGCCGGCACCCAGTCCTCGGCTACGGTCGACAGCCGCGCCGCCCTCGACCTGTTGTTGCCGCCCATGGGCCCCGGGCTCGGACCCACCCCGGGCGTCGACACGGGCGTCGTGGCCCCGCTCCCCGCCGGGCTGACCCACCCGGCCATGGTCCTCAGGGCCCACCAGTCCTTGGCCCAGCCCCCGCCGCCTCCGGTCTCCGAACCTGTCTTCTCGGGGTCAGTGGTGTACTGCTGGTATGGCTGCTGCTGAGGTGGCTGGTACTGTTGGTGCATGTGCATGTGCTGCTGCTGCTGCTGCTGCTGCTGCTGCGAATACTGCGAATGCTGCGGATACTGCGGCACCTCCTTGGGCTCCGTGCACACCGGCGGCGGCAGCACGCCCGTCTTGACGGCAATGTCACTCGCGGCCAGCGGCCGCGGCCCGCCGATGCGCACCCTCGCCTCCGAGGTCTGCGAGGCCTCGCTGACCGAGTCGGCAATCTGCCGCTTGGTCCTGTCGTCGAAGCGGTTGAACGAGTACGAGGCCGACGACTCCTTCACGCTGGACGGCGGCGCCCTGGGCCCTCCGAGGTGGCCCCCTCCTGCTGCTGCTGCCCCGCCAGAGGCCGACGCATTGTGTGCCGCTGCGATGGCCGCCGCGTGCTGGGTGTGCGAGTTTGGCCGCGAGCCGTGGATGTTGTTGCTGTGGTGGCTGCGGGGCAGCGAGACGGCCGAGCCGCGCCGCGAGATGCTGTCCTCTGAGGTGACCTCGGGCATGGATGCCATGGCGGCCATGAGGTCTGAGACGCGGCAGGTGACGACGCTCGGGGGGCGGGAGTAGCGTGAGGTGATGTAGGGGAGGTCGAACGGCCGCGATGCTTTTTCTGCGACGCAGTTGATGAAGATCAGTATAGGGCTGTGAATAAGGTTTCGCCTGTTAGCAAATTTCCTCTCTCTCTTTTTCTCTCTCTCACTCGGTCCCTCTTCCCTTCATCTTATATTTCACCCACCCCGTTTGCTCGTCTACCTGATGCCCAGGCCCCCAGCCCAGCCTCCTGCAATGATCGACATCCCCGGATCAACCGGTGGGCCTCCCTCAGGGATCTAGATGAGGGGATCCACAATTCACGCTGCATCACAAGCTTTGGCCACCTCGCAAACCCCCCTTGCCCCCCCTCTTCTTCTCCCCAAAAACAGCCCTGTAGGGCAGGCAGGCAGGCAGGTAATCCGACAGGCAGGACTTACGTTGCAGAAGCACAGGCCACAAGATTCACGCAGGCCACAGGCGACGGGCCCTTGGATACCGAGACAGAGACGATGATGAGCGAGACGGCCCAGGCGATGAGGTCGATCCGGGCGACGACGATGGCGGAGGCCTGGAGGGGCTGCTGGACGGTGGGATGGTGGACGTGGCCGACCAGCTCACCCTTCCGCGCGGCGTGCAGGTGGAGGGCGACGTACAGGAAGCCCATGATTGACTGCTCATGTACAGTTTGGGGTTAGCAGCCGGCCGGAACGGGATCCTCACGGTGATACGGCATGCATCATGCAGCAGCATGCAGGCCACAGGACTGCAGCCGTTTGTTGTCCCGTCTGCTGGCCATGCAAGCGCCGTGTGAGATGTGACGGGAACGTACCGAGAACATGACCCAGCTCTGGCCGAGGCAGTCGTCCGACTCGACGTTGTGGCCGAAGACGAGCCCGGACGTGAGGATGGTGATGAAGCAGAAGATGAGGAGCAGCACCAGGTTTGCGAGCACCACCCAGTGCAGCTTCGTGATCGGGGCGTCCTGGGCCCGCCCCAGGACGTACGAGTCGCTGTCCTTGTCGTAGACATAGTCGTATGTGCTGGCTGTCGGTGATGGTGATGGCACATCCATGATGCTGAGCGCTCAATGGCTTACTTACAGGCCCGGCATGTCGAGGGTGAGAACTTCAGAAGATCATGAGCACCCGGCCTCAGATGCAGCGGCTCCCGTCAGCTCGAGAGAAGGCGAGACAGGCCGAGTGCTGCTGGTCCGGGGACGACGTCCCACAGGCTTGTTTTTCATGTTGATTTCATTTCCGGATCGAGTTCTCAGCTCGAGCCGTTGTGAGGTTGGAAAGTCGATGCTCCTAGGAAATGTCTTAGCGGGCGTAGGTGAGGGCGGAAGGGGTTGTGAGACAGAAGCATTCCTAAGGGCGGCGTTGCTCACGCAGGGAGCCAGAGAACCGGCCCATGGCCCGGCGGGATATCTACCTAGGTACACAGCATATAACGGGCGAGAGTCAAGCCAACGTCATAATACACCATGCGTTTATATGCTGCTAAACTCTGAGGCAAGGAGAGAAGATCACCAGGGTCGAGGATGATGCGCCCATGACATCTTCCCCCTGCCCAAATGGACAGATTCGAATACTGGTCATCCTTGGTCAGGGAAACATGGTGGCTAGTTACTACTGATGATCCTTGGCTTCTTTTTCGCGGACTACACATGCTACTTTGAATCTTGAAGGCTGTCCAGGGTGATCTTCGTGATTCAGTCTGCACCCCAGGAACAAGCTTCGCATTTCACGCTGGCAGGTGGTGCAGACCCACCCAAGGCAGGGAGGGCATCCACTTAGATGAGAAAGCCGGTGTAACCCGGCCCCACGGACTAACAACAGATAGGGCACATGAGGACCCTGGAGATGTCGCCAGCAGCGTGGTATTAGTAACATTCTGGGGGACTAGCCCGACACCGTTGACGGCGCCTTCAAGATATAACAGGCCAGGACGAGGCAAGAGAAGGGATTCTTGATACGAGTTGCTTTAATTGAAAAGCTCAGTTTCTTCTATCACTCTAATTCTGGGTGGAGAATCCAGCTGGTGCCGCAGGGGGTGGGTCTGGGGGGTTACCCTTCTCTGTTCTCTGTCTGCCCTTGGGAGCCGCCACGGATTTTCAACAATGCCTAGATGTATCCCATCCTTTATAAAATCTATGACAAGGGACAATGATCTAAATAACGCACTATTCCTCGTGGGAGCACCAACCGTGGCGAAGAGGGCGTATGCGTGGAGCCCCTGAGCGCGGGCCGTTGAGCCCGCGCAGACAAGCTCTGGGGCAAGCAGCGCTAACAAGCTCCACTTCGTTCGTCTCTCGCGTGCACCAGTAGCTGCTGTCTACACTAGGAATTCCTTATGGAAGGGAGAGTCCTTAGTCGACAGGTCAGCTTTAAGTGGTTTGTTTCGTTCTTGGTCCGGATACATCCCGAAGACGTACGGCGAAGCACAGAAGCTTAAGGCAGATAGAATATCGGCGGAGAACAGCTGAACTGATTCCGTATAGCATTGATTCCTGGGCCTCTCCAATTTTAAGACCAGGGCTCTTTTTCGCCGGTGCTCCAATCTTGAGAGAGCAAATACCGTATTTATTAGACGAGTCTTGAGACTTGTGGGTCCCCCTCGCCTTTAGTCGACCAAATCTCAGACTCGCCGAAGTTGTATTGTTGCGAGCTCAGGAGCAGGCTGCAGATAGTCTAGGCCGAAACTAGCAGCTCGCCTGCAGTCAGCCTCCAGGGCTGGACCCGGACCTAGGTGAGATGGATACCCACGCCACAACCCACGCTTCTGCCTATTCTGCCTATTCTCCTATTGAAATCTCTTCAGAGAAGACCAAGTATATAAGGCGAGTACAAGAGCGTGGTGAGGCCCGGCTGTCCGTCCCATCACACTTCGATATTGTGACTTACAGCTCCTTCTTTTGAAATTTCGTTGTCCTCACCTGCCCAGTCTCCTCCATCAACATGGTCCGCCTTCCTTCAGCCGTGGCGCTACTCGCTCTTGCTGCTTCAGCAGCGGCCCAGAAACTAAACTCGTGGCCGCAACATAATTACGGGGGCAACGGACTTGCAACAGACAGCGACACCAACACGGTCGAAGAGTACGACATTCCCGCGAGGTATGCCCTCCTCTTCAACCGCTGGATCAGCCTCAGCGGCTTCTACATCCAGTCTTCTGGTGACTTCATCACCGACTACTCGGTGACGGCCTTGATCGGCCCCTTTGGGCTCCCGCAATCGGTGGATGTTGGCCGGGTATGTGGGGCTACTGGGAATTTCACATACGTCCCCTTGGTAGACCCACAAGATGGGTCTTATGTGTGGTCCGACACTCTGTTTATCGAAGTCAGCGGTGCCAAGGGAAACTCGTCCACCGCCCGCATCAACGAAATCTGGCCCGTGTTCCCCGGCGACGAGATCTTCGACCCGGAGAACACTTCTCCGTGCCCGGCCACTGCTACTAAGTAGTCGCCATTGGGAACTCTCGCCCAGTGAAATTCAGTGTCACGAATTTACGAGGATGTTTGATATTGACGGAGCGAGCTTTGTAAGGAAACGACATTACTGTTCCAGCATGTCCAAGCATGGAGTGCAGAGGTGGATTGAGAAACAGGCACTGGTACCTACGAACTTGGCTGGTTGGTGGACTTACGCCAATGACCAACTCGCGAGAAGAAAGAGGACTAGATGGGATTGATACCAACGCTGAGCCACTATGGAAATTAGTAGAAAATACTTAGCTACAAATAATCGTTGAGACTAAAGGCTGTTGCTCATGTTTCTCTCAGTGAGATATCCCTGGTCGATCTCATGTTCCCGGCAGCCCAACTATGTAAATTCTAAAGTGGTTTGATATTGAAGTTCTGTTTCGAAATGTGTGTTCACTTTATTCGGTTACGCAAATTTTGAAAAGTGGTAGGTGGACACCCCATAACCTACACACCCAGAAGGTTACTGGTAATCCGGGACTGGTGAGCGTTTACCATTGTAAAGGCCACACATACAATTTAATATATGTCTGGGAATTAGAAACGAAACCACTTCTAGAACTTGTAAGCATTCTGAAGCCACTGAGCGGCATTCTTTCTGAACTCTTTGGGAACTCTAGGCACCCTTGATGGCCACCGTTTGGCATGAATTTATGAATTCTGTTTGTGCCCTTTATTTAGGTACCTAGGTACTGCTTTTGTTGCACAGCAGCATCATGCTCGTGTACCGAGATCTGGAACCTTGTATAGAAATTCTTGCTTCAACGTACATATGCTGCTTCGCAACTCTAGCATTGCAGCAAACCTGATGCCTCGCTCGTCTTTCCAACCTGTGACTTATCTCACTCGTCTTCGGCCCGGCCCAACTGTCCCAATTATACTGTTGGCCCTGCGCAAACGAGGGTCAGTCAGTCAGTCAGTCCTTGATGGCTCAGCTCTCGATAAACTTTAGGAACTACATCGATTGCAAACCATACATTCAATGCTTCCGGCACACTCAATCTCGGTCAACCGATTAGTTTCCGCTGGCGCGTTCAGTTTTAATGTTACAGCAGCCCCAAGACGGCCTAGCCTTGGACAACGCCCTCCCTGCACATGCCAGGTACCACGGGTACTCAAGTACGCAAGTAACTTCAACCCTGCACCTCATCTTACCGGCTTACATCCCCCTGAAGTAGGGCGCCCCGCCACCAGGGGCGTACCTGGCAAAAGCTTCCTTCGGCTGACGCTTATTATGCTTTGCCAACCTTGGAAAGCCGATTTATTCGGTCTCTCCACCCGTACAGATAGATGGTAGACCAACGCATCATCGTTGCGCCTGAAGATCCAACTCACATTCTCTGGCAACACCGCTCTTACCAGTTCATCGGCCGCAGTCCCATCTTCACAATGTCGGCTTCGGCAGCGACTTTCCCTCTATTTAGCGACTTCCCTACCGAAATCCGACTTGCCATCTGGCGCCAGTGTCTACCTCACCGCGTCGTGGAACTCGATAATCAGCCAGATGACATCATCTGGGACGAGGAGACGGAAGAAGAAGCCCCACCGTGTAGCAACAACGGGATGATCCAGCTGCGCAACAAGGCTCCTCCCCTCATCGCACGGGTCTGCCGCGAGTCGAGGCAAGTCGCCTTCGAGACCGGCCGCCAGTTGCCTGGATATCCCGACCCCCGCGACCCGGAGAACACCCAAGAGTTCGCCCAGTACATGGTCGCCAACCCGTGGCTCGACTCGGCTCGCGATGTCGTGCACATCAACTGGGACCCCGTGGCCGACATCGAGTGGCAGACGTACGACTGGGGCGACCCGGTCCGTTGTGTCATGTCGTATGCTGAGCAGACGACGATGCGCCGGGCGTCCATACGGCTCGGCCTGTTGCGCGCCATGAAGTCCCGTGTCGAGCCCCACGATCACTACAGATGGACCCGACAACAGCTGGCAGACCTGATGCGCACCCACAGCTCATCCCTCGACTGGTCTGTTGTCGTGAGGTCACCTATCGTGGTGCACGCCACTGGTACCACCGACACTGGTGGTTTGTTTGGCCTCCTGGGTGATGCTCCAGTTCAGCTTGTCGATGTACATGATCACACGAAGATCCAAAAGTTCATGGGGCTCAATGCTACCCATGGTATCACCATCAGCTCCCGTATTGAGCCCAGTGAACTGGTCGAGACTGAACAAGTACTGCGGGATGTGGTGGACGTGATTTTTGGGTCCGTGGAGGCTGCGCCTGCGCTGCATCCGGTCCTCATGTTCCGGCTTTGCAGGGAATATTGCTAATTGGATGTCTGATTGCTTCACCCTGATTAAAAGCCGATAGTGCATTGGGGGTAAATTACCAAAACCCAGGCCTGAACGAAGGGGCGTCATCGACGGCTTTCAGTGCTTTACCATTATCTTAGAACACTATCATAAAATACAAGAAAACCGAACACAGTCTAATACTATAAATGGAACCTCGTCAAGCCCAATCAACAATAGGGGCCTCCCCAAACACGATTCTCGAACTTCTCTACCCCTTGGATAGCATCCCAGTGCCTCTTCACCACCGCGGTCCTCCCCTGGCCCTTCCTCGGCTGGCTGCCCAACCACGACTGGAAGTCCTTGTAATCCTGCGCGAACTCGGAATGGCTCGCACTCGTCTTGTCGTGGTCCACATCGGTGTACGTTGTCCCGTCCTGCGCCGTCGGCGTGTGCGTGTCTACAGTATACGACCGGCCCTTTTGGTTCTTGAGGTAGTCGTTGAGCTCGTCGATGTAGTCCGTGCCCATGTCGGCGAGACGTGCCTCGTGGACGCCGACTATCGCGGTGCGGGACTGCTCGAGGCCTTCCTTGGTGATGCCCTCCCTGTTGTCGCCGTAAATGGTACGGACGTCTTGGATCTTGTCGGTGACCTTGGTAAGGATGTCGCTGAGACTGGGGTTGCCGCCCTTGGGGCCCGTCCACCAGCCACTCTGGAAGATCTTATCGGGGTCCTGGTTGGCTGTTCATGGCGGCTCATTAGCGGGACTCTCGCTTGACATTGACAAATTGGTGATTTTCATCCTTGCCGGAACTGCCTTGCACATAGGCTGTGACGACTACTGACAAGGATGGGGTGGAGGACCACAACAGATGAATTTTCTCCTACTTACGAACGAAGTCTTTCCCGCCGGACTTGAGACCTGCGAGCTCTTTGGCGGTCTTCGTTGCGTCAGGCCAGAGATCCGTCCCGACTGAGGTCTTCTGGCCAGGATCGAGCGTCTTTCCAGCCCTTTGCAGATAATTGACGAAATCATCAAAATGGCACGGGGCTGGACAACCAGGCGCTATCGAGTCGGCTCTTCGCCCATAAGCTTGAATGTCCATTTGATAAGCACTGCGAGAGTCAGTATGGACTACTATACGATATTGATTTCCGAAGTGGTCTCATCCGTAGAAGACTTACTACCACAAATAAACCGTCTAGTCACAGAAGAAATGGTTAGTCTCGTTGATGGCTCTCGACACGGTTCCAATGTTGCTGAAAGGCTCTATCAACGTTCACAACCCGAGGAGAAATTCACCAACCTGATAGGGAGATGCGAGCTTGCTGGCGAACACATTATGCCCGAGAAGGGAAAGCAAACAAGTGAGAGAAATAAGGAACTTCATGATGACACCCCGTGGGACCTGAATACACGTCGACTTCCTTTGCACGAAGAAGTCAATGTGAGCAGCTGGACTCAACTTCACAATACCCGTGGGCGCAATCGAAAAGCGAACGACACTGAGAAGAACCGAGGATGTTCAGGTTATCAGCCTTTTGTCGGATCTGATTTCTATCGGTCTACTATTGTGCGGTGGTAATGAAGGATGCGATGGCAAATGAGACAACCACAATCAATTCATATGGATTCCCATGATCCAGAGCTTACGCCGGTGTTAGACATTGACAATTCCACCAATCCGTGAACCCTTATTTCCACCATGTTGCTGCCTGCGATTGAATTTAGGGTAGGATTTGAAGACATTTTCAAACCCCTGAGCTCAGCCCTTGCGTCTAGAGGTCTAGAGCATAGGAGGACTACTACCGCTGACCACAAGCGCCAAGTCGCAAATTGCGGGAGCCAAGCTGCTACGATTATCCATGTCGCGAGTGGTCGGCCCTCTCCTGAGTGACGCCTACCGCAATTTTACAAGCAGGCAGCCTCGAAATCCTGCGAAATACTTCAAGCTTTGAGGTTGCAAACCAAGCAATACTACTGTAAGCACTAGGAAATGCATAACCATGGACACACTATAACAGAAATTGAGGGATCTGTAGCTGCAAGCAGGGAGGCCGAGACTAAGCAAAGGCAACACCATTGATGTAGATCGTTGCAGGTCACCACACGTCCGTGTGGGTATAAGGCAGCGCACGACCGCATATTCTGGGCTCTCGCGCACGCTGCAAGAGACCACGACCTCATCTTTCGTTTAGGAGTGTTGTGATTTTCTCGAGACACAGCAAGTCCAGGATGGCGACCTGCAAGTACACTCAAGTCCAAGCTGGCGACGGGTGTTGGGCCCTTGGGGAACGCTGCGGAATCTCCCAGGCCGACCTTGTCAAGTACAACCCCAGTTCCGGATTCTGTGACAATCTGCTCAAAGACCAATACGTCTGCTGCTCTTCTGGGTCTCTCCCCGACTTCTCCCCCAAACCAGACAATAATGGCAACTGCTTCGTCTACACTGTCGTGCCGGATGACACCTGTGACAAGATTGCAAAGGCCAACCACATGGAGTGGCAAGATATTCCCACATACAATGAACTCACATGGGGATGGACGAACTGTACGGGGCTCCAGAAGGGCCAGAACATTTGTTTGAGTGAGGGAATGCCACCGTTCCCTGCGGCTGTCAGTGGGGCTGTTTGCGGTCCACAGGTATGTCCTCCTGGCTCGTTATCTTGATCCTCTTAATCAGTGCCTGCTATTCCAGAGTCTCACGGTGCCACTACTGCTAACTGATTTATTCTTGGGGTGTATAGAAACCCGGAACGGTGAAGCCAAAGAACGGTTCGACTTGGGACTGGGCTGAGCTAAACCCATGCCCCTTGAATGCCTGCTGTGATATATGGGGCCAATGTGGTATAACGCCCGAGTTCTGCACAAATAGCACAGAAAGTGGCGGGTACGTCCTTGTTACAATCCTGTATCCGTTATCACACACCCTTTAGTCCTAAGACTGACATACAACCCCATCTTAGGGCGCCTGGTACGGCCAAGAAGGACACAAATGGCTGCATCTCCAACTGCGGCACCGAAGTCAACTCCTCCAGCTCGTCTGTTGAGGCACGGCGGATCGGCTACTTCGAGGCCTGGAACCTGAACCGACCCTGTGCCAACATGGATGTCTCCAAGATGACCTTTGACGGCTACTATACCCACGTGCACTGGGCCTTTGGCAACATCACCTCCAGCTGGCAGGTGGATGTGACGGGGCAGAAGGAGCAGTTCGACGGCCTGCTGAAGCTCAAAGACATCAAGCGCATCATGTCCTTTGGAGGCTGGGGGTTCTCCACCGACGCCTACACGCACCAGATTTTCCGCACTGGCGTCCGGGATGGAAACCGCCAGATCCTCGCCGCTAACATCGTCAAGTTCATCGTGGACAACGATCTTGAAGGCGTCGACTTCGATTGGGAGTACCCTGGCGCCCAGGACATTCCTGGAATCGGCCCTGACGCGCTCGACTCCGGGGACAATTATGCACAATTCCTGAAGCTTGTCCGACAGCAGTTACCGAAGGATAAGTCCATCTCGATGGCGCTGCCGGCTTCATATTGGTATCTCAAGGGCTTTGACCCGGTAACACAGTTCGAGGATTATATTGTACGTCCCAAGCCTAATGAACCCCCCCCCCCCTACGATTGCACAAAGAAGATTGACCTTTTTCTAGGATTATTATGTATTCATGACCTATGACCTTCACGGTCAGTGGGACTATGAAAACACTTTTGTCAAGTAAGTATTTATCCAATCAGTCGCCCCTTAGTCCGCAAATTTCTACATTATCCCAATACTAACAATATCATCAAGTCCCGGCTGTCCGAATGGCAACTGTCTTCGGAGTCACGTCAACAAGACAGAGACCGAGTACACATTAGCCATGGTCACTAAAGCTGGGATTCCCTCTACGAAGATCGTGCCTGGTCTTGCCCTCTACGGTCGTAGCTTTCAAATGTCAGACTCCTCGTGTAAAGGGCCTGAATGTACTTTTACTGGCAAGGAGTCAGGTGCCACCAAAGGATCATGCACAGACACGTATGTGGCACAAAGCCCCCCAAAACTGATTCCTCAACACAGCGGTCTTGCTAAAATATTTCTTATGGAATAGTGCCGGATATATCTCCAATGTGGAGATCCAGGCCCTTATATCACAGGCCAACGGCGACAATCCTGACGGACTCACCATCTCCCAGTACAAGGACGAGGGCGATATCCTTATTTACAACGACAATCAGTGGGTCTCGTGGCTCACGCCCGAAAGCTACAACGAGCGCAAGGCGTGGTACGACGGCATGAACTTTGGCGGCAGCGTCGACTGGGCTGTCGACCTGAACCGTACTTACGGCAATAATGGCACGGGAGACCTACAAGAGTCTGATGACGATTGGGAAGAGTATACACCCTGCCCAACCAAGCTTTACAATAATCTGGACGACTTGCTCGGAGCCTCAGACCTGCCGGTACATTGTGTCGCACAGATGACGCTCGACACCCTCATCAAGATGCTCGATGACGCGTATAACCACTATACGGATGTGAACAACGGATATGATGAGATGTTCGGGTACTACGTGACCTACATCGAAAAGATAGTGCCGGCTGTGCTCGATAATGCATTCATGTGGAATATGAGCATTACGAATCAGAATGCACTTGTTCCTGAAATTGGCTACGGCATGCAGTGTAAGTTACCCCCCCCCCTTTTCCCTATGGCCCTCTTGAGTCCAAAGCCTAGTCAGACGTAGCGTTGATATAAGACTGACCTCTACCCATTCTTAGACTTTGACTGCCAGTTCCCTGAACAGAAGGACTGGGTGTCCTGTGCAACCTGGGATGATCACCTTGACTCGCTTTTACGCTACCTCGACGCAACAGAGCTGCGCCTGCGCGATCACGACGGATTTGCCAAGGCTCTTGCAACGGCGGGCCTACTCGAGGATGTAAGTCTCTCATCAATATCAGAATGCCCCCGTTCTCCGCCCCCTCCGGCATTTCCAGATATCTCAGGAATGTCGAGCATTTTCCAGATGTCAATTACTTACTTGCGTATCAGTGGGTCGACTTTGGCGACTACAAAATCCACCGCACCAACAATAACGACCGCCCGGCACAGTCATGGACTCTGAGCTTCCACGGGTGGCCGATCCGCAACGAATCCATGGTGGTAAACAACCCCAAGGACATCGTCACCAAGGGCCTCCCCAACATTCCAAGCCTACGCCAGGAGATGGTCGCGAGCATGCTGGAAATCATGGGCGGGAGCTGGGCCGGGGGGGACTCGCGAGATGCCGCGCTCGCGTACGCGCCGGCCGTGTTCATGCTGCAGCAGGCCGTGGACAGCATGGCGCAGGCCAAGGAGCTCGGCGCGCAGGAGGAGAAGACCGAGGAGGAGGAGGAGCGCAAGCGCAAGGAGAACCTCATCCTGCTCATCATCGGGGTCGCGCTCATGTTCGTCCCCGTCGTCGGCACGGAGGTGGCCGCCGCCCTGGGGCTGACCAACATCGCCCGCGTCATCGCCGTGGCGGGCGAGCTGGGCAACGCCGCGTTTGCGACGTACGAGACGGTCAGGGACCCGGCGTCCGCCATCGTCAACATCCTCGGTATGCTCTTTGGCGTGGGCCAGATCGCCAAGGCGGAGCGCAGCGCCACGGGAATCAGGGGCGTGGCGGCGTGGCGCAAGGGGATGAAGTCGAGCGAGATCTCGTCCATGGGCAGGTTCTTCGCGGACGGGGACTCGAAGGTGCAGACTCTACTTGGTAAGGTTTGCAAGCTTTGAAGGAAACCATTGGTATCTGAACTTGGCATTCCTCAATATCTCCTGACCTTGTCATCGACATAGTTCAAGACCTTATCATGGGGGCTTTGTCGTATACCACGACAGATTTGAGCAGCAGCTCGCATTTTTTTTGTTGTAGAATATTAAAATTATAGATTTCGTTATTGAATTCCACAAATGCACAATGTCCTTTATCCTCACCCTCCTGGTGTTTAGAATCAGGACTCTGCTTTTAAAAAGGTTTCATCCGCGGCTCACTGGCATCCTGTGGGATTTGTCAACTTGTCGGTCATCCGGTTTTCTTTCAGTTCGATCCTGGTTGGGCTACTTCTTAAAATGGAAGCATTCTGGAATTGTATTGAGGAAAGTGGAATGAGTCTACCTAGTAGGTACTCACAAAAAGGGCCTAGTTCGTCAGTAGGAGAACCCGGCAGAGGGCCATCGTAGCCTTGCGCCTTCCCATCCACCCGGTCCCTCACCATGCGCTTTTTGAGCTCTGGTATGGGCCTGTGGTATTTTTGAAACTTTCCAGTCTTTAGTCTTTGGGGTACGGCGCCATTGTCCCAAGTTTCCAGTTTGGTTCCTCTATCAAGTTTGCCTTTCCCCTTCTGTTATTAGCAGACCAATTCTCCTGTCATAGTTAGCAAGGGCGATTATTGGAGCAGTGAGAAGTACCATATAAGACAATTTGTGTACTCTAAGCTTAAAGGATTAAAATTATAGTTCAGTACTTATATATTGTTTATAGAATGTGTACTTAGGTAGCCTTTTAAGAGGGAGAAAAAAGAAGAGATTGGAAATTCGTGTACCCAAAATCGGAAGGTATATACCCTCCCTACTATTCAGCCATTCAGAACACAGAGCCTTAAAGTCTCTATAACTTTACCAAATAAGCGTTCTTCACGATTAGGGACTATAAATAGGGCGGGTTGGTCCTCTAGGAACTTGGGTCGTGCCTACCAGCCCTACTCACGGCCCTCCGCTATACTTCACGCTCCGGGGCTCACCCCCTTCACCCCAGCCGGCCCTTTCATATAAGAAAGAAGTCTTCTTATATAAAATACTTTCTTAGTCAGCAGAGGGTACGCACCTTCCGATTTTAAGTACATAAATTTCCATTCTCAAAAAGAAGAATGTACCAGTTATGAAACTCGCTCTTGGGTGTATCGACAAGCGCCAAAATGTTCATTACTGATGTTCCACCGAGACCATCGCTTCTACACTAGGCCCAACATTTTACTTTTTCTTCTCCCACATTCTCACGGGGGACTTTCATGTGTATCTAGTTATAGGCCACTTCATCACAGCGCGTGGTTATTAAGCCCGGGTATGTCAATTCTTGGGTCAACCCGGCAATCCAAGCCAGCCTCGATGGCAATAACTCTTGAATTGACAGATTCGAATTCAGATTCCACAAATTTTGGTCCAAATCTCGCTTGGCTACAATGCTGTTGGTTTGATGACACTTGCGCGAGGCAACATTGAGTATGGACTTGCCGGGCACTCCTCGAGGCCTTTCCCCACAAAGTGCCAAAACTGAGGAAAATGGCTCATGGAACGAGCCAAAAACAGTAAAAATGACTGCTTTCATTTTCTACTTGACCTCAGTTTGAATTACGTTAGCTCATGATCCTGTATTCACTGTTCGGGGTGTTATCGAACCAACTGGAGTGCACCGGCATACCCTAGTGAGTTCCAACAACACCGAAAGTTTCCTGGGCAAACAGATCGGCTCGTTCAGAAAAGAGGTCGACAACCAGTTCCTATCAAGAATTAGGAATCCGTGAAGTAGGACGCTTCATTGGGAGTATGTTACACGCCACCCCATCTCGGAACGGCCCCCAACATGCCCAGGTGTGCAACCTCCACGGCCTTTCGGCACCTCTGACACGGAATACTTTGAACGTGAAAAAGCAGTTTAAATGTCAGCTGAGCGAGGTGCAGGGCGAAAATAAGGCCCCCGACCAATAGCGGATTGTGTTTTGAATTGTTACAGTCCTTGGCCAATCCTTCGCATCGGGTTCTTCCACACCTAGGTACTTAGTTATATATACTTTTTCGTGGTTCCAATGGTGCTTTCTAACCTCGTTCCTTGCACCTCACTCTCAAGCAACACCGCGTTTCATTGAATTATCCTACCCACCTAAAGAGCCAGGCAGTCAAATGGCATCGCCGACGGCGACGCAAGGGCCCGCCACTGTGTACATTACGCGAAACATCATCGGTCCCCTGACGACAGTGTTCACAGCACCAACAGAATGCGGCATCGCCGCTATCATCAGCTCCCAGAGATCGGCGTACAGAGCCCAGGAATGCATCGTCGATAGCCTACTCGACGCCTCAACTTGTTGGCCGCAGGCGACGGCTGCCGCGCCGTTGAAAAGCCCGCCCCTCAAGGGCTGGGGATTTTACTCGCCGGGGATCTCGTGCCCCGCTGGGTATACCAGCGCTTGTTCTGCCACGCAAGGGTCCAGCACGGGGTGGGAGATGCAGTTCGCGATGGACGAGGGGGAAACTGCGGTTGGTTGTTGTCCGACGTACGTCAACTGGTCCTGCGATGTGGACTCGACCACTCTCTTGCGTTGCTTGTCGAGTCCTAAACCCTGACGATTGGACCTTTACAGTAGCTACAATTGTGCGAGTTTTGGGAATGGCCAGAGCTGCATGCTGACCGGCTCTACCACGTTCTTGACGGCTCATTGTGGCGGGGAGGGCAGCCTTGTCGATACGGGCTACGCGACGTTTCCCCTCATGTCTACGATCACTAAAGCGATCACTTCTGGGGGAGACTCGTTGACCACCTCCACGGTAAGCCTCAACATTGTGGCACCAATGATCCAGATTAACTGGAGGAGCGAAGATTTGGCAGCTTCATCTCAACCAAGCCCTTCCATCGTGTCTTCTGGTACAAGCACCAGCACGACTTCGAGCAGCTCTGCTTCAGCTGGCACCCAGAGGGTGTCTTCTCCGACAATTTCGAACACAAGCCCGGTTCCAAACCCGGACAACTCCATCTCGGCCGGAGCATTATCTGGTGCGGTAATTGCAGGAGTGGTATGTCTTGTTGCTATTGCGGCAGCAATATTTTTCTGGATGAGGCGGCGGAGAACTCAGAGCCGCATCAATAATGATTTAGTGAAGGGGACGGTGAGTGACAGGAAGCATGGGGCACACGGGGCTGTCTCTGAGCTGCAATCGGTTGAGCGCTCACTTGAGCTCCCGGGCTTTCGGGAGCCCAGCGAGCTTTCCGGGTATCAGAGGCCTGTCGAGTTGTCAGCCTCACCGACTATGCCGCATAACACAGTGCGACACCAGGCCTAGCGAGTGTTTAGCTATCAGTCATAGCCGGGGAGCCCGAGTGATGGGGCAAGAGGGAGTAATTTGAGCAGTGGTGGTTCGAGAACTATGGTTGCTAAGTGAAAGAAACCATTGAGAGGCCGACTCTAGATGCCCATGGGTGTTGTTAGCTTGAGTCCAAGGTAAAAGTGGGTTGGCGGCGCCGGACTTGGATGGTGCTGTCCATCAAACTGTCGAAATTAATTCGACAGTTCGAAGGCATCAATGATACCCACCTGAGCACCTCGCGTCCTGCCAGCTGTGGAGGGCCACTCGAGCCGGGTGTTCCTGTGTCAGATGGGAGAACGGACAGTCTGCGGTCAAGGGCAAAACAGGGTAAAGTCAAGAGTGCATTTGGAGGTGCGAGTGTCCGATTTGTGTAACCTTTAGCCAAAATCCAGGTACTGTTACTCGTCGGCACATGTGTGGAACCAAGCTGACATAATCACCCCAGATGCACCAGGGATCGGGGTACCAAGGTACCAAGCACACGCGGCAACACGGCGATTGGCGTTCAAGCTCCCGTCCCAGTTTCAGGCCCAAAAGTCGGCCGCCACCCAGACCTCGCTACCCAGACGCCAGCTTGCCCAGGCACAGCTCTGAAGCTCCTCGGCAACGCGACACATGTCGTCGCGTGGGGATTCAGGTGAACCACCACGCGGCGACGGTAATGGAAATGCCATGATCTGTCATGGGAAACTGCTGATCTGCCAGACACTAAGAAATATTAACAAGTACGGCGAACAGGCACCCACGCCCCAGAGTCCGAGTCCAGGCCTCCTGCAGGGCGATGGAGAATGCACCGACGCGTGAACCCGATGAACGACCAGGGGTGCCGGCAAGGTCAGAAGCGCCGTCCTCGAATCACGATGCCAATGAACCCACCCCGGCGGCTACCCAGACAACAAGAACGCCCACCACCCGGAATAGACCAGGAGCTGCAGCCGCTGGCGATTTCTGCCTGCCTGCCAGCCAGACCCAGACTGGTTCATCAGAATTGCTCCTTCTACTCTTCTGCATCGCTGCCAACTAACTGCTTGTTGTTTGAGGTCTAGCGACAGCGACAGCGACGGCGACTGCGACGGCAACAGTGACATCCCGCCCAGTTTCATCGACTGTTGCACTGCCACCTGCAAGATTGAAGAAGACCTATTCTCAGTCCTCGAGGGTTTCTGGCCTGGTGCAGCTGTGTGTGTCACCTCACCCTTCAATGGCATTGTCTATTCATCTCCTATTGTCTGTTGTTTAAACCCGTCAGCCCACTCGTCCATCCAACCCGTCCCAATCCATCCCAGCTGCGCCTTATTCAGGCCATTCTCGCCTCCGACAATAAGCTTCGTCCCGCAGACCTACCAACAGCGGGACCCACACGCCTGTCAATCCCTAACCATCCTATTTTTCCCTCGCCTTTGCCTCCGCCCGCCCTCCCGCCCGCTGCTGGCCTGCATTGTTATGACCCATTCAGACACACGCCCGCGCCGTCTCATAGCCATCGCAGGGCGTCCCTGAATACACGAATAGGTCCTTTGTTTTTACCCACATAATATAAGGTTACAGCATTATCCTGGACCCGCTGGCTTCGGGCTCGACTTGCTCCTTTGAACCCTCTTGCGCCAGCTGAGGCCTCATCCGAGAGAACAAGGGAACTGACTCACATTCTTCGACACCATGAAGCCCTCAGCGATACTCACATTATCAGCCTTGAGCTGTCAGGCCTCAGCCAGGTGGCTGGCCGCCTACGCCCCAGAACCAGTCATAGACCTCAGAGGCGGCGACCTGTCCCGGCCAACCCAACCAGCAGACGTTTATGAGTACCAAGAATACGCCCCCGAGCCAACACCACCACCATCCAAGGCCGTTGTGGACCTGCTGCTTCACAGGCGCCAGAGGACAGACTCGGGCTCATCATCAGATAACACCTGGGAGAACGATCAGACCTGTGGCTGGTTCTCAGGCATCTCCTCCCGGGCCTACGACTGCCAGTCCCCACTCACCTGCTCCACCAACTCCGAGGATGTCGTCGCCTGCGCCACCGACGGCCTCGAGCAGTTCTACACCGTCTGCCTCAACTACGAGGCCGTGCAGTCTAGCAAGTGCACGTCCGCAGGGCCGCAGACGGGCTGCTGCCAGAACGCCGACGAGCCCGAGTGCGGCACATATGTCTGGACGGGCACGCCCGCGCGGTCCATGTTCAAGTGCTTCGCCACGGCCACCCTCATCTCCATGCTGGACGAGCCACAGTTTGTCATCGACGCGTCGCGGTCCTCGGCGTCGGCTAGCTCCTCGAGCGCCGCGGCCGCCTCCAGGTCGTCGGCCGAGGCTGCCTCACGGAGCCGCGATGGGCCTTCGACCGTGGTTGCTACTACCACCGCGGCGGACGGGTCCACATCGACGGTGACGTCCGTGATTGGAGGCCAGGCGGGTGCCAGTGCAGGTGCGGGTGCAGGCAGTGGAAATGGAAATGGAAATGGCGGCGGCGGCGGTGGAAATGGCGGTGGCTCCAGCAATGGGGGTGCGATTGCAGGCGGCGTCGTAGGCGGTGTTGCCTTCCTGGCCCTGCTGGCCTTTCTTCTGTGGTATCTCATGCGCAAGAGCAACAAGTTCTCCTTGTCCATCTGCGGCGGGAACAGGAAGACCAGGAAGGAGAAGAACGTCGACGGCCGGACTTACAACAAGAACAACGTCAAGAACAACGTCAAGAGCGACAACAGGGCCTATGACGAGCGGTCCTACAGCAACAGGAATTCGTACGACAACAGGGCCTATGACAACGCGAGGTCGTACGACAACCACGCATACAGCGGTCAGGCCGGCGCGCCCAACCAGAACCCGAACTCGGGCGCCACACAAGGTCCTACGAATCAGCAATTCCACTTCCACATGGATGACGGCCGACAAGGCCCATCGCCCGACTCCCGGCCCCCTGTTATGCAGGAGCCGTCACCAGTCCACCTCGCCGGTGCGGTAGCAGCAGCAACGGCCCCCGCCCTGTCGCGGCGTGAGCAGCGGCGTCTAGCAAGGCAGCAGCGCACGCAATCGGACGAGCTGGACCCAGAGAAGGTGGAAATGGAGCAACAGGCACAGGGACAACAGGGCCAGCCTGACAATGTCCATTCTCACCGATACCATCCGTCCTCGGGTCAGCGGTATCCAGACGCGCCACCCCCAGCTCCCAAGGCCCAAGGGCCGGATATGGACTTTATCGGGCGGGGGATGTGAGAGGTGATCGATTTCCTAGGTGGTTTCAAGGCGTCAAGGATAGACTGTTTGTGATGGGCTGTGGTCGGGAGACAGGACGACGCGATGCAGCAAGATGATAATAAGGCTGAACTTGAATATCGCCAGTGTCTATAGATATTGCATGATAAATATTTCCAACATGATCTTTCAAACTTGCCATTTTCCCAGCCCTGCACCTGCGTCCCAGGTGACATGTCACAAGTATAGACTGTTGGTCACCGGCAACAAGGACCCACTTGCCTCGGAGCCACTCATGTGTTGGCCGATCGATGAATGATCTCTCCAACTGCATCTCCCAAAACCCACTTACAACTTGCTATCCTTCCTGTTCAAGAAGTGCATGTTCACCGGCGTGATGGCCCCCCGCCCCCCGAGCACAGCCATGATGTTCCGCATGGCCAGCTCCTCGAACCCGACGTGCGTCTCCACGGTGCCGCCGGCGTTGTGGCACGTCAGCAGCACCCGGCCCGGGTTGACGGCCCCGCCGTCGGGCCCGACCCTGCCGCCCTGAGCCCCCGCGGCGGCGACCTGCTGGGGCCCGGCGAACGCCAGGAGCCGCGGCGAGATGCGCGGCTCGTCGGCAAAGACGTCCAGCGCCGCGGCGCCGACGCGCCCGCTCTCGAGGGCGTCCGCCAGCGCGTCCTCGTCGACGAGCGAGCCCCGGGCGACGTTGACGAAGCGGGCCCCGGGCTTCAGGGCGGCCAGCGCCTCCCGGCTGATGAGGGGCGTCCCGTCGGCGCTGGCGGGGGTGCACAGGACGGCGCAGTCGCTCGCGGCGAGCAGCGAGGCCAGGGTCGGGTGGTAGGTCAGCCCCAGCCGGGCCTCGTCGGCGGCCGGGCGGCGCACGATGTCGTGGTAGTGCAGGACCATGCCCATGCTCGGGTTGCCCAGCTTGGCGGCGACCAGCGACCCGATCCTGCCCAGGCCGACCAGCCCCAGGGCGTGGCCGCGCAGGTTGTGGCTGTGGTAGACCTCGTGGGTGTGCGAGAAGCGGAAGGCGGCCTCGGCGGCCTCGGCGGCGGCGCTGCCCCCGAGGAGATGCGGGACGGTGGCCGCCGCGATGCCCCAGGGGAGGTGCCGGAAGGTGCTGATGACCAGCGCCACGGCGAAGTCGGCCACGGCCTCTGCGGCTGCCAGGCCGCCGTTGCAGTAGATGACGCCCCTCTCGCCGAGCAGCCTGGTGTCGGCCCAGTCGAAGCCGGCGCCGGCGCTGGCAAACACGCGGCAGCTCGCGGGCAGCAGGGCGATGAGCTCGGCGTCCCACCGGCCCATCTCGCCGCCCGTGGACCAGAAGGGCCGGAAGATGGCGGCGAAGTCGCCCCACCTGCGCTCCCGCAGCGCGCGCATGAACTCGGGGCGCTCGCGCTCGGCGGCGCTGGGCCGGATCACGTCGTAGGCCGACGACAGGGCCGCGTACGTGTCTGGGTTGTATTTGACCGGGTCGCCGATGTGCAGCACCACCGCCTTCTTCCCCGGGGATGCCATCTTGGCTTGAGTATGCGGTATTGGTATTTGTATTGGTTGATTTATACGGCGACGGGTTACACGATCGGGGTCAACGATATCGCCACAGATCCCACCTCTTCGCTCAGAGGAATGAGATTGATCTGTAGGGTTCCGAACAGGATGGCCAGAGGAGCATGAGTGTCGGTGAGTGTGCTCGACAAGACCATGCAGGGGAGGGACTTCAGGAGGGACTTCAGGAGGCCTGTCTCGATAAGGTGTCACGCAGGAGGGAGGCCCTATCACTCAACCTCCAGGGCTGCCACTCGATTGGACCGATGCAGCACCGAGGTTCTGCGGCTCATAAGGGTTCAACCTGCAGGCGCGTAGCAGGGCGACGATTTGATAATGCAGCTGCAGGCTGGACAACGGTACCGACGGGTGTCACCGCCTGCACGCCGTGGCCATTCGAACCTGGCAACCTGGGCAGTCCTGAAGTCCCATTGCCCACTGGGAACTTATACCACCCGGTAGGAACAGCACTGCCATGATGTCGATCTCCCCTCACGATCGCCATGATCCCCACGAGAGTGGTTGTAACGGACGTCGCACGGCTGGCAACATGTTCTGTCCATATGGCATGCTGCTGAAAACAAGGTGTGAGTGCTGCTGGGTTGCGTTGCGTCGCACCGCCAAGAGACGCGGGTAGTTTGGCCAGATTGGATCAGGTTGTCAGGGTGGGAAGGAAAGTCTGGGCCCTCGGTTCTGCCCCGATAGGGTCATTTCCCCCGTGGCTGCAACCGAGCAGGGGCGGCCCCCAAACCTGGGGTAAAGATTTCCGATCGTGGGGGACGGTGAAACGAGCCTCGTTCTTGACTGCCGACGACAGCGTTGAGGGTACGCTCAAAGGCTGGCTTTAGCTTGAAGAAGAACGACGCGTGGATTGGCAGAGTCAAGTAGTGTGTGCCGAGTCGGACCAGTTGACGTTGGATGGCAAAGTCTCAGAGACCTGCAAAGACCAGCCAGCTGCTCATTCATCCACGAATCCGTGGTCCTTGGCATGTCGAGCAGAGAGGGCTGCCTTCCACGCGAGGGACTGGCTAATATTGAAGTCGCATCGTCTCATCAGGTCCACTCAGGTGACTGCACTGGCTCGCTTCCCTTTGCTCTTGGTCTTACTATGCTATTTTCTGGGCACCTGAGACTCTGCACAGTTGGACCGTCCACTGCGCTTCACACAATGCGTTGGAGAAGCAAGTTTTGACACAATCTTATTATTAGTCAAATACATTTCCTAATGGAAGAATAGAAGACCGGAACGCCGTCCCTGCCACTGCTGAGTTCCCTCCCCCTAACATCATTGCTGAAATACACGTAGGGCCACAACTGGCCGAAATGAATGACCTTTGAAAAGAATTGTGGTGTAGGGTATGGCGCTCTACTCGCAAGTCGGCGCTGGCTAGCTTGTCCAGCTCGTTGGGAGGAATCTCCATGTTGCACTTTCCGGCTTTGCAGACACCATGTTGCTGCAGGTTGGCCACTGTTCCAGTGCGTGCCCGTCCATCGCTGGCTGTGCACACCACTTGTCAGCGTGCGGTCGGACGAAGGAGTGATAAAGAAGAGGCGTGCATCACAATCCACAGTAACGTACCGGCTGTTTTGGCTGGGTTAGTTAGCGAGTGTGGCCCCAGCCACGAAGACCGTGACGATCCAAGCGATGGTCGAGAATCACATCTGATGAATGATTGTTGCCGGCTACACCTGGGTAGGTGGTGTGGAGGGAATGTCTTAAGCCTATGGGAGGCTGGACGGAATGAACCAACTCGGCTCGAGAAAGAATGATGAGTTGTTGGATGACTATCACCACCATTCGGAGGGCGGATGGACCCAGCAGCTTTATAGAAAGAAGATCCGCACGCCTGGTTGAGCGCCCGCCATGCCCGCCGCCGCACGCACAAGGATGGGGTCCATGTTTCATCCGACTCATTTAGGCTTTTGATGTGGTCGGAAAATGAGTTGACAGGTGATACGCAGAATGCCCGGTGACACCCGTTTGACAGATGAGACGAGACGGCTTGGCCTTGGTCGACATGCATGATGCAAGGCATCGAGGCGCCTGATTTGTCGTGGAAACCCTCTTTTCAACAATCTCCAATGGCCTTGAAGGACGAACGTGATGATGCAAGGTGCGATCGGATCCTCCAAACCTTCCGAGGCGTGACTTTGCCGGCTTGCGAAAGCACGGTCATGAGCGCGCGGTCGTGTGCATCTTGTCAGACGGCCAGCCTCCAGGGCTAGGGCGACACAATCACCTGTCTTTGCGGTCAGGCAGCATGATCCTGGCAAAAGCCTCAAGGTAGGAGAGATGTTTCGCCTCGGCTGGGACTTGCTGACACTTGCTTGTCAGTTCCATACTTGGTCAGTGGGGGCCGTCTCAGCCCTACCGAGGTATGAGTGTCAAATTGGAGATCTTCGGAAATCTCAGGCACTATTTGATTCATTCTGTCGTCAGTGATGGGCTTCATCATTGTGCTGCTGTGTTTCGTCGTGTACAAAGGGCGGTGGCGAACTTCCAACTTCGAAGGGGCAAAACCAGCCGATGGCTCGGTCCTCTATAATTTTCCAAGATCAAGTATGAAGCCCTGCAGTAGCTCCGAACCATTGCATTCAACGACCACTTCTTTGGATCGTGGGCTGTGCAGTGGGAAAGCTGGCCCGCCAGTAGCCGCGTGGAAGTAATGTTCGATGGGCTGGGCTGCTGTAGATGGTTTCCTAAACGTGCAGATTTTTGAAGCAAGCGCCTCTGAGCAGCCGCTTAGTCTTTGCGGATTAGAGGCTGCAGAAGGCCAGCGATGATTGCTGCCTCCACGGGAGGTTGACAACTAAGTCACCGCTAGGCCTTTGCAGACATATGAATCTGAAGACCCGGTCAAAGAAGAATCCAAAGTGCGGAATGACATCTCACTGGCTTGCTATATCCTGTTTAAGTTGTCATCTAAGGTCCCATTTTGCGGTCGACTTGGCCTAGGTGCATGAGCTGCTTCAAGCAGCGCATCTTCGTCGGTGCCAGGTGGCGAGACCTCAGATGCCTTGGAGCTTCCCTGGCGCGTTGCTTCCAGGTGCAGCAATTAGAGCACTCCACCCCCACCAGAATCTGTAGATGTGTTGCCTAGGTTACAAGGCCAACTGGATGACATTGGGAAAAGTATTTAACGGCGAAAACCACAAAGGTTTCCAAATCTGAATCGTTTCCCTCAACAACAAACAGAGCACTTGAGCATAACGCCAAAGTCATGTCCGCAGAACAGAGGCTCAAGATACCTGACTGTGTTGCACCTACCGCAATGACAGAATCTACCCGATGCCTCAAAGGCAAGGTCTGTGACAAACATCAACCTCACAAGATGCATCAGCCGAGGCCAAGGCTAACGATGGAGCAACAGGAAACGGCCGCCGACCTGCCGACAGGCTTTCTCAGCCTCCCCAGCGAGCTTCGGAACAAGATTTACGAGCTTTCATTGGTGAAAGGGGAGGATACTTTCGCACTGAGTGAAAACATCCGGCGATACTTTTATCACAAACGAGGCCTCGCAAGCGGTCTGCTCCTCGCCAGCAAGGCCATCCACCGCGAAGCCAGCCCCATTCTCTACGGTCAAAACCGCTTCGACTTTTGCGAGGTCTCGCCTCGAGAACTACGCACATTCCTCAATCAGATTGGAAAGAACAATGCGAGCTATATTCGACATGTGACCATCGACTTCCCAGGCTTCCGCTCTCTTTATGGTGAGATCAGCCTTGAGAGAGACATCGCGGCCACCCTTGAGGCTATCCGAGGCGCATGCGACAATATCATCACAATCACGGCCTTCGCTGGAAACAACTACTATAGGATGTATCCTCTATCCGCCCTGGATCGCCAAAACGCTGCTCCTGAAGTTATTTCCCTGATCAACACTCGCTTTCGGTCCATGACGTCTCTCCAAGAGATCATCGTTGAGATTGATGATGACTCTCCTAGTGATGGCACCAGAAAGATCATGGAGAGCCACGGCTGGTTATTGCGCAAATGCGAGCCTTATAAGGAGCGGTGGGGTCTTTGCGACAGATGTCATGACTGCCATCATCCATGTGTTGGTTGCTTTGAGAGTGGTCAAGATTGCTTGTGGTGATCTCTGGAGAAGAGCAGCGGAATGAATCCCTTGATACATGTGCCTAACCATTTTTGGGTGTCAATCAATTTCGAGTACTTCTAAATTGTCTTACTGCCTTCGCAAATGCTTCTCTCTTGTTTGCTATAGCAGAAGCGAGAGTCTCAACCAATCTGGCCATGTACCAGTGGTAAGACGATACCAGTTTACTGATTTCGATGACTTTGTCAGGTGAAGGTTTTCGATACAGCAGATACGATCGCCATCAGAGACCAACAAGATCACAAAACAAAAGTAAAAGTGGAGGCTGTACAACTGTAGCTTGCTTAATATTTATTTAAGCTCCGCTCCGTTGCCCTTTCCTAGGCCGCGGTTCAACTTGCCAGGCCAAGCCCAAACACATGGCAAAGGGGGGTTTTTATGAAGGCTGATTCTCCTTTAAACAGGCCATTAGTAACAATTGTCCACATTTTCTCCAAAGTAACTTCTAAAGTCCCGTGAGAACTATTCATGGCGGTGTCAAATTTGACTGACTGACATGTCACATTGCATCGAACCAGAGGCTTGTGCCTTGATCCATTCTCCCCTTACCCCTGTCACTGGCATGGGTGGGCCCCTTGACCGCGCAGGTCGTTTGTGGGAGTGGGCTCATTGTGGTAAGAGTTAAGATGTGATGAAGAGTGCGAGTGGAATGCCAAGGCTTTGCTGGATTGCTGCACATATGGGCAGGGCGCGTTTGAATGACCGCATCGCGACATAATATTCACCAGATTTAGAATGAATGAGTGGTTGGGCCTGCTGGCGCAAATTTTTGATCCTTTTTTTTTTTTTTAGGGCAGCTCCTTGAAAGGACTGGGGTGCCTCGTTCCTAGAGCTGCGAGGGTTTAATGCAAGCCAAACAGGCCAGTGTTCAGAACCTCGGAAGCATTGGAAAGGGCAAGATTAAACATCCATGCTGATTGACAAGCGCTCTACCACAAAGAGCTCGTTACAGGCACCTGGGTACTAACAGTAGGCAAAATAATGCCGGCGTCGAGTCGCATAAAGTTAGGCCGGCCGAAATTACCTTGTCTGCTCCTTCGTGCACAGTGGCCGAGTCCCGACCCTCCGGATGGATCGCGAAGCTCCTTTTATGAGATGAGATCCACCGGGACGCCGACGTTTCAAGTAAACGCCCAATGACGAGTATTTGCTGTTTCAAAACGGAGCGGTCGAATCGGTCATTTTCTGGAGAAAGCATCATGATTCGATTTTTAAGCTTTTTCCCGCCATTTACAGTGTGATTTTGAGTGATTCCCCAGATGAAGGAGTAGTCGCACCCCTGAACTGCGGACATGGCAACCCGTCGCTCGATGGGGTGACGACCTCGGGACCCATCCACAATCCACAACGGGAACAAGCTGGAGGCCAAGCCTCGACTTCCCGCCTTGGGGCTCTTGGATAAATACCACCGCTGCGGCTCTGCTCTTGGCTGCTTGACTTGGCTCTCTTCCTAAGCTGTACCACCTTCTTATCCACAGTCTTTCATTCGTTCCTTTAAACACACACATTCATTCAATATGCGTGCCACTTCTTCGATCCTCGCGGCTGGTCTCGCGGCTTCTGCCATGGCGGCTCCGGGAGCCCTGCCTCACCACCGCAGGGCACCATGCCCCCATGCCCAGCCCGCGGCTGCATCGAGCGCTGCTGCGATCACTCCTACCGTGGCTGCCTCGAGCCCTCCTACTGTGGCTGCCTCGAGCACTTCTACCGGGGCTGCCTCGAGCACTCCTACCGGGGCTGCCTCGTCCGGCTCCAACTCCTCGTCCGGCAGTGCCAGCGGCGGCCTGAAGTTCCTTGGTGTCATCGAGTCTGGTGCTGAGTTCGGCGAGAGCGCCTGGCCTGGTGTTTACGGCAAGGACTACATCTTCCCGGATACCTCGGCTATCCAGACTCTCATCGACATGGGAATGAACATGTTCCGCATCCCCTTCCTGGCCGAGCGTATGGCCGAGGCCTCCCTGGCCGCGGACCTGAACGCCGACTACCTCAAGAACCTGACCACCGTCGTGAACTACATCACCGACGCTGGCAAGCATGCCGTGATCGAGCCACACCAGTACGGTCGCTACAAGGGCCAGATCATCTCGTCCAACGCCGACTTCAAGACCTTCTGGGGAAACCTGGCCAGCAGCTTCAAGGCCAACGACAAGGTGGTCTTCGACTGCATCAACGAGCCCCATGACATGACCACCGATACGCAGACCGCCGAGCTCAACCAGGCCTGTGTTGACGGTATCCGTGGGGCTGGCGCCACTACCCAGTACATCTTCGTCGAGGGCACTTCTTACACTGGTGCCTGGACCTGGACTACCTCCGGCAACAGCGAGAACATGGGCAGCATCAAGGACACCGTCGACGACCTGCTGATCTACGAGATGCATCAGTACCTTGACAGCGACGGAAGTGGTACATCCACTGAGTGCGTGTCCTCTACCATTGGACAGGAGCGCATCGTCGATGCCACGAACTGGCTGCGTGAGAACAAGAAGATTGGAGTCATTGGCGAGTTTGCTGGCGGCGATAACGAGGTGTGCAAGACTGCCGTTGCGGGTATGCTCGACTACATGGTTGAGAACAGCGACGTTTGGATGGGTGCTCTGTGGTGGGCTGCCGGCCCCTGGTGGGCAGACTACATGTACAGCTTCGAGTCTCCTTCCGGCACTGGCTACAAGGCCTACAAGGACATTCTCAGCAAGTACGTGCCTGCCTAGAGCGCCTGCTTCTGACTGCTGAGGGCTCGGAAAACACTTCTTTGTAAATATCAAATTCTGCATTGCTGCATGGACTGTACTTAGACATAGACAAATGCATCTTCTGGACTTGGTTCCAAGCCCACAGTCACGAGTTCCAAGCTTTGTGTGAGCATGTGTGTTTTGTATGTGCCAGTCGAAATTTTCTAGACTGAGGAGGTGACCACCGGTCACGTAACTTTTGTGTGTCAGAGCAAAGCTGAAAATGTGCTCAAGTCAAAGTCAACAAACAATGGCATCGAACATGCCCCTTTCTCATCCATCTTCACACCTTTTTTTGTCCCATAAACAACCATGCATTCCAGTTGATCAAAGGCAGCAAACACATCTGCCATACCAAGCCCACCTGCCCCATGACTTCGGCTTCCCGTGCGTTCCTCCAGTCAACAGTGCATTCCCAGGTGCTGTTCACTCCTTCAAATTCTGAGCCTTCTTCTCAGCTTCTTTGGCCCTGAGTTCAGTCTCCCTGCGGATCTCAGCCGCCTCTGCCATCGCCTCGATCTCAAAACGAATGTGAGAGGGAGACTTGACTGCACCACTGGCACGTCTCTTTCTTCTCTGGGGAGGGTGGTAAGAAGTGCTGGGGTCAATGTGGGGCGGATCCGAGTGGTAGGATCCCTCAGAGATGGTGACACGGCGGTCCCTGGGGACGAAAGAACCACCTAGGCCAGGGTAGACGAAGCCCTCGGTGGTGAAGCCAGGGTCTCTGCCACGGCGGACCTTGGGTGGAAGCCTGGCATGGGTACGGCCTCGGCTGACTGATCGACTGGTGTTTCGTTGGCCACTGCCTTCCTGGCCTGTGGAGGCGTCTGCAACCTGAGTACGGCCACGAGGAGGAGTGTCTCCTTGCTTCTCCTCCTCTTGACCCTGACTGGCCTGGGTAGCAGCAGTGTTGTGAGACGACATGGTGAGTTGGATTGATGAGAGGTTTGAACGTTTGGGTGGACGAGGGTGTGGGCTGTTTGTTGTTTTTTGGAGGTGTTGTGAGAGAAATGAGTTTGGGAAGGTGTGTCCCCGGTGACCACTTGACATGGTTGCAAATCAAAATTGGCCACCAGAGCTGGAAAGTGAAGTGTTTGTATTTAAGTCCGGCTGGGAGGGGGTTGCTTCACATTCTGGCAGGGCTCTGCAGCTTGATTGACACCGACGAAGCTCCTGTGCATCCGGCTTTCGATCTGGCTCGGTTGAGACGAGTATGGGGCATGGGTGTTCTGTCCCATTGTGCCCTAACACCCGGATCGCAAAGGCAGAATTCACAATTGCACCCATCCATTATCCTCATCGAAGTGGACAGACAAGTCATGGCTTCTTGAGTTGACATCAAAACAGTGAGTTGCTTTGGCTCAGCCTGAGTCACTCCATTGTGTTGGTCAGACATCTTCTGGATCGCGAAGAGTACATGTTGGCATGCCATGCTGAACTACAGAGTGTTGTAGTCCGGGTAGGGGGTAGGGGGGTAGAAAGGGGGGGGCTCTCAGGTTTCGTACACCAGGGAGAGAGTGCTAAGATTTAGTGTCACTAGCTCATCAAGCAACTAAAGTGTGTTTTCGATCTAGAATGCGAAGTCTTTCTCTTGCTTTATGTATAGGACAAATAGGACAATCCAGATCTCTGGTATGTATTGCAGACGGTCACTCGTACTATGGTGCTACGGACAATCACAGGGACAGTTCTGATCGCATTGGGGGATCAAGAAGAGTTGAAGAATTAGTGTTGAAAGCCACTCTCATGCAGACTGCATTCACTGAGTTAATCAGACATTTAATCAGACATGCATGTTGTCTGCTCATTTGTACTCTCAGGCTTGCCTAGTTCTTGTTTGTTGGAAAATTTGAAGTTAAAGTCATGCTGTAGACTGGGTATCAACATGGCCCTCTTATGGGGCTATTTGTAAAAGATTGCCTCCTAGAGCTTTTCGTGTCCCATGTGAGGTTGCAATCATGATGCTGGGAGGGATAAGTTCCATGCCCGGCACCCTGGCTTCGAACCGGATTGCTGCCCCTGGGTGAGTAGAGCTCTCCATTCGACAAGGCACAGAAAAATGGGATCGATGGTAGCGGCCGCAGTCGAATCATGAGGGCCGGCCTTGCATTAGCCGTCACCTGTATTGAGGATGGATGAGGCACTCATAGCTTCCCATTCAATACCAGGACTGCATCTGGTCTGGGGTCCATACTGGTTCTTGAAGCTAGTCAAATACTCCTGATGGCCTTCTCACAAGATGTCTCTGGTCTGGTCTGATTTACTTTTATGTTCCTGTTTTTAATGTAGCATAATGAATTACAAGTGCAGGAATCACCATCAGCATCTCAAACTCCTATTACAAGATGATGCACACCTCCAGGGTATCCAAGAAAATAGATGCTGCCATGCTTATATTGAGCCCATATTTTATAAAGTCTATCGTACCTTACTTTTATCATATTACGTTTGTGCTGTCAAAGGATGTGTTTGGTTGCATCTTCTTGTGAAATCCAACAGGCCCTTGATGTGGTTTTAAAACCACCGCCGTGGGTGCATCCATTGGTGTGGTATCAGCAGCACGGCCGTCCTTGGCAGCACGAGCCTTCCGGTTCTCTCCATTGGCTTTCATTCCTGGACCCAAAGTGGGCGAGTCGGGCACTCCGGGGGAACGAGCCGTTTTCAGAGACGGAGGTGGACGCAGCGGCTGCACAACACAAGACGCCCTCAACTCTTGCACCCGCTCCTTCGCCGGAAGTTCGGTGTCGGTGCTCTGGACCTCGGCCAGTAGCTCGTGGACAGACTGCCGATCTGGCCACGTATTTTGGTTGGTTAAATTATATGGTGGGCTGGAGTATGTATGGTAAGGATTCTGGAAAGGCCAGGGTCGTGAATTGTCATGATGCGGGTGAAAAAATGGAGGCGGCGGTGGTGTGTGGTGTGGCAGGCCCCACTGTGAATTGGGACTGTCATTTCCAGCAGATTTATACTTCGAGACGGCAGACCGAGGATCATTTATTGGCGAGACGGTGTGAACAACAGGCAAGTTCGTATGGGCCGTCCATGGTGTTTTTGGACTGTCTATCAAGCTCTCCTTTGCCGACCTTGTGGAGGAGGTGTCCGTAATTTCTGGCTTAGAGGACTTGAAAGGCCATTCACGACGCCGCCACAACGCAAGTCCCACGATCAAGACCACAATGGCAAGTACTCCGAGCACAATCCCAGCAACATCTGCCGATGATAAGCCGTTCGACGCGGGCTTTGCTGGCGATATGGACTTGCCGCCTTTCGATGAAGTCGAAGTCGAGGGCGATAGGAAAGATGCTCTATCGTCATGGTCGGATGATAAAACGGCCGCTCGGAGATTTGCAGACGGGCAGGTCATGTTGACACAAGGGTTGAGAGTGCAACATCCAATGAAAGGCGGGTCATTGGCCGTGCAAGTATAGAAATGGTTGTCACCACCCGTGCTGTCGCAGCTCTGCGATGGTAAATCAAGATAACTTGACTCTGAGAATGATGCTGCTCGCAAATTGGCCCTCTCGCAGAGACCAGACCCGTCCGAGCATGGGTCGACTGTACAACAGCCGATAAATTCTCTCTTGGTGTTCTCGCAGATGTGGAAATCCCCACCATTGGGGCAAGATAGCCCGAACGCTTTGTAAGGATTGGCTGACATTCTTCCAGAGAAATTGAATGATGCGATAACGAGTGTGATTCTCAGGATTTGAGAAGATGTGAGAGGCTCAAAAGTCTAGATGGTGGAGATGGTTGACGGTCGGCAATGTCTAAGGTCTTGAACATTTTGATAACAAAGAAACCCAGCCGCCAGGTCCCGCCAGCCATTTAATAAGTTGTAGAAGAATAATGGAATATTCTATGCCGTTACTGTTTTTAGAATTCAATACTTGCCACTGCTATTGTGAGCAGACTGGGTGCCCAGGTGTGGCTTTCAAGTGCCACGTGCTCCGGTGTCTAGAGGTCACAGCAGTTGCTTTCGGCCATAGGAATCTATGCTGGTAGAACTTATGGAAAACGTCGTACCAAATTTGTCGTACTAAAGCATATCGGCACAAGTACCTACCTATCAGCATGACAGTTATTTGATCAACTCCTTAATCTACCCGGATGAGTTGAATCCCAACGTCAAAAAACGCTCGGTCTCTTGAAGAGCATGTTTCCTATTTGCCATTTCCAAGTCCTGGCTCTATGAACCGACTGCATGTGTCTTGCTTGACCCATTAGCCCCCGGTCCCTTTCTTGCTATGTTCAGAGGCAAGGTTTAATGATGAATGGTAAAATCACTTGGGTATAGAGATGCATGGGTGACAAGATGAAGTGATGGACTTTTCCATGCGATTAAGCGGCTGGCATCTGACCCCTTTGTGCTCACATGAACCGTCCCGCTATCTGCCCCTGTCGGACGAGAACCCATCACGTCCCGTGGACAATTCGAAAACAAATTTGATTCTGATTGTTATACTAGTATGGCAGTGCTTTTTAGGAGACCTTGGGTACTCTAATACTGATAGAGTTGTAAGCGACATTTATGCTTGGCTAAATTTATGCGCCCGGGGCGATTGTACGTCTACTGTGTTAAAAATTTGTACTTTTTAAGCTCATGCGGAAACTCAACATTGAAACATGATTTCTTGCCACACCTGCAAAAAAAAGCTAGAAAGATACCACCTCTTCCTAGTACGAACTAGCAGACGGCCAGGCAGACAAGGCCTTCTTCCCGAAGTCACCATCACTGGGATCAAGTAGCAGCCGTCCATTTTTGGAAATTATAGAGCTAAGAGTTATTGAAAATCTGCATGTGTAGGTAATTACTTATTGCTTGGGGGTGACGCGACTGTGCGGCGCGGAACTGCAACCCGCATAAGTGGTTTCGTTTCTAATGCCGGTACAAATAAACCAACTGTATGTGGCGCCTTTATATAGTGATGAACGATCAAGACTCTGTGTCTAAAACAGCGGAAGGCTAATAACAGTGGAGAGAAAATAAAATACGATTAAACCTAAAATAAACATTCTTTTCCCCATCTTTCTACCTCCTTTATTCATATTTGAACCCACTTCATTATATACTGTTTGTACTGAAGACCAATTATTTACATTCCTACCGTGATATACACTCTGGTGTGTGTAGTGCAGTGTACGGAAACACTGGGGATCTAGATGACACCTGAGCCGGCCCCGTCCGGTGCCCTCAGCTTGGTTTCCAAGGTGCTTCCTTACACCAACGGCGTCATAACACACAGCAGCCATCCCAACTAGACCAAAAGGTCAATTGCAACCAGCCGATGATTTCCGGTTACTTGACGGGTCGCATGTGAATGTTTTCCGTGCGTCCTTCCCAAGTCATCTGGTAGCCCGAGCTCTGGACGCGTGACTATCCGAGCCCAGAGACTCTGGGCCTCATTATCTCCCATTCATCATCAGGATAGGTCCAATATGGAGCTTCAATCCCTACACAGTCAAGATTCTGTTGGTCAGAGCAATCACGGGCCAGTGTTGAATGCTAGCCATCCCCACTGGAGGTCAGTTTTACACTGCGTACTCGATCAACTAGCTCGTATGCATGAAATTCACTGAGATTTAGCAAGGATTAGCGCCCCAGTGGACGATAAGCTAGTGTGTCTGTGCAGTTTTGACAGCTCTCTCGTAGCTTGAAAACTGCTATCATGATTCAAGACTGAGGCTAAGATGCTAGTCATGATGCTATATAAGTGGTTGACGTAGTCAGACTGGGTACATATGTAAGGAATTGCACGTGTCATGGAAGAAATTTTCGCTGGCAGAATAACAGAGTGACGGATGTAATTGATCAAGCTTGCGCGCTTATTCTCAATATGGACGAATGTAGCGCGGAGTGTATAGTGCAGAGAATCATCACTTCGTGAGAGGGACCGTTTACAGCAGGTTGTAACTAATCTTTCATGTTGGTATTGAAGCCAAATACTACCGGAATTCCCTAATTATAAGCAATATAGGGCTACCCTAGGTACTACTGTCAATAGGGAAGAACGCGAACATTGGAAGCTGTCAGTTAGACCAAGCCTGAGGGTTTGGGCCTTGACCCAACCTGAGAAGCATCCGAAAACACGAAGAAATGTAAAACTATCCATAATAGGGCTGAGATGTCTGAACTCCCCATAGTCGATTTCGATACACTTTAGGATCATCACACTAAATAAATCTATTGGTTGCTCGTTGGCTGCTGTAGATGAGGGCACGAGCTAGCGGCAGACACACAGAAGCTTTACAGGAACGGCATGACAACAATAGCTCTCGTAGGCATGTCATGAAGCCGAGAACTCGGTTCGAGACCACAGTTCAAATGTTGTCGAGGCGCGACCGTGCGTGCTTGAATGAATTCCTGTAAATATCCGCCTGCCAGTGCCTTGCCAAAACCCCAGCGTGCCACATCCTTCTGGACTCTTCGACGTTTTTCCTACCTTTTGTTACAAGAAATATCAACAAAGAACCAAAATTCAATATGCAGCCTTCAAGCATTCTCATGACTCTTTCGGCGCTCTTCATGGGCATGGCTCAGGCTTCCCCGACCCCCGAGAAGAACCTGAACCTACATCCGAAAGGTCACGTCACCGTTGAGTTCTACAACGGCTATGGCAAGAGCTACACTGAGAAGGTCTGGCCTGATGGCGATGAGCACTGGTTCAGTAAGCCTCTCAAACTGACTGTTCGATGAACATGTTCTTCTTATGCGGCGTTTCAAGTCAGCGTCCAATGTGCTAATGTTCTCACGCAACAGACGAGGGCGAGGATCACTGGAAGAGGCACTTCGATGTCAAGTTCATTAAGTACTACACGGAGGTGGAGGACTGCGAAATCCGCTGTCTCCCAACACACTCTTATTACCCTTGGAGCCCACTCGATGTCAAGAAGTTCTTCCAGTTGCCGGACGAGTACGGAAAGAAGGTCTTTGGCCTCCTCCTGGAGTACCCGCAGCCCGTCGAGGTCATCCGATGTGACCTTCCATGAAGTGAATGCTTCTGTTCGCCCAGGGCCTGGAGACACAGAGCACAGAAGTATGTATCGTGCATGTTGAAATAAGGGCGACATCCTAATATATCATAGCTAGGTACATGGCTTTGCACAATTGATTAATTACTAGTCTAAATTTGAACTGGTAGAAGAGCTCTCTGAGAATTTGGAAGACATTTCTTTCAAGGAACAAGACCCTCAGGAGAGTTTAATCATACCACAACATCCAATGGTATCTTAGTGTATGAATTGGTTTCATGTAGTGTGTTGCCTCACAAGATGGTGCCTCACGAATCTTCTATTTGCCCTAGGTAGTGAATATGTTGTCGATGGCTTCGTGTGTTCATGAACATAATTTCCGTCACGTGCCAGGCCAAAATGGTTGCTGGTCTCAGGTGATTGATTTTGAGGAATGAATCACACGCAGGGTATTTTCGCGCATGAACTCATGTGTACGGTTGCGTCTGTGCGTAGAATTCATGTGATCAGCTGTGAATCTCAGTAACATCGTAAACTCCCATGCCCTGGACTGACAACCTAACTTCTTCACAAGTTTCAAATACCTGCAGACTTAATCATCGTTGCTGCCGCGTGTGCGTGAATATCATTTTCAGGAGCTCGGTAGTTTCAAAACTCGCTGATGCCTCTGCCCCTGGAACTGCGGGTTGATGGTTGTTCAATGGCTGCTGGGGATCGTCAAACGAGACGCTCAGGATGACATGCGTGCACAAGAGCTCCTGGCTTCGAGGGAAGATTGGATGAGGCAGGCCAAGAATGGCGGCGGGGTATTTGAATGGCTGCATCTGTAGTATTAGGGGGCCTGCCATCGGACAGAGTCTATATCTTGAACTTAAATATGCGATTCGGTGAAACAAGCCCTGAGGGCTTAATACATCGCCTCCTCGCCAGTGCATGAAGATATGAGAGTTTCCACAGCAAGTCAAAATGATAAATTTGACTCAGAAATGCATGTCTTCAGACTTTGCTCTTTACGGGCGGCCACTCGAGACATGTCTAGAATGAGCGGAACCAAATCCTTGACGGAGTGTAATCCGTGGGAGGACGTACGAAGTGTGGGCCCTGTAGATTCTAGGCGCCGAGACAGTCCTTGGAAATTCTATCATGGCCAAGGGCATTGAAGAGCTACTCTTTTAAAAATTATTGAACCCCAAGGAGTGGAACAAAAGCTCAACTTAAAGTGGCCTTTTGAGAAGTGCGATATAATACCCAACCGTGCACCTACAGACCCGCTTCCGCAATCGTCATTTCGCCGGTCCTACCTAGGTAGCCACTGGGGGGCAAATCTCATTTCGAGGTTGTTTCTTGGTTCAGTCGAGGAATATCTGATACTCTGAGTCCTCGTAAACGTGCACCTCCGCAGACTTGAATTTGCGAGCGGAAAGCTTCCTCGCAAATAGCACATCCAACTCCTCGTATGTACGGTCCTGTAGATTCCAGATCAGCATGTCATTGTCGCAAACACAATTCGACATGCATTTTGTATCCTTACTTTGACCTCAGGTAGCCGGAAATATGCCCAAACCGTGGTCAAGGCAGCAGTGGCTGCCCAGAAGAAGGCTGTCTTGCCTTTCAGGTCGAGCTCTGTGGGGTTGATCAAATATCTGGAATCAAATGACTGTTAGATTGGTTTCATGTCGTGCTTTTGTAGCAAAGCCATCCAGAATTATGTAGGAGAAGACCGTAATGCAAAATACTCACGGCTCAATGACCAATGATGCCACCGTCACAACATTGTATGTGTTCCGCGCCAACACGACTGTTTTAGCACGTAGGTGCATAGCGCTCGTCTCCGCAATTATAGAATACGTGATGGGACCCAAAGTCAAGCTGTACACGAGCTGCCAGACAAGACATAGTACAGCCTGCACCCACAGCCCCGCTGCGCTGTTTGTAGCCACAGAGATAACACCAATCAAACATAGCAAAGCGGTCGTGCCTGCGATTCCGGAGAGGTATATGACACGGCGGCCGTAGTAAGTGAGCAATACCCACGAAGATACGGTGCCAATGAAAGCGAGCGCGGGGCTAACGACTGCCAGTTTGTATGCGTTGTCGACGGACATACCTGCCTGCAGGTAAAAGTAGGAAGGACCGTAAGCAAATTGCGCTCCCGAAAGCATCTGTCCCGCAAAGGCGACGCAGCAGATCTCAGTCCGGCGGCGGTCGAGCCCGCGGAAGCAGTCCCGGTAGGTCGAGCCAGATTGTAGTTCCTGCAGAGGGAATAATGCGAGTTAGTCTGATGCATCTCAATGTTTCACACAACATAGTCATAGAGACGTTGTCATATCATGAACGAAAAGAGATGACGGGCCAAGAGAGGGGCTAACAAACACGATGTCGTGTAAACCGTGCGAGCCAGGATTTCGGATTGTGCTTCTGTGATGGTGTTGTGTTCTTCCGTGCAGAGGCTGGGCGTGCAGCAGCGGCCTTTTCCTTGCTCCGGGCAATCCTTGCCTTTTCAAGCCTGATGGTATATACTATCTGTGCTAGACTGTTCTGGACGTCACTCTCCGTGCGGTTGGACAGCCGGTGCAGGCTGATGGCCGCATCTCCGTATCGCTCGTTTTTGGCCAGCCACCATGGGCTTTCTGGAGAGAAGGCCACGAGTATAAAGAGTGGTAGTGGCCACGCCCATTGCACGGCGAAGGGGATCCGGTAGCTCCATTCTGAGGAGTTGTCGACGAGGGCTTTTAGAACGCCGTTTGCTATTAGTTGACCCACTGAAACGCAAGAAATTAGCAAATGTTGAGCCGTTTGGGTGTTGAAATGCTCAATGACAAGCCCCGGCTGCGTGACTTACTGGCCCAGCACAGGTTATTATAAACGGTGAGATATCCACGCAGCGCCAGGGGGCAGACCTCCGATGCGTATGCGGGCCCAGTAGTCGCGAACACGCCCCATCCGAGCCCACAGAGGAATTGGCCGATGAGGAGGACATGTATCGTCGGGGCGAAGAAGACGATGAAGATGGTAGAGTTGATCCAGAACAGCGCGACCAACATCATCTTTTTGTAACCAAACATGGAGCTGGCCCAGCCGTTGATGAAGCCTCCGAGTATCACGCCCACGGCCTGGGCGTTGCTCAGGCCGGCCTGCCAGGCGCCCGTGAGGCTCCACTCGCCGATTTCCGGGAAGAAGTCCCCGTAGCGCTTCTGGAAGGACGGGTAGCCATAGAACTGCGGCATCAGGGCCGTGTCGTATCCCTCCATGACGATTGCCATGGAGATGACCAGCGACCAGAACACGGCCTTCTTATTGGTTGAGAGCGCATGGAGGAATGTCTGCTCATGCTCGGCAATGTTTGCGGCGCGGGCCTCGGCCTTGGTGAACGCCCGTATCTTGTCGAGGGATGGGCGATTCGGGTCTATGAGCTGGCCCTCAATCGTCTTATCCCCCGTTGGGGTTGGCGAGCCGTACGATGCGATACTGCTGATTTCCTTGGACATCATGGGCTACGTGGGGACGGAGAGACCTGCTCAACCTTGAACGAAAGACATAACTGAGTGGCTTACCTATGATGGAGACACAAGGAGTACCTAGGTATGAGATGGTACTTGAGTATTTGTATTTTAGACGTAATCCTTCACGAAGCCTTTTACGCACAGATCTAGAATGACTAGGAGGTTCTAGATCACCGTTCATGACTGCATTGATTCTTAACCTCCCCGGCCGCGGGCGGTGTGAATCGTTCGCAGTATCAATGTGCCTAGCTATCGCGATCCTTGAGTCGTGCAGACGACGTAACATTCCTGATAAGTGCCGGCAGTCGCCATGTCACGCGTCGGCGAGCTTGGAGGGAATCAAAGTTAAGCTCCATTCATTGAAACCAGCTCCTGGGGCCTTAGAATGGCACTGGGAAAGCTTGTGAAGCCTTCTGTCATGGTTGACGAATCGGGTTGTGGGGACTCAGGCTCTTGACCATTTACCGATGTGACTTCCCACGAATGTCGATGTCGCGTTCCCCAACGAACGTGCGTCGGACCCAGATACCTAGGTTTGGTCTGGGCTCATTGCGCAGTACGACTGTCGCCATTTTGGATCGGATCCGTGTTTCTAAGTTAGCTACCATTGAATCTTCCTGTCGGAATTCGAAGCTCTTGTAGGATGGGTGGGTATCCAGCGCAACCACAGGAACGCCCAAACATAACATGAATACATGGGTTGCCCCCGCCTTCAGAAGCATTCGATTACTGGCCAGTCGGAGTATGTTATCGAAGACCGCTAAGTAGCCATTCCTATCACTGTACTGTAAACTGATGAGTCAGATGTCTCGCTCGTTGTTAAGGGTAATCAGACATCTGGAGGACAATGGGATGGTGACCACCTCTAACTGCCAAGTGTCTGCAGGTGCAGGAACGAGAGTCTATAATAGCTGAGCTGCTCCCACACGAAACACTTACCTCTCATAGGGGTGTCATACAGCGTTATGATCAAATGCGTGCCCTTGCGCAGGTTGCGCCGGTCATCAAGCCCAAGTGACACATCAAGACTACCAGCCCACCTCGAGCCCACCGCAGTCTTGGATCAATCACTTGAGCTGTTGATGGTCTGCGCAGGTAAGACTTTTTCCCGTTCGTGAACCTGGACGAGGCTGGTTTCAGCCGGCGGCAACTTCATCTCTGGCTACGCCTGATATACGGTGAGAGGTTCAGGTACATTGGGCAATGGGCAAAGGGTTCTTCGAATGTACTGTGGCTGAAGAGTGCCACTTGCTTGTTGCTCCACCCTTGGTTGCAAATATGGCTACATACTCAAGTGCTTACCAAGGCATGGGTATGAAATTCACACCCAGCCTTGCCTTCGAGGTCCCTTCTGGCGCAACAAAAGAACATTCGTTACCAATGAGTCAGTCGCATCCAAATAATAGCAGTGAAGCTGGTCACATGGGTAGTCCTACCTATATGTGGATCCAGATGTCATGGGGTAGGCAATGCTTTTTAAATCAATGTTGAACGGACGTAGAACTTGAAGAGGACCAAGTTTCTAGTATCAATGACACAGCCAGAGCGTCTATGGGGTACATAAAACATAAAGACTGCACTCTGCGGCAGCCATATCATCGGGCGGCTGTGTCCCGCTCAGGGCACTTGCCCCAGCTTTTGGGGTGCATAAAGACAGGGACCAGTCCGGGGAGAATCCACGCTGGCGGGTCGGCGGGTTTCCGAAAGCGGGAATCCCGCCGCCACTTACACCAACGAGAAGCCTAGACAAACATCTAGACGCCGCAGAGACTCAATCGGGCCCCAGTGCACCGTTATCGGTATAGCAAGTGGAGTGGCAAATGCATGAGCCGACGGACCCTTCTTGTTGCGCTTGCAGTATGCATATTGGTTGATCGAGTATGGGCAACCGTCGACCTACAGCTCCACCCAGCGGGTATTTCGTCCGCCCACGACGGCCCATCGTACCCAGCGTCGGAACGAGAGGGGTCGGTGTTTTCAATTGCGGAGCTCATCGGCACTTTGTATGTGAGGTGTCCTCGAAGCGACTTGGCTTGCGCTCAACCCTCTGCACCAACCCACAAAGTTGTGAATTCGAAAAGACGGAGCGTTGGTCTTCGACGTACAGCCAAGCTGCCTCCACGACAACCGTGCTCGCAGACCAGCCGCACACAATGGCACCGCAAGAGTCAACACTGGGGGCCCGCCAAGTAATCCAGGCGCCGCTGCCCAACCCCTCCCTCTCAGCAACCGCAGACCACAAGCTCAAGACCGGCGAGGCTCCCGTGTACGCCCCGGGCCCCGGCGAGGTGCTGCTGCACATCAAGGCGACAGGGATCTGCGGCTCGGACGTGCACTTCTGGAAAACCGGCGCGATTGGCTCGCTCGTGTTCGAGGGCGACTGCATCCTCGGCCACGAGGGCGCGGGCGTGGTCGTCAGGTGCGGCGATGGCGTGACGGACCTGAAGCCCGGAGACAGGGTCGCCGTCGAGCCCGGCGTGCCATGTGAGAAGTGCTTCCTGTGCCAGATGGGCAAATATAACCTGTGCGAGGACGTTGCGTTCGCGGGTGTCTATCCATACGACGGGACACTGCAGCGGTACAAGGTGCACCCTGCCAGGTGGCTGCACAAGTAAGCCTCGAGCACCAGCCATATGTGCTCGGTAGGTTCAGGCTGACAACATCGCAGACTCCCGGATAACATGAGCTTCCAAGATGGTGCACTTCTCGAACCTCTGAGCGTCGTTCTCTCGGGCCTGCGGGTTGCTGAGCTGACCCTTGGTCGCGGAGCTGTCATCTGTGGCGCAGGGCCCATTGGGCTCACTGGGCTCCTCGCAGCCAGAGCCTCGGGGGCTCACCCGCTCGTCGTGACGGACATCGAGCCCAAGCGCCTCGCTTTCGCCAAGGAACTCGTCCCGTCTTGTCTCACTTACCAAATCGACCCGTCTCTGGATGCCCGTGGAAACGCGAGGGGTATCAGAAAGCTCTTTGGTGCCCGGGGCGGCGAGGGAGAGGAAGGAGACGAATACTTCGCGCCACCGTGCGTCATCGAGTGCACCGGCGTTGAGTCAAGTGTCATTACCGCTGCTTTCACCGTAAGGAGAGGTGGTCGCGTTGTCGTGGTCGGTGTTGGAAAGAACATCATGAACAATCTGCCGTTCATGCACCTATCTTTGGCCGAGGTATGTGTTAAAGTCCGGATGCCTTCTGCTATCGCCAAATTCAATACGCTCGTGACTGACTGATCAAAACTTCGCCGTAGATCGATCTCAGATTTATCAACAGGTACACTGATACTTGGCCGGCCGGAATTTCATGCATGAGTGGTGGAATAATTGACATGAAGAAGCTTGTCACTCACGTGTATCCACTTGAGAAAGCTGCGGAAGGCCTTACGTTTTCTTCGGATCCTCGTAATGGCAGCATCAAAGTCCACATTCTGGATGAGTCGGAAACGGTGTTCTTCTAATTGAGACAGCAACAGCTTGCCATTTGCAAACTTCAGTACTGGTATGCACTAATGCAATAATAGTATGTGAAACTTGATTGACGCCTTCCGGATATGAAATTGAGTTGAGCTCCCAGGGAGTCAAAAGTGAATCGTTCACAGTCACAAGTCACTGGCTCTGGATTGAGATGCCTATTTCCCGGCTTTTAGGGCCTACCACCAGTACCCTTTGCCCGAGCCAGCAGGTCAAATATGGCTGTGTCATCTGTGAGATCGTGGAGAGTGTTGGCATACGGCGAGAAGATTAACCATGTCCGCCTAAGGACATTTCTTCACCTCAGACATGAGCAGTGGTCCATACTTTTAAAACAAATCAGGCCATGACTGACAGTCAAAACCATGCCAATCACTTGCATTCACCTTCACCGGTTTTGCAGTATGTTTGCCATTACACACTACCTAGATACGTGCCTAGCTTCTAGATATGGGCATCGAGTCAAAGAATTCAGGTGTAGCCTGTTGTGAGGAAGCCATTGCCGTGATTCACTCAACTTGGCCGTCTCAGCGATTTTGATGTGCTACCCACCTCCGTCCTTGGCTATAAAACTCGCAAACTTGGCCTTGACAACTCCTACAAACTCTTCTCGTTCCAGAGTATCTGTTTCTCATTCACAATAGAGGGCCCGAAACGACCCAAGCAACAACCAGTCAGTCAATCTTCATAACAGCATTGAACAAAAACCAAAAACAGGAAAATCATGTCTTACACGAGCTATTCACCCAACGAGTACGCCTTATGGCTCTCTCAGCAGTTCCAACGGGGAAATCTTCACCCTTACTGGGCAACGCTGGGGCAACTCCCTTTGCCCCAGTACCCACTGCCAGTGCCTCTCAACAGCAGATCAGCCAGCGAGCCTCCCACTCACCAGAGTCAAATCCCGACTGCAGGTTTCCAGATCATTACCACCGACACCTATCCTACAGGATCCATGGCAATGCCTTATCCGACAACCTCCTTTCCTGTGCAGGACCCTCAAGCTCCGGTCCCTCACGTTGGAACCTCAGTTCCAGCGTATGCTAGCTTCGAGAATAACAGGCGCGCAGCGCCTCATGATAACGATACTATCCAGAGCGGAAGTCGCCCGAGCGAGAGTCAGCAGGTGCTGCCGATCCGGGCCGTGCAGCAGAATCATCTTCCAACACCTTACGAAACCCAACCGATTGGCACCCATTTGACAACTATTCACCCTTCTCTCGGGGTATGTGTCCTGGTACCCCTCGATCAACTGAGGGCAAGTGCTCCGCCGAGTGCTCCGCCGAGTTCTCCGAACTGGTCAACCGTCAACAACGCCAGTCACAGTGTCAGAGACTACGACAGCACCCGCGTCGACCGCCTCCGCCGCCGCCACAGCCGGTCCGTCACGCCTTTCATGAGGTCGATGAATCCGTCCCCCCGCAGGTCACCCACGCTGTCGCCGTACCTACCATCTCCCTCCTCTTCAATCGCCATGACGCCGTCCATCCGCCATCGCCGGCACAACACCCCCGAGTTCGTGAGGAGCCCAGGTCGTTTTCGCGGCATCGGAGGCTTCACCCCGCTCCGTCGAACCCAGTCTGCCGCGTCTGTGCCACGCGTCACCAGAGAGGCTTCTATCAGCACCGTTGGAACGTGCTCGCAGTGTGGGGGTACTGTAGCTGGCGATTCGTACGAGCCGTTCACGAATGGATCTATCGTGGCGACGCCCCGAAACGTTGTCCGGGACGGAGCACTCGCCGGTCAGGGAGAGTCTTTCCGTGGGTGTGGTGAGGGTCAAGAGGCCTTAAATGGGGGTCACGGGCGCTTTCAGGCCACTGTGGAGGAGGTTGACGAGTAAGTTCCAGGGAGGAGATTCCGTGTCGGGGATGTTGGGAGCGTGCTAGGAAGAGAGTGCAAGGGGGCAGCACCCGGGTCATGAACGATAATTATGGAATTAGTATTTGCAATTCGTCTATGATCAATATACTTCGATGCTTTGTAACTGGGATCTCATATCAGGTGCTTCTGGCCGGCCGGACTCCATACTTGATTCTTCAAATATTGATCGACGCTGCAGCTGGCAGGATCGCTCTGGTTGCCGAGCTCTTTGTGTAGCTCGATCCCAGCGCGGCAAAATTGGCCAGGTGAGTTGTTTCAAGATTAACTTAGAACGATCACCAGCAAGTATTCAAGAATTATGGGCCATGGCGAGTATGGAGAAAGATCCACCAGCACTGGCGACAACTAGCATCTTTCCGTTGACAGCCTGACCATCGATCACAGTCGGAATCTTTATGTCATCCTCCGTACCTTGCCCAGTCCTTCCATTGGAAGAAAATCCCCACGAATAGGCCTTTCCATCAGTAGTAAGAGCAAAGCTGTGATCTGTTCCAGCTGCGACCAAGCTAATGGGCGGGATGTCTACACATGTGTGTTCATCTTAGCAAGGACTTGATTGGGGGAGAAAATACTTCAAAGGAAATGTCTCACCTGGTATGACCGTTGGGGTTTTCAAAATACGAGGAGTGCCACGCTCATCATAGACAGTGTTCTCGGCCGTGATAGCTTCGGGACGCACGCCAACCTGGTTGCCATCTATGCGACCCCATGTAAGGAGCTTGCCATCATCGCTAGATGCGAGAGAGTGATGCTCCCCACCGGCGATGCTCGTAACCTTGTAGTCTTTTAGGGCCTCGACAAGGCGCGGTTTAAAGTGGTGAGCGTTGTCCTCGCCGGCCCCATCGGGGGTGCCCAGCTGCGCGTAGGTATTTAGGCCCCAGGCATAGACACGGCCTTGCTCATCGACGGCAAAACTGTGATAAGAGCCACAGGCGACTTGAGTAGCCTTCGCACCGCGTATCGGAAGAGCCCCTACGCTGGCTGGTCTGAGGCCAAGCTCGGGATGGCTGGCCAGCACTTTACGACCTAGTCGGCCTTGTTCTCCACAGCCCCATGCATACACCTTGCCCTTGCCGTCGACCGCAAGTACATGGTTGTTACCGGCGGCTAGTTGTCTGATATCCTGGAGGTCTGGGATGAGGACTGGGGTCTTCTGAACCTTGACATCCCTACTGAACCCCATGATTCCCTCAGTGGACTGGACACTGTCAGCTAAGGTTGATCGTAACACACTCGGAGCGAAACGCATTGAAGTTCGGCGGAGTGATAATTACCCTGAACGTCCCCCAACCATACACCCTGCCGTCGTCGGTTAGGGCAAACGAGGCGTTGTCACTTGCAGCTACCTGGGCCCATCTGATATTTGGATCAAGGCCCGAGACGTCGACGGGCCCGGGTGTGCTTTCCGCAGGGTTGAAAACATCATCTTCATCCTCTTCGACATTTGTCGCGCGCCCTAGAGCACCAAGGTCGTTAACACCCCATGTAAGGATCTTGTTGTCCTTGGTAAGCGCGACCGCATGCATGCCGCCACAGGTGATCTGGATCACGCCAATGTCGTCTGCAGAGAGCAGCTTATTCAGCCGTGGCCGCGTCACGTCCGTCAGTGACTGGCCTTTGACGATCTTGCTGCCAAGGCCGAGCTCGCCAGACGATCCCTCACCAAAAACAAAGATATCGAGCGGGTCTAAGGGTATTCTGTTGATCCGCTGACCAATTTTTGAACAGAGTCTCTGAGAAGTCACAACCCTCGTCTTCAGCTCCCTTGAAGTTTTGTCCAATGGAAGTTCTGCCCTTTTGAGCCGCTTATCGGGCCTGCTATGGCCTTGTCCATCTGAGTTTGGCGTCTCAGTTTTTGTTGGAGCGTTTGGAATGGGCACCTGTACTGTTCGCTTTCGCTTGTTATTCATTTTGGAAGGAGCAAGATCTTCCTTCTTCCCAACACGCGCGTCCACCTTCTGTTCTCGGGATATGATTGAGTTGAGAGTAGCTGTCCTTTTGAAGCTTAGTTATACGATACTGTTACACCGGATTCCGTAATTTGGGGCTTTCAAGAAAGGACCAAAAGACGCATGACGGCCAATGGCTGATCAGCAGTAGGGCTCGGCTAGATTTAGAAAGCCAAGTCAAAAGGGAGTCGGGCAAAGAGGTGAGCCTTTGGAAGTCCTAAACGGCGCGTTTCCCACCAACAAACTCAAAAGGCCGTTACTGCAGCAACGGGGGAGAGAAGATGTTGATCCTACGCCAAGCAATCTACTACCCGTGGTATGCAATGTGTGAGCAAACTTGATGATTTGGGTTACATCGTTTATAAAACACCCTAGTCGGCCGATTAGCACGAGATATTATCCAACAGTCCATAATAGATTGTTTGCGCGACATAATCCTCTCATCGCACATGTGCTTTACAAGGACATTAACGATTGAGTAATAAGATTCGAGAAGTGACCAGCAGAATCACCGACGAAATAGATGAGATGAGCTTTTGAAATCAACTTGCATGCAGGTCTGGGAAGATTCAAGTATAAATGTTTCCAGTAGGTGAGGACATCGTTGTCTGAATTTGGCCAAAAAAGAAATCCATATCCAACCTTTATTCCTCATGTTGTCCAACAGTTTCGAGAAACCTTTAGGGGTTCTCCTCCAATTCACGCTCCGGGAGAATGAGTCCTCTCTAATCAATATACTACAATTCTGTATTACACAATTATCATGTCGTTATTGAAGGGCTTGCGTGGGAGACAGGAAATAGATGTTGTTAAGTTGTCGGTCATTTCTGAGGTCTAGATCTTGAGATAATGGTATCGAGCTCTTGGAATGCATTATCCAGAATAAGAATCATAGGTCTTGGAAATCTTCTAATTATGAGCCGGAATTGCACACTGTATGATCACAGAAAATGAGACTTTCTGCTTGCGTCGGCTTGGGCCGGTAGCTGGTCAAGATCCCAATCATCTACCTGGCAGACATACATACGTGATGACATGATGCTCCTGACATTGATTGAAACCTAGGTATCCATATTATCAACTTGCTTTCTTTTCTTGTGGCAATGCAACTGGTCCAAATATTATTTGATGTGCTCAAGTGGGCCCAGTGGGCAGGGTCCCATGCACAAGCTTGCAACTGTAGTTGATTGTCGTGAATGACATCACGCTATGATATCCGCGCAACTATAGGTCCTGAAGTCAAATTCCCGGTGCACGTTCAAATCCATTTGGTCTTGTGCGGCTTCGCTGGATATTTGTCATGGGCCGTGTCTTAATAAGACATATATCCCGACCAGCAAACTGTCTCTCAGGATATCCCCACATGCCCAGGTGACGTTCACCCTTCGGCAGTCTCGTGAGCTGTCGCAGGGCTTTCCAGACTGAGCGTCACCAAAGTGGGCACAAACTTTATACTATGATAGGAAGCTTGATTGAAAACGCTAGGTGCCGGGGCTATTTCCAGTCTGTCAGGTCTGCGACCGTCCATGCGACCACGCAGTAGACATTATAGTGCCAAGAAAGGTGGTGGTTATAGAAAGGTTGGTTCAAAGGAGGGGTCATGACCAATGGCGATTCGTTTCTCCGGCGTTATTGGCTGGGGCGCACGTTGGTTTATTAGAAGATGCCACTTCCTACCACGGTCACGAACGGCCCTCTGGATTGGACGAATTTCATTTGGGGTACGGCGAATCACTGGCATCTTTCGAGCTCGTGGTCCTCGCACACCGACCGGCGTATACCCGCTCGGACAGCGAGGTGGATGAACACAGGGTCTCTCGCATCCCTCATAGGACAAGCACTATGGAAGGCAGCATGGTTTATTAATTGGACTGATGTTTTGTGCACATGTGACATCCTGGTCACGGCTGTCCAGATCAATCTGATGGTCTGGGTGGAAGCTCCCCCAATTGACCAACAGGCTTGGGGGAAATAACACCGAGGATATCGAAGGAGGAGTTGTCCCGAGACACACGTCATCTCTTTGGAACATCGGCCAACAGGGCGATGTTTCAAAACAAATCTGGAGCGCCCGCGTGCTCTGAGTGGTGCGAATATATCTGCTAGCGGCGTCCGAACTGCGTTTCGAGTGGAGGACCACCATCCACCGGCCGATCTTCCACCCTCCCAGCAACAGGCAAAACGCTCCCAGGGGTGTGTGGAGGAAGAGGAATGGCCGATCGTGCCGGTCCTGGCATTGATGTGTGCAACAAAACAACCCGTCAGGGAAGGAGGCGCTGAATGTGGAGCTGGAGAAGGGGGAAGAACGCGCACAAGGCACACCCGCTAGGCTAGCTGGTTGATGCCCGCCCACGGCTAAGGCTGGACCGTAATTAACCTGATTGAGGCTCTGTTCCTCGTAGATTGCGGCTCAAAAAGAAAAAGAGGAGCGGGCTACTGCGGCTAAAAAGAGGTAACGAGACCGAAGGCGCGTACCCTTGCTGGGCTTAGGGCCTCGTGGTGCCGTGAGTGCGTGCGTAAGGCTCGTCAATCCATGCCCCGCCAAGTCGTGTTCTGAAACCTTATCCCCCAACCTTCCTCGTGGGCGCTGACGACCGACTCAGCGGATCGACGGCGCGCAACTCGTGGCCCTCGTCCCAGCTCGCGGGCGTGGCTTTTCCCTGTCGCTATATTTGTATGCCTGCGTGTCTATATCCGTCGGGGCTGCGTGTGGCTAGGCACTAGGCGGGAGAAACTGTGCCCCCATTCCTCTTCGGGCTCCCCTGTCGGATTTACCGTCTCCCTTCCTCGCCCAAAACGATGGCCTACCTAGGTACACTCGGTGCCGGCCGGTGTCCCCTGCTCTGTGAGGTCCTGCGAGGCGTGGGACCCGGTGCATGCGCCGAGGGGAGAAATAGAAACGCATAGGAACAATGTTCTATGTTTTCCTCGGGGACCAAACGGCCTTGTTTAGTGGTTCCCATCACCAACCACACCAGTCGTGCCCTAGGAGCGATGGTGCGGGCTGGCGGGATGCAGCAAATGGGATGCTCATCCGACCATTTGTGTGCCCGTGCTGTGTGCGGGCGTCGTCTGCATTGAGCAACACCTGGGCATCCATTCGCGCCGGCCTATAGGCTAGAGCGGAGGTCTATCTATATCCGACCGTGAGTTCGAGAGGAAGAACAGCAGAAGTCTAATCGTGACATCAGTCAGACCTCGGCGCAACCTTGATTGATGAGCGAGCAGCAGGCACGTCCGTCTGACATTAACATCCATACTCCGAGCCGCAAGGCCCTCCGTCATCCCAATGCGGCAGCTGGGCGGGGGAACGCCCTCCTGCATTCATTTAGACGGCCCATGGGCACCCCTGCCCCTGCCCCTGCCGATCGATAAACTTGGGCATGGCATGTGGGGTGCCCTAACCGGACTGACAGGAAACCTAGCATCGCACCAAGGCGATGACATGGGAAAATAGCTCGCTGGTTCATGTGCTCATGTAGACGAGTTCGGTCGGCAGCCGGTAGCCCTGCACGTCCATCCGTGCTCACGGCACAGGTTTAGGGCTGGCCGCGGTGTAGAAATATGTATTAGTTTGCTCCCGCTCGTGCTCACGCTTGCTTTTCCTCACCTCTTCTTTCTTGGGACCACTCCCCGGATCACGAACACTTCCGAGACAGTCGCCACCACCAGAAGAGTGTCACCGCAGTACCGGTACTAGTCATAATGGTCACAATACCCGGCCAACCACCGCGGGCACCGCTCCGCAAGCGCCAGCCACTCGACAACATGCTGGACTCGGTGGAATCCTGGATCACAGAACGGAATGGATTTGCCGTTCGGAGGCGAAGTGTGAGCACGTCGGAGGCACCGGCGCATCCCGCCCCGGCAAGACGGGAATCATCAACCACATCCCCTATTTCCACAGCTCTGGTCCTGCAGATACTCGGTACGTGCACTGCGTCGTCATATTGATATATGCCTTGCTCCTGATCATGAGCCACCACTAACATCGTCGCCCAGTCCTGGTTGCGCTGGTCCTCAGCATCACGCTGTTCGTCATCTACCGGCGCCGCCGCGCCAAGAAGTTGAATCTGCTGAACGAGCAGAGGATAAATGCTCCCTTCTTCGGAAACATCAGCGCACCAAATGGCCTCGCCCCACCACCATACGGGGAGGCCCTCAAGTCCCCGGTCATCTCGGAGGTCACAGCCTACAACCACCAGAGGCAGAGGTCCAACTCCATGCTCATGGATGAATGCTGGAAGGCAGTGTATGCCGCGGAGGACGGCACCGCCAACCCCGGCTATGGCTCGACAAACACCAGCCGGCCCGAAACTCACATGCCAGCGCCTGCCAGCCCACAGACAGTAGCCCAGACCGGCTCACGGAACTCCGTGGCCGGCTGGCTGCGCACTCAGCGGTGGCTCCCCGGCGGCGGCGCAAACCCACTCAACAGTAACCCATTGACGGCACCCAGCACTCCCATGTCCGCACGGATGCCGGTTCCCCCATCACCAAGCTACAACGGCGTCACCCCATCGGTGGCACCAACACCAACAACCGCGACGTATCTCGTCGCCCCGGGCCCCCAGACACCAGGCCAGCCACTGAGCGCGCGGAGCTGGGCCACGGGCGACGACTCGGTAAACGACAGCGTCAGGTCGACCTTTGTGCCCCAGACGGCGCTCTACCCGCCCCCGCTGCAGCCTGCCCCCAAGGGCCACGGGGTGTCGAGGTCCCTGACGGGGAACACGAGGAGGACCAGCGGGGCGTCGTGGACAAGCTCGGTGGGCGACAGCTATGACAGGGAGAGCGGGACGTGGAAGACGATGACACCGCACGAGGACCCGCCGAGCCGCGAGCCGAGGAGGGGGAACCCGGATGAGGTCAGCCCGATCTAACGGGGCCCTACTGCGATGTGAGCTTTTGTCCTTACCAGGAAAGCCGGGGGTTATGATAGACGCTGGACTTACTATCCTGTACTTATTTTGCTGTTACGATATACCCTGACGCGTAAATTTCATGGAAATACCTTTTGTTGGAATTATTTGACCAAACTCCGAGACTCCACGTGATATGCCAAGTCATTCATTCATTCATTCACGAGCCCACATCAATCCCGTCCCTGCGGTACCGGCAGCAGCTCTCCCCACACAAGCACTTCTTGTCCAGGCCCCTCCAGTACTTGTCGCTGTAGTCGACACTGATCTCGGTGCCAGCTTCTATGCCCTTGCTGACGAGAATGATGCGCTGCGTGCCCAGCCACGTGAAGCGCTGGTACTGCGCGTTAGCCTTGCAGCTGTGGTTGACGAAGCGCGTGAAGTTGCCCTGCCGGCCCTGCCAGATCTGGTACTTGGCAGCACCGGCCGACACCGCGCTCTCCATGACGTCGACGTCGGATAGGCCCTTTGTCACGAGCCCGACAAACTCGCCGACGGGGGCGCCGCGCTCGAAGGCGCAGAGCGCCATGAGGCCGTTGTTCCGGCCATCGGGGGTGCGGAAGATGAGCACCGGGGTAGGGAGGGGCTTTGCTGCGCCGAAGAGGGTCGGGAAGCAAAAGCACGAGTTCAGCTTTGGGTCGTCGGACTGCTCCTTGCCGCACGTGTCGCAGAGTGGCAGTGCGGATGGCTCGCCGCTGATGCTCGTGGTCGGCGGCGTCCACCGCGGGTCGTCGCAGCCCCAGGCGACCTCGTCAATGACGGGCTCGTCAAGGTGCTGGTATGAAAAGTCCGGATCCCATTGCAGATACGTTGATCGAAGTGGGACGGGTGAAGAGCCATCCAGGGAGATGACATAGTCGTGGGGATGGCCCCGGTATATCTGCTTAGAGGGCTCGCCTATCGCGGTGAGCAGTTGCCTCCAGTTTGGGTGCAGCGTGTCTGCTGTAACCTCGATGGCAGGCTTGAGGTTGCGCAGGCGCTGCATGCTGTCCTTGTCGAATCCGATCCGGTACTTGCAGAACCTGTAGATGCCCATGCCCGCAAAGACGAGTGATGCCCAGCCACCGGCTTGTTTGATCTCATTGTAGCCGCGCCAGATTGACATCTTGTTCCGTAGTTCCTTCTCAGACCACCCAAAGTCTGTGCAGGCCTCCATGAGGGCGGCCTTGTTGAAGCGACTCCGAGGCGTGAGCGTGTTATTCGCCGCCAGACTGTCGACGTACGCATCAAAGTGCTCAACCCAACGGGCCTGAACAATGACCTCTAGGGATCGGCACGCACGGCTCGCCTGCGTCACCTGGCTGCAGAACACGTTGCTGCGCTTGAAAGACCGGCTGCTGTCATACACGCTGTCCTGGACAATGCTTCCCTGGCCACCTGGCTGCAGCACAAGGCCCAGTTTTGAGTTCACCTCGTCGAAGGGTGAGGGTGCCGCCTCTACCGGCCGGAGCTGGACCTGGTCGAGCAGGTTCTGAGGGTCGAGGCTGAGGCTGCCGTGGAGCTGTTCCCAAATGCCACGGATGAGCTTATCGAGGGTGGACGGCTGCAGGACGTGGCCGGTGGGCTGCTGTTTCCGGCGCTTGGGGAACTTGTCGCCAGTTGATATCTGCCTCTGGCTGCTGGGCTCGTCCTCGAGATCGACCGCACTCTGCTCCCTGCGTGCCGGCCTGAGCCCACCGAGCGGTCTTCGACTCCTACCAGCCGAAGCTTCGGCAACCTCGTCGGAGCATGTGGGCGTGGCACCGGCACTAGATCCCTCTTCGGAATCGGGCGGCGTGATCCTTGTAGCATCTGGCAGGATGATAGGAGCCGGGGTGGATGCTGTTGATGGCTGTTTGGTGCCGGCATGTCTCTGTTGGACCTGAAGGAGGCTGTTGCTGTTGCTGTTGCCAGTGCTGCCATTGCTGCCACCGCTGCCAACGGGGAGCCTCTCGAGTTCAGGGCCCTCGGAGGACGCCCGACTCGGGTGCACAATCCCTGACAGGTCTATGAGATGCTACACTCACACAGAGTCAGCCACGATCCGGCGAGGCGGGGTGAGGCGGGGTGAGGCGGGAAACAAGATCTGCTGCACTAACGGCGATGATGGGCCCGGGTATGCACTGGTTGGCTGCATGTTTCGAGCCATCCTGGAGACAGGCCTGAAGACGCAGTATGGGCTTCTCGAGCTGTTTGATCGCTGCCCAATCAATCCCCGTCGCCTCCACAATGCGCTCGGCCACCGCGCGGGCGATGTGCTCCCTCACACGCGCAAGATCCTCTTCGGCAATCATTTTGGGGGCCCGTCTGCGAGAGAGTGGCACGGCCAGGCGCCATCGTTGGCGTGTTCGAACGGCTGAGTGTCTGGCGATGTTTGGTGAGGGCTGAACTTGGAGTGGAAAAGCGAGAGTGGCCAAGAACTTTCGCATCGCGATATTGACTCGCGGAACCGGTGACGCTTGGCTTCCTTATGTAATACTGTATGGTAACTGTACCTCCGTACCACGCAACGGTCCGTTCTCCCGCTGCCCCTGCCAATGCAACCTTGCCGCCCTTCTTCCCGATGTCTCCTCGAGCTACTAGTCTAAGCTTCCGAGTCTTATTAACCCACATCAGCATCCATACATCCAGGCAGCCCAGGCCATCTTCACGCTTCCAAAGGTGCACAAATCTAAACATTGGATCCAGGCCCTCTCCCGCAATACCCCACCCCACCCGTCTGGCAACATACTGTTATTTGACAGGATCGAGGTAGTATCCGAAGCTACTGTTGCAGTGAGTTTATCAGTGCCCAGGTGGATAAATCTAGAGCCCTCTGGGAAACCCAACCTCATGTGATACCAAGTAGGGTGCCTCGAGTCTAAATAGATCGGCAAAGTACTCGGCAATACCGAAAACCTATTTTACACCGGATCCGCATACACATATGCATCCACATTGGCTGCATGGCCTCAGATCCCACATGATTCTTCCTTGATACCTGCCTGGCTTGCCTGGGTACCTAGGCGTGCTCCACTGGCAGTGCTTATCAATGGCATCACAGCTGTGGTAGGACAACCTATGCAGCTATGATGCGGGGAGGTTGGGCATTTTGAGTTTCCAGGTTGCCGGGGGTTGCCTTCGTGCACATGCATATCTGCTCCTCTTATCGTCTCGTCTCAGGATTATGAGTCGTTCTCCTGAACACAAGACCTTCTTTGCTCGGAAAGAACGTGGAATTCCGCGCATGAGCGAGCATGTCTACATCGACAATCAGCCCGGAACGGGCGCCTGAACTCGACCTCCCCGTGTCGAGCAACACAGTCCGTGTGCGAGCTATCGATACGACGACACGCATGGTCTGCTCCTCTGCCGCCTTTGTCCAGCCAGTCTTGAAAGGCCATGAGACGCTCAACTTCAGGACATTAGCCTTCTTGGTTGAGCACGAGGGTCCCTCAGGCACGCAACGTGTGCTCTTCGACGCCGGCTCCCGCAAAGACTTCTGGAATGGTTCGCCCAAAACCCAAGAGATGATCAAGGCTTGTGCACCTGGCATGGAGGTCGAGTATAATGTTGAAGAGATTCTCGTGGCTTCTGGCCTTGAGTTGACCAAGCTTAGTATGATCAGCCCGTCCGCGTAAGCGATGACGTTTGGTCAACTTTGTCACTGATTACTCTGCGCTGAGATTAGAGGCCGTCATCTGGAGCCATTGGCACTGGGACCACATCGGTGATGGCTCAAAGTTCCCTGGCTCGACTGATATCGTCGTGGGACCCGGGTTTGTTGAGAATTTCGCTCCGGGTTGGCCTACCAGACCTGAGAGCTGTGTCCTCGCCAGTGACCTCGAGTAAGACAAGCCAGTGCGATTGCCGTCGTTTGATGTATGCCATACTGAAGGCATTGTTCTTGAATCAAGAGGACACAGAATCCATGAGCCGGAATTTCCGCTGAACATTGGTGGATTCCGAGGTCACGACTATTTTGCCGACGGCTCATTCTACCTTCTGGATGTACCTGGGGTTCGTACACGTATCCTCTTCAGTCTGCAGCTCACTCTGACAAGCTGGTAGCACGCCGTAGGGCACATCTGTGGCTTTGCCCGCACGACTCCAGACACTTTCATTTTCATGGGCGCAGACTGCTGTCACTTCGCAGGCATGATCCGTCCTTCTCTTTATAACCCGCTACCATCAATCATCCCACCCGAGCAGGTGGACGCCCTTCGCCCCAAACCGTGCCCCTGTTCAGTCTTCACGGCGCACCACCCGGCTGCCAGCCAAGGGGATGTCAAGACTCGGACGCAACCCTTCTACAATATCTCGACTGCTCCTGGTAGCGCTTACTCTTTTGCCGCCGCTGCTCAGAAGACAGCAGAGCTGGTGCTATTGTTTGACGCGAATCCTCATGTCTTCGTATGCCTGGCCCATGACGGGGCTCTTTTTGATGTGCTACCATTGTATAACTCTGATCCTACCAGCGACATAAATGATTGGAAGGATAAAGATTACGACGAAAGGGCGAAGTGGGGATTTCTCAACGAGCTTCCTTACACCGATTACAGTCCCGGGCGTGGGCATCTTGTGCCCCTGCGTGAGGATACCTAGGTAGATAGACTCCAGCGCCGGCTGCGTGTGTACGTCAAAGGTCACGCAGCATGAAATATTCCCCTTTGTGGTCTGTATTCTGGGCTTGGACCGAGTGTAGGTTTTCAACAAATTTCTGACGTGTCTCCTTTTCGAATTATAATACCGTCGCCATTGGATTGTGTAGGGCCATATGTATTGAAGGTTGAAAATTTGACTTCAAAAGAAGCTTTGGTGACCAATATTCCATCGGTTACCTCGCATGCGCTTGGTCAATTTATACTTTCATCACCTACACTCAGGTGACTCCAAACTCTATACTATGGGGCCATCATCATCGAAAGTGCTCACTTTCAATGTTGTAGGCTTTGAAAGAACGCAATTGGTAGTAATTAAAAGCCTGTGGTTTCTGAAAATTCAGTATCAATCTCGTGTTGTCGCGCACTATTAATCTAAACAGAATACCAGTGAAGCCAGCTAAACCACTACAAGTTCATGTCCACAACCAATTTCCCCGCCCCTCCCTTATGGGAGTCTTGCACAAGCTGATTGAGGTCTCCGAGTTTGTATGCCTGCACCTCGGCCTGCACCTCGTACTTTCGTGCGAATTGCAACATCTCTCGTATCTGGTGATTCCTCCCGACGAGACTGCCAACCAGACTGATATCGCGAAAGACAAGGTCGGCCGCGCTGACCTCAAGCTTCTTCTTGGGGAAACTCACAACCACCATGGTGCCGTGGTTCCTCAATAAAGCCATGCCCTGGTCAAAGGCCGCCTGGGACTCCGGCAACATGATCGCCGCATCGAGGCCAACCTCTCCCTCGGGTGTTCCAGGTCCGACTTCACCCTGCACCAGCATCTGCATTTCCTTCACAGAATCCTTGCGTCCGTCAACAATATGCACAGATGCCCCTGCGGGACCGAGTCTGTTCTTGAGGCGTTCGAGCAACGCAAGCGCGGCGTCGTTGGCCTCCACCGCGAGGACTTCCTTGCCAAGATGCGCCGCAAACTGCACGCCCAGATGACCGAGACCCCCGCCGGCGCCCAGGATGGCCACCTTGCGAGCATCGCGGACCTTCTCGTGCTGCAGGGCAGACCAGATGGTGATCCCGGCACACATCAGCGGCGCGGCATGGACGGCAGTCAGGCCGTCGGGCAAGGGGGCAACCTGTCGGCTGTCGACGAGGCAGTACTCCTGAAATCCTCCGTCGCGGGTGAGCCCGAGGTTGAAGGCCTTGGGGCAGTATGGCGAGTAGCCCGGCTTGTCTTTGCCAGGGTGCGTACACTCGTAACAGGAGCCGCAAGGGTGGTATGCCCTCCCCGGGACGCCCACGCGCGTGCCGACTTCAAGTCCCGAGTCCGCTGCGTCGGGGCCGGTGGCGACTACCTCGCCCGCGAACTCGTGGCAGCCGACGCGAGGCAGGTCCTGAAACATTCCGCCCGCGGCAAAGACTGCGTCCGTGTGGCAGTATGAGGCTGCCTGGACCTTTATGAGCAGGTCATGGCCTTGTGGCTCGGCCGGCCGTGGGATACGCTTCAGGGTGTATGGCTGGCCGAATTGTTCGACGACCGCTGCTAGCATTGTCTCGTCGCCTTCGGGAGCCATGAATACCTTTCAATAGTCCTTAACGTACAACTGTGGAGAGATATCAGACGCTCTCTAATGTCTCTCGACCTGCTTGACTGTGCCCCGCGTTTGACGTACGTGCCGGGCGGTACACCAGATTTCTACCCCTAGGTAGGTATGGACTCTTCCAGGAGAAGGACCCCTCGAGATTGGTAAACTAATATGGAATGGATAAATAGTGCGAGGTTATGGTGGAAATTAACTATATATGTGAGCCACTGTCGCCTGAATTTCTTGCAAATGTATTGATGTGATTCTTCGTAGGCGCTTCCATTCGTCACCTGGGCAGCGCCGGTGGACCGCGGGGCGGGAGCAAGACACCTGTGTAGGTTTGGAGAAGGAGGGGCACTGAAAACCGGCAAACACGAGTTCAGAAGCATCACACGTTAAAAGTGAAAAACTCTTCTCCAATTGGGGAATAATGCTTCTCCTACCAGAGCCGGCTGCCTCAAGACTGGGCAGAGTCTTGGGGTGCCTGGTGGTTTCGTTCTTAATCCGCATCCAAATGGACTTTTCTCAACGGAGGACTACATTAACTACATCAATGATGTCTCACTGGAATAGTTTGCGCTTAGTCGTTGCCCGCGGCCTACATATGTATTTCGCCTGCCTCCGATAGCGAACATACTAAGCCTGCACTTGAACCGTAATGGCCGATCGTAGCCCAGACTTTGCCGCGTCCCCGCCGTCACCACATCGAATCCAATCCTGTGTGTCTTGTAAAATTCTCAAAAACCGCCCAGTATACATCTTGAAACGCCCATTGTCGCTAGTCGCGACCTATATTAAGGTAGTCGACCAGCCCTTGGAAGGATGTGTAGAGTGTTGCTGTTGCAATCGTGTAGGGCGAACTCCAGGGTTGTACTGAGTCCTCTGCGGAGTAGTAGTCTGAAGCTGCTGTCGGTAATAGAGTTCCGGTACCACTAGTCCATTCACCCTCCAGCTGCGTCGTGGATCCGACGGGAACTTCTGCCCGGGCAGTTAGACTTTCAGTGTCAATCTGAGGTTTCTGTTTCTCATGTGCACACCTCTGTTTATTCCCCTTCGCACTATCTTGAGGACACCGAAGCATAGTAACTGAACAATTACAGCATCATGTGAATCATCGCCTTTGTCATAGGCATCTACCTCTAGTAAACCCACTATCGAGGCCTGAAGCAGCCCTCCATCATTGGAGTTCTCGGCTTCAATCGCGAAGCTCAGGAGAAGCCGAGCCAGCCATTCTGCAATGTGAGAACTCAGCGGTTCCGACTTTGCGCACTCGGGCGGTCGAACTCCTCCATATAGTCCTTGAACTGCTCGATCATAGCACGATCGCTATGGTGTCGGTGCGCTAAGATGTTCTGCGTCCCCAGGTGATGGCTGTCGAGGTGGACCAGTAGTAATGTCAGGGCAGCCCATGAGGGCGATGAAGTCTATAGTCCAGCAACCATAGCAGCAGCGTGGCGCGTTGAAGCGGGTGACAATCCCCTTCGGCGAGGCATTGACACAGGTAACGAGTGGGTATTCTTGCTCGTGGTTGACTGACGAAGACCGTAGCATATATGGAATATGAATTCGGTTCAACAAAGTATAATGAAGCACCTGCGTAACAACAAATAGCCGTGGGGTGTCCCAGAACAAGACCTACGGGTCCTTGGCGGCTTCGATCACCCACAAGCCACCACTTGCTTGAGAGCTGTCTGGCGTCCTCCTGGAGCTCTGCACCCAGGCTTCGCGTCACAGTCGGGTCATGAGAGCTGGGATTAGACTTGCTGCGCTCCGGGATACGGAGGCGATCATGCAGAGAATCTGTTCGATACGACCCGAGTGAATGTAGCTCGCCGGCATTGCCTCGGAAACCACCTGCTCAGGTGGGCATGGATCGGTCCAGCAAGCTCTGGGTAAGGTTAAGCATCAGGGGAAGATAGCGATCATTGCTAAATTTTCTAAACCACATTGTACGCGGTTCCTAGTGTGCGAGTGTTTCTAGTCTTTTGTAATGCATCTGGGCTTGTGTTCTGTCGAAGCCCATGAGCTGTACAATACTCACCGCTCTCCGTGCAGTAAGCCAGCCTCGACGGAAATTTTCAATACTCGGATGCTAACTACTCTTCATCATTAAGCACTCCAGGCCTTCAGTAGTCCCCATAAATCTGTCGTTCTTTTGGGTGACTATCGAAGTGGCAATGCCAAGAACCAACCGCTCCATAATGGTTTGATCGATTCGAGATACTGTTGATGCCGCCTGACTGCATGAAAGTGGCGAGTAGAAGCATACACCTCGCAAGCAACACTAGATGTGCGCTCAATCAGTAGGGTCCCAGCAACGTTTCGGCTGTTTTCAATCCACCCTTCTCCAGCACCCAAAATGGCGTGGTCATAGTCAGTCTCATGCGGGAGGACAGCAAGTGGTCGCTGGCAGTGAAGATACCGATGAATTGTTGAAGACCAGCGAGAGTCCACGTGCTCCCATGGAGGCAACAGTGCAGATAGAGAAGGTATCAGTCATGTAATTGGCGATGGATCCCACCATAATAGTGAGAGAAAACCCGATTTCCTGAAAAAGTAGTGCCAGGAGAGAAGATCTCGAATTTGTCGTCACATCCACATTCACGACCGCGATGCTGGAATTGGACTCATCGTCTGACGTTCCATGTTTGTCGGGACATTTCGCTATTTGAATCGCACACGTACGAATGCCTCTGCTGGGGATGGGGAAATGGCTTCCCACGCTTGCATCCATCGCTCTACCCGACTACGCCACTCCTCCCCTTTTCTTTTGCTGTCTACGGCGAAGGGTTACGGACAATACCCCAAGCACCAATTTCTTCTTTAACGGCACAGAGTTTGTGCTGGGTTGGAGATAAACATGAAGATTGTCTGAAACAGCAAGACCACAGGCTTCGAGAACGGCGGCGCGGGAACCATCGAGCCCTCAGAGTTTGGCCGCGGCGGCTGACTTATGGGGCGGCCTCGATCGCGGCTATCGGGTTTCCTAGGTAGCCTGGCGAGCGACCGGGACAGGACAAGAGCGCGGTGGTGCTTGGGAATGATCCATGGTTGGGCTGAAGCAGAACCGGGAGGATTTGGGGCGGTTCATCATGGCGAGGTGTTTGGCTGTGCATGTTCGAGAAGGAGTTCGGTTCAGGGAAGGATGATGCGATTGCTGCGTTTGAGTATCTCACAAGTGTGACTCATGTTGGCAAGGTGTGCATCCATATGTCTTCAATGTTAGTTGTTGAGCTAGAATGCCTCCGTTGTGATGCTCATAATTCATCGATATTTTTTGGAATGCTTGTGTGATGCTAGTGAACAAAAAACAAAAATGCATCGTTTCCTCCCGGGTAGTACAGCAGGGAGATTATCCTCTGTCTAACCTTTGTTCCCATGGAAATCCAATCCTTCGACTCCTTCTAATTATGGGCCCTTTGGATGCACAAGAGCAGATCACGACGCTTCCTGCCACACCACGCGGATGAGGCCCCTCCCGATCCCGTCCTCGTCTCGCCGCACATAGTACATGGTGGTCGTCCTGGCCGCCTCGTCGCGCACGCTCTTCTCCACGAGGAACTGGACCTTGCCCTCATCCCTGGGCTTCAGCGGGTCCAGGCTGTGCGTCCAGCTGTCCTCGATGTCCCAGATGGTCTTCTTCCAGGTGTGCTCCATGGCCTCGGGGTGCTGCATGGCCAGCTCAGTCTCGTTGTAGCTATACCGGACGATGCTGAAACCGTTGGCCATCTGCCAGCCGTCCTGGAAGCGGAAGTTCTGCAGGACGCAGGGCTTACCGCAGACCTCGGAGACGGCGGCGATGGTGGGCAGGTCGTGGTGGTGCCAGCTCTTCCAGTGGTGCACGCTGACGGGCTGCTTGCGGACCGCCTCGTAGAAGCCCGTGACGTCGGCGTGCAGGTCCAGCTGGAACAGGCCGTGCTCGATGTTGAGCTTGGTGGTCGTGTGGCGGTAGACGCAGTCACCGACGATCCAGTCGGCGCCAGTCGGGGTGTCGCCGCGGTCGTCCCAGCACGACTGGGCGTGGGGGCCCAGCTTCTCGATCAGGGGCCGTGACATGAAGACGCCGGCGCCGCCGATGGCGAAGAAGCCGCCGTTGTTGATGTTCCACTTGTTCTCGGACAGGCGGCCCAGGTACCACTCCTCGGCTGGGTCGTACTTCTTGAGCATGCCCATGAGGGTGTTCATGTCAAAGAAGAAGGTGTCGTCGTCGATCAGAGCGACCCAGTCCGTCTGCTTCTCCACCGTGCTGCTCAGCCACCCGAGCAGCGACAGGTACCTCTCCCCCCAGCCCTTGGCCGACTCGACCAGGAAGAGGTGTCCGATGCCGGCGTCGCGGAACATGGTCTTGATCTCCTCCGGGGAGGGCTCTCCAGGGCGGGCCTCGGTGTCCTGGGGCTCGTGCACAACGACAAAGCGGGCGTTTGTGTTTGCGGCCCAGTGCTTGAAGTTCTGCAGGGCCTCGGGCATGCGGCTGAGCAGGGTGGCGACGCCGAAGGTGATCCTGGAGGCATCGGGGTCCTTCTTCTTGGGAGGGATAGTGACAGTGGTGGTGGCGGGCGGGATCCCGGGGACAGGCGTGTTCAGGGCAGTCTCGTTGAAATCCGGGGCGTCGAGGCGGTGGGATGTGAACTTGGGCAGGGCGATGGGCAGCTGCTGCTGGAGCGGGGAGGGCGTGAAGATGCCATAACCCTGGCGTCGCGAGTGGTCGGGGCGGGAATGCTCGACCTCGGGCGTTGTTGGAGGCGCAGGCTTAGGCTTCACGGAGACGGGGTTTGCTGCGACAGCGGGCCTGTTCTTGGCGACGGGCGTGTCACTGATGTGCTGTTGGTGCTGCTCCTTGACCCTGATGTTGAGGGAGGCAATCTCGACCTCTGCGCCAAAATCCTTGAGGCCAAAAAGTTCGATTCTTGGGCCGCTGTAGACGGGCTTGGGCGGAGGCTCCTCCTTGGCTGGTTTTGGTTCGCTGTACAGGCCTGCGCCTGAGCCGCCTCCAATCCTGAAGAGGAAAAATAGCACGAAGACGGCGAAGGAAACGGCGGCGACTAGTCTAGATCGCTTGTTGGCGTATGACATGAGGGCTGTGGCCATTGCGACGGGCGGGATCCCGACGCAACGGTCGGGTGTTGAGCTTGTTGGTGGCGGGGTTGGTTGTCTGGGAGGGGTTGCCAACTTGCGGCGTGGGGAGGTTGTTTGCCCTCGTCGGCTGTGTCAGTCGTTGTTACCTGAACGGCAGCATGTTCGTCTCGTCAGCAGCTGAGAGACGAAGTCGTCGTCGTGTCTTGTCACCGAGAGAGTAAGACGAGGGTGGTGGAGGAACTAGACCAAAAGGTAGCAGCAGGCGCGGTTAAATTAATGTTAAAATGCGGCGCGACAAACATATCGAGAGGGACAGGGCCAGTCACAGGGCGGGCGAATGCAAGAGAGACTTGGCTTCTAGCCCGGTTTGATCATTTCCAGACGATGGCTGGACGGGGGGCACGAGACTGGCAGACTGGCAGACTGGACAAGTGGGCGGCCGGGCAGGATCTGCACTGGTTGGACTGGTTGGATCTGCAGGCCATGGCCCCCCTCTCCTTCCTTCCTCCCGTCCTCCCTCCTTGCCTCCCTCCCTCCCTCCCTGGCTTCCTGGCTTCGTGGGTGGGTGGGTGTGGGTGCCTGGGTGCTGCGATAGTGCCGGGCTGAACTGGCTGATAGAAAAATTGAGGACGGACCAGTACCATAGAAAATGGAGAAATGCATATTACATGCATGGACATGGGATGACGGGCATCAGAGGTGCCTGGATGGGCAGAGGTCCCCTGCAACATGTATCGATTAGGCCAAGCCCCACGCCACCAGGTACAACGTCCATTTCACCCACGAATCCTTCCTTCTCCAAGGCAGCCAGCCAACCAAGCTGTCAGTCCTGTCTGCCTGTTTGCCTGTGTTACCTAACCTCTCCTGTTGCTGCTGTTCTGGTCCAGCATGGCGTCTGTTGTACATGACTGTGGAACACCCACAAACCTGACAAGCACATGCCCACATGTTTGTCGATCTGTGCTCCACAGACATGTCATCATTTGAGCGTGGGGTTACCAGCTTCTTCTTCTTCTTGTCGACCAGCACTACCAGCCTGCCAGCCAGGTCCGTTACAGTAGCTTCAAACAGCACGCCATCAGGGCCATCCAATCTTTTCCACTCTGGCCTCTTTCATGCCAACTGCCAATCGCCAAGAAACGAAGCCCATCAGGGATGGCGTCCCGTCCCAGGCTTGGCTTATCTTCCCAGGGCCAGAGTAACACAAGGTGAGAGATGGCGTCCGAATTGAGTTTGAGATAACGTGCTGAAGGCGTCAGCATTTTGGCTGTCTGGCAAATGGCCCCCAATCTCCACGCCTGTCCCGCCTGTCCCACCCAGCCCACAGCCATCGCACCCTGCAGCCCTCGGTCCCCATAGCGCCCATCCGATATCCACCCCTCACCGAGCTTGGCTCTGCTGTCGACTGCTGGGCCACTGGCTGCACCGGCGGTTAATCAGTGCTCTGCTGTGGCCTAAAATGGCCCGTCCGCAGGTCCGTCATTTGCACCTCACATCCCCCCGGCCGATTCCAATCTCGGCCCCAGATGATGAGATTGAGATGTCTCATTATTTCCTGCACACCTCACCCACCACACATCCTCATCTCGCCAGACCACACCAGACCAGCAGCCCAAGATCCGCTGGAGATGCTCAACATGATGTTGGCGATGGCTACCTGACAGCCGTTCCTTCTTGCACCTCTCACTTTTTTCGTACTTGGTTTCCGGTTGGGCCTCCGGGGGATTCTGGTAGACATGATGCTTTGTGTACGGTGATTCTGGGATCAAAAATGCAGCATCAGGGGCTATTTGAAAGCCTTATTACTTATTCTTTGCACAAAATAGCAGCATCTTAATATGGTTTGTTCGATATAAATACTATGTCTCTTGAGGTGGACTCAGACAGGCGTGCCGGGGAGTTACTTAGGGAACGCAGCCCACGACGTCTCCAGCCTGCACCATTCAAGTCGCAAGTGGACATAGCTTCGACATCCACAATGCACTCTGCATCCATCACCAAGCGACTTCGTCGAAATTTCGAGGCTACGCCGCGAGCTGGGTGGATGGGGAAGCTTGGAGGGAGCCCTCAGAGAGACAATCTTCACACCGATCTCTTCCCGCGAGGCCAGAATTATACGTGGAAGTGCGTGAGCCTAGAAGAACTGCCACCAATTGATGGATCGCCCTTCACCTTACAAGGCTCACTCCACTACTCTGGTGGCTTCTAGCACAATGGATAGTCTCCAGCGCTGTGTTCTGGCACACGGCTCAAGTAAAATCAACGCTGGGAATTCCACTATCAATCTGAAATGATGCTAATAATGAGTATAGTCGAGAATTGATCTCAATGCGCCCAGTCAAAAGCTCAACGTGATGCAATTCTTCCACTAATTGACCTTCGTATGTCAATGCGCCCAGGGCCATGAAGAGAAGACTTCGAGCTCCAACCGCCCCTATGAGGATGCCCGTATCGTCGCCATGATTCCAAAATATTGGTCTTCAAGACGATTCTTGAAACCACCGCCCAAAAAGAAAAGACACCAATGAACCCATTCCCCATTCCCATTCCCATTCGGCAGCGTGAGTCGTCAGCTGCGCCGCCACCCTCGTCGAAGGGACCACTCAGAGGCCAAACAAGTTCCGCAGGTCCTCAAGACTGAGCTTGGAGATCTTCGCAGCCCCCTTCTCGCTCAGCGCAGCATTAACAAGCATCTTCTTGCTCTCCTGCAGCGCGACGATGCGGTCCTCCACCGTCCCCGGGATCAGCAGCCGGTGCACCGTGACGGGCCTCTCCTGCCCGAACCGGTGCGCCCGGTCGATGGCCTGCTCCTCGACGTACGGGTTCCAGAACGGCTCCGTGACGATGACCTGGCTCGCCGCCGTGAGGTTCAGCCCCGCGTTGCCCGCCGTGAGCGACACCAGCATCACCTTGACGCGCGGGTCCTCCATGAACGACTTGACGGCCGCCTCGCGGCCCCCGGGCGTCATGGACCCGTCGTACCGCGTGTACCGCACGCCCGCGCGCTCGATGGGGATCTCGACCAGGTCCAGGAACGAGGTCCACAGGCTGAAGACGAGCGTCTTCTCGCCGCCGGGCCGGATCTGCTCCAGGATCTCCATGATGGCGTCCGTCTTGGCGCTCGAGATCCACTCCTTGCGCAGCCGGGCCTTGTACGCCGACATGGCCATGCTGCTGCGCTGCGCCGCCTGTCGCTGGTCGGCCATGGTCACCACCTTCTTCTTCTTCTTTTTCTGGGGCTCTTTGCCCTTCCTGTTGTGCCTGCCGGAGGAGGACGCCGCCGCCGTTCGCGACTTCTTGTCGATCCTGCCGCCCAGCGTGGCGGAGGATGACTTGCGCTTGGGCTTGACACTGTTGCGGTTGGCGCGGGAGTCATCGAACGCGCCGTCGGTCTGGAGGAATCCAGGGCTGCCGAATGAGGCCATCCCCCCCTTGCTATCGGCTCCGTGATCCTCATCACTGCTATCTCCGTCTTGGTCACCATCGTCAAGATCCACCTCGTTATCGTCGCTGACGTTGACATGGTCCACAACGAATCCTCGAAGGTTACCGTTCTCATCAGCATCATCTTCGTCGTCGTCCTCTTCATCGTTATTGTCATAATGGACCCACTCGCCAACTGGGGGGGCCTGGGGAAGCTCGACGGTGGGGATCGGACGATCTTTCTGGTCGTCGTCGGCGTCGTCGTCCTCGTCGAAACCAATAGCTGAGTCAGGGACGTCAGAAAGAAAGTTGTAGCACACGATGTTTGTCGGGGTGATATTGTGCTCACATCCCTCACCGGGGCATGGGACAAGGGCCTTCTTCCTGGGACCGCTGCCATCATCGTCTCGATCATCCATGAGATCCATGAGCCCCTCAGTCTCAACGACAGCCACGCTTGCGGTGAAACAGCCACAACAGACATGGTGGCCACAAGGAACCACGATGACAGGGTTATCTGTCGCCTCGTTGCAGAGAGGGCACACGAAGCATTTCTGCTTCTTGAGCCTCTGCAACACCTGTCCAGGTAGCTTGCATGCCAATTTCACCATCTGCTTATCGTCGAGCTTCGCTCCATCGGGGATGCCAATGTTCTTCAGGAGGAACGGGTGATCGCAGGCCTGGCGCAGTCGTAACAGCAGTATCAGGATGTGCATGTAGTTCTTCATGACTGCCCCGTTGAGCAGGTACTTGTTGAACTGCAACTGTTGCTGCACCTCCAGTGCCTGGTAGAACTCCCGTTGCTCGGATTTGAATTCGACGTACGAGGGCATGTCGGTGCGCGGCGGCAGCTCGATGATCGGCTTCCCATCGAGCATGCTCTCTTTAGTCCGCCGAAGTGTGAAACTCCTGAAGAGGGCTTGCAGCTTGACCATCGCTTGGTCCCTGCCGTCCCCGTCCCACTTCCTCAATGGCCTCACGATCTCCTCGCTGAAGCGCTCCCACTCGTTATAAGGCGCAATCCCCAGGAACCGTATGAGGGGAAAGATCTCCTCGGCTCGGTTCATGAATGGGGTTCCGGTCATACAAAGTTTGTACTCCGACTTGATCTCTGCTGCGGCCTTGGAACAGTAGGTGCTCTGGTTCCTGATGTTGTGTGCTTCGTCCAAGATAACGCGGTGGAATCTTGTCTTGTTGGCCAGGAGCTTCACCTTCATAGGCTTCTTGAGCTCGTGTTTGTTCTTGAACTCGATCTGCAGCTTGGCATAAGTACAAAGGACAACGTCGTGTTTGAGCACATCCGCAATGGTCATGTCTTTGATATCGGGACCGTGAAAGACGAGGGTGCTGAGCCCGTACTTGGGCCTGATCTTGGTATGGATTTCTTGCTCCCATTGCCTGAGAAGCGCCAGCGGGGCCACGATGAGCGTTGTCTTGCACTTTGGGTTTTTGGGTGGGTGAGCCACGATCAGTGCCATTGCCTGTATGGTCTTTCCCAGACCCATGCCGTCTTGGGAAGAAGGCTTTAGCATATCCACTAGAAATGAGATGGTGCTTGTAACATACCTGCAAGAAGGCATCCCTTCTTCCTCGGGTCTTTCTCCTGTTGCAGCAGATACGTAAGACCAATCCTCTGGTGCTCTGTCAAGATACACGCCATCTGCTTGGGCGATTGCCTCCTCAGTCTTGGAGGGATGTTCACCTCTGACGGAACGACTAGATTCTGATAATCATCTCGGGGTCCATCATCTTGGAACACTTGCGTGCGGCTCGAAGGAAAGCCCACGTTTTGGACCAAACTCTGAGGAGCCGGCGAGCTTGTGGGGGACGAAAAGAAACCACTCGGTGTGGTTCTGGAAATAGCTGGGCTGCCTTTGACGGCACTACCAGAGCCAGTGCCCTGAGGCGCAAACAAAGCTGAGCTGCGACGGACATTGATCTCGGGGTCCTGGCTTGAAGCTGGATGCTGCTGATTCTCCTCTTTGCTGCGCCCAAATCTGGTAGCTATGAACTCGTAGTCTTGCACAAGTTCTTTCGCATCGCGTAGGATGAGCCGCACGAAGTCCAAGTGATCCCTGGGATTCTTTCCACTCGCGACCGGATTCAAGACCTGCTCTTGAATCATTTGGCCTTTCCTTGGCTCATCTGGGAATCGGATCTTTTGCTCCCCATTAGCAAAGGGTTGCATGGACGGTTTGAGTTCGAAAGCTTCTACTTGCCTGAACATCTCGAGCAAACCTCGCGAGACTGCACTGTAGGCCGAACGGCTTTTGTCGGTCCATGTTTGCCTCGCGTGCTTTGCACGTCGGAGTTTCGGCAGTTTGGGATAGCGGTCGTGAAAGTTGACAAAGTTTGGGATTATGTTCGGGCAAGTGAAAAGCACAATGGTGCAAAAGATGAGATGAGATGGGCCGGATGATCTGATCAGGTGTCACGAGCAAAAAACTGGGTTGGGCAAGGATAGGAACTAGGAAAGGTTGGTAACATGCGAGTGTGGTCTGGAGGAGTTGGGACCATGCAGCTCTAACTCAACAGACAGGTCAAGTCAGTCGAGTGAGCGAGTTTTGTTCGTAAGAGGTGGGCAGGACAATGTCAGGAGGGATCATCGGAGGTTGGACTGCTCTGGGGGAGATGGGGATGTGTGGGAGGTTTTGCAGTTTGAATACTGGTCTTTCCTGTTCTGTTCGTCCGATAGCGTGTTCACAAAGTACATGGACCCAGGGTCTCTTCTCCTTGCTGGATCGTAGGCTTTGGGGCTCTGTGCTACCTAGGTACTGGAAGGTGTCGGATGGGAGAATGTTGAGGAGAAATTGTTTGAAAAAGAGGACCAGGTCAGGCCAGGTGTACTGCCTGAAACCTGAAAGCTTTCTGGTGTAAGTCGAATGCTGCGCTGTTGTGGAGAGGCAAGGGGTTTTGACTTGCTCTTGGTGCAAGTACGGCCAGAGTCGGTCTGCGATATGGATTCGGATATCAGCCGCGCCCCGGCTCAACTCCTGTTAGCTGGGGTGCATCCAAGCAGAATGAATTGTTGACCAGCAGTTCGCATTTAAGAGCCCTGGAGGAAGCTAAGTGGTCAGGTCGTGTGGACTTTCTTTCAAGGCTCCGAGAGACGTTATTTTTGTAGGGTCTTGGCCGCGAGAGGTCTTTTAGCATGAGCAAGGTTAGAACCAGACTTGAACACAAATCTGTTTGATTTCATTCTGAATATGCTAAGATCATATGTCTTTATTTCGCAGCTAAGGTCTAGCCAAGTTAACCCCACTTAAGACATGAGTAGAGGGACATGTTACTGGATAAAAAAGCCTGTATTCTTGCAACCACTAACCATGATAAACGCTCCTGGTATATTTCACTGCAGATGATTAAACATAAACATAGCAAAACGGGGAACCCGTAAGGCCCAATGTGCTCCCCGCCTGGCCAATTGTAATTGGCGGTGATGCAGTGAGCACACCCATGTAAATCTCATCGGTGAGAGACCCGTTCCGACTCGGCGGGGCGTTGTTTCTGGTTATGGTTGCGCCGACAACCTCTGTTCGTTGCTCAGGGTGGAGGTTTTGCCAAATCCAGAACACACGGTCGATCATCGCATGGTTAAGGAAGAATATCGGATCGCCCCTATGAGTTACAGGTCAGTACTAATGTCTCAAGCCATACCGAGATCGTTTTCAAGTTGAATGGAAGTGCTACTGACGGGCTGTTAAAGAGATCACCACCAGGGTCGCCAGCGGTGATAACTGTGATGTATGTATTAGCAGAGTACCTAGATACATTCCAGGAAAACGGCTCTGAAATAACTTACAATGCGCACCGCCATGCACACCGTAGTCCCCAGCAGAAAAGTTACCTTGCATGGCGAACTGGAAACTTGCAATGTCATCATGGGACGTCAATAGATTGGTAAGATTCTGCTCCGACGTCCAGCGTGTACTGGTCCAGTTTGTGATATCCCGCCGTAGGCATCGCGGATTCCACTTGAGCGTGTCGTTCGCAGGCACGGCAACAATCCCCTCCGCAGCCAAGAGCGGCGAGATAGGCCCAAGATTGACCGTCATGTTTCGGAACGGGCCCGTATCCACACAACCACCGCCATCTCCCGGCGGGATGCAGTTCCCAGGGCGTCCCGCAGTGCAGTTGTGAGCGGCGAACACGCCGTTGCCGCTCATGCTCCAGTCACTGCCGTCGAATATCTCAGAGTGTAGCGGATCGTCGGCGCTCGCAGCCCAGTCCCAATAAGGGAGCGCGCCCTCGTAGCCGCACTCGTTGATGAGGGCCTGCTCGTAGTTCCAGGCGAAGGTGCGGTGCCACGTCAGGAAGTTTGCCGTATTGTGGATCGTCTGCGTCTGGTTGATGTGGATTGCGACGTAGTCGTCGTACCGTGACTTTGCCCCTGGGGCGATGCGTGGGTCGGTGAGGGCGGGCTTTGACATGAGGCACAGTGTGGCGTTGATGTATGCCATGCGCTGCTCTCGCGACAAACGTGTCCTGCGTCAATAGAACCGGATTAGCGCACGTGGTCTTCTTAATGGATGCCTCGGTGCTCATGGTAGAAGGTAATCTACCCACCATTCCTGTCTCCGGGCTGCCGTCTCGAAGGTACAATCACTGGCTGGTGTTGGTTGGGTTGCGACATAGTCATTGAGAATTTCAAAGGCTTGGCCGGCGAGGGCGACACTTCGACGTTCTTCGTGGCTTTCTCCTTGTACGCCGATGGCCAGAACCAGCCAGAACAGGTGGACCCAAACTGGAATTTGACGGATAATACCCATACTAAAAGATAAAACCCCGAAGGCTTGTTGGTGTAGTCAATACATCAAGACAAGATCAACAGACGAAATGGATCCGGCAAGATATTTGTAAGGTGCTCTGTCTTGGCTTCCTTTTTATTTAACTTCGTCTTGACCACTGTAGAATAGCGCAATTATCTGGTTCCGCTTCTATTACGTATACGTCCGAAGTAGGGTTATTATATCCACCTGGGCAGGTTTCTCAGCGCAACTGAGTGACTCGCAGGCCGCTACCATCCTGCCTCAAAAGGTGCCTATGTTGGAATAAACTTCGTCGTTGCCAAGTTAATTATGATTCGACCCACTCACGAATTTCCCTTGATGTGCTCATAGTCCGTTCATGCATATCGTGTAGCTGAATCGGGGCACATTTCGTGGAATCAGAATAGACACAGTAAATTACGCACTGTGGTTTGTGAGTGATCATTGGTATCACACTTCGGGACTACCTTGTTAGTGACAAGCTCTTCCCTTTCAATTGGGCCGGACATGGCGTAGGGACCGAGAAAAAAGAGTCATATGATGCTTGTACGGACGGGCCGTACAGTCCCCCGTAAACCCCGTCGATCGGGACGACAATTCCCCTGAATTAAATTGAGTTTGTCAATGCACTTTGAATGCTTCTAGGGATCCGGCATACTATGATGGATTTTATCTACGATGTACTATGCTACCAGCGGCCCAGATTATTCAGTTCATCATTGCTAGCAGAAACGCATGTGTCCATGGCCTCTCCCGATATCATCGGACGGTGATCTGGTTGGTTAAGCCGTATAAGGCTGCGACAAGCTTACCTGCGTATCTGTCGGTTCACCTCGGCCCCTGAATCGATCGAGTTCGGATTTAGAGTTTGCAGCATATTCAACTCCTGTCACCCATGGACTCACTGGTGCACGGCTCTCACCTCGGCAGCCTGAGTCAGATAGAGTAATGTCAGTAGTTTGTCCGTCTTCTTCCACCCAAATTTAATACAAATAATTGCTTGTAGGCGCGGTTGCTATCCACCTCCTCCATACCCACTAGCTAGAATTCTCCAAGATACCTTAATTTTCTGAATATAGTAATTCTTAGCTCTAACAGGCTACATTAAGGTATTTATAGATCTCTCTCTAAGAGTCTATAAGGCTGAATATATAGTTCCTTTCCTATCTAAAATACTATAGTAGATACCTTTAAGAACAAGTTTAGCGACCTTCTAGTTAACACCGCCATTAAGACGGTGCCCCTTAGCCTTCAAATGTTGTCTGTGTGTCGCAAGGCTGAGGCTACTTGCCACTTATTATATTTTTACTGTGACGGTACGGGCTTATAAATGGTAGTTTTCAAGTTTGGGCAACTTGGAATTGTGGTCTTTTGGCCGGGGCGTCTGTAGCGTACCACTCTACGGATCCGTCTCATTTACCACCGTTAGCGACACTGTATGTTTTTTTTTTCAACACTGGGTCTTGAGCGTTTGATACTTTATGAATGCGCCATGTGTGTCTTCGGACGTATGCGGAATAGAAGCGAAACCAGCTAAAGGTAAAAGAGCACCTGGGCAGGTTAGCCTCCGTGACCGGCTCTTGGGGAGAAATTTTGAGACGCTCCTCAGCCTTCTGGACCTCCCCAGCATCCTCCTTTGTGATGTCGCCAACTAGCGGGCGGGCTAGGTCGCCGGCCCTCTCTAAGAACTTCTCTTGTTTGTCATGCATGTATGCTTTGGGTGGTCGTCGCGGCAGGCCCGCCCTTGACTCGGCCACAGCCTGTCCTTCTCTTCACCTCCGATTAGATTGGCGAAGCCCCTTTTTGAGACACAGGGGTACTTTAGACTGCGCGGGCCTTCAGCTCATCCTTGGGTAGGTTTGCGTCCGCCATTCTATTGATATTCAACGGGATGACTGATATTTGATGTGTGTGTGAAACTTATATGTGGATTTCGGCTGTGCTGGGAAAAAGTGAATATCAATTCTGTCAAGGTTTCTCTAGAGACAATCGTCATTGACCTGAGCACCGGGCTACCATGATACTTAAGTAGGTATGTTAGTTGTTTGATGAGCCAGAGGAATGAGGTTGTATGGGCGACGACTTCATGTTGACGCTTCCCTCGCATTGAAAGGGTGCAAATAAGCGGACCGCTCAAGTCGAATGCGCATGCATGTTCATCCCATCCATGTGGTAAGTGGACTACTACTCTGACAGGACCCTGATTTTAGAGAATAGCCAAGGAAACAAAAACCGGGACTCCTAAGGTTCTTCGACTTGCGAAGAAGGCATGCCAGCGTTACCAGTTGCAAGTTCCAGGACTGCACGGAACAGCCAGTGGTATTATATCTCAATGCCTAGATACTGGGTCTCGGCCAGCAGTCTCAGCTGGGGATCTTAAGATGCCATGATTTCCTTGGCTAAAGCAGCGCAGGACTTGCGTTGAAGTCCTACAATGCTGCGCGAGTCTTTCCAATAATTGTAATATTGGTCCCCAGTATGATGGGTCCGCACATAAGCAGTTATTGGGTTGTACAGTGTATATGGTACATCGTTATGCGCTCATTCAATGCTTTATCCGCCTGATAACTCTCTCCCGAGCAAGTTTGGCCGCAGCCTCGGCTCCGTGCTGCAAGGAGACTGCGCCAATTATGGCAAAGATGGAGGTGGCGAGGACACTTTCAAGACCTGATCCTTTCAGGTTGTCGGGCTGTGATAGATGGACAGGTAAGCCGGTACTCTGCGACAGTGTAGACCGGGTGCATTGGCATCAACTCACGTTCCTTGGCTTCCAACGCATCACGTCGTTAAGCTTACTGCTCAACCCAACATGGGCGAGGCCGGATAACGTGACAATATCTTGAGGCCGGGTCACGCTCAATTTGTCGACGTTCTGAAGGGCAGGAGATTCGTAGTGTTTTCGCTTCCATGGGTCGTTCAGGTAGTCATCTGGCCCCCGGGGCGAGGTCATGATCTCATGCATGGCCTCGAGCACAATTATTTGTCGACCTAGAGCCAGTTGTTCCGTTAAGCATACGACACAAGCGGAAGAGCTCCTCGAGACAGAGAGCAAACCACGCACCATAGAAGGCTAATCTTGTGTTGAAACCTCTCCGACCGAAATCGAAACTCTTGTGTGTGACTGCCAACCACTTGATCTCGTCGGGCAGCAGTTTTGAGCCGTTCCGCCCGAGGAATCGCTCGTAGAAGTCGTCCAGCTTGGCGGGGTCCTCGTTGACGCTCCATACCGACCGGAGCGGGTTCTTGGGGGTGGCGAGCGAGAAGCCGTGGATGCCCTTCAGCCTCTCTGGAGTGTACGACCACCTAGGCCGTGCCTCCTCTATGTCCTCCTCGGATATGGGCTCGTTCAGGGGGTCGTTCTTCTCGCGCAGGGAGGTCGGGTGCCGTGCTATTTGGTGGTTTGCACGGCACGCTGGCCGGGTCGCTGCGGGTCTGATGGGGCGGAGGGCCTGTCTGGAGGTAGACCAGACCGTGCGAGAGGTGTTGAGCGCCATTTTCTCAGGAGCGATGGTTGGAGAGGGGCTGGCGCATTCCCTCGTGGTCGAGCTGGGCCTTGGAACCGCGATCCTGTCACTGACGACTTCGACAGCGCCCAGCTTTCGCGACGGTAACTTTTTCAGAGCTCCCGGCAGGCTAAAGACGGGTGGATACCTAAGTAGGTACCAAGTACTTACTCTGGCAAGTCCGGTCTCAGGGGCCCGACCGGTGCACGGGCCCATTGGCTGCACCTGCACCTGCCATGCAGGCCTGGCCCACTAGAGCTTGGTTCAACGCGACTCGGTTAAGCTGCTCCTTACAGTCCCAAATCGCGCCCGCGCCGCGACGTAGGGCCAGGGAGGGCAATTTGATCGCGTCGTCAGCAAGGACTTCGCATTGGACGGGCCGACCCAACTTGCTTGGTTGGCTGGGTTGCTGGCTGACTGTGACCTATTCGCCGGATGTTTCTCCTGCAACAATGCAACAATGCCTCCGTAGCACTTTGCAATCCAGCATTTACTTTCAAGCAACATGTTCTCGGCAGCTTCTCCAAGTGCGCCGCCTGGCTCGAAGCAGCAGTGCAGCGCCGCCTTGCTGAGCAGGCTCGCCAAGGCGCTCCCCAAGGGCTACAGGTTCACAATCAACCACCTCTCCACGCCGCCCACTCGCACTGATGCTCTGCACTCAGCCCCTCCTGATGCGCGTCCCGACCGCACCTACCGCGAATCCCACTTCCTCGCCGTCAGCGTAGATGCCACCTCAAAATTGGCATCGTCCAGCACGCCCTCGTCGCCCTTGACGCCAGGAGCTGGAGCCGCCCACGATTCCAGCCCACCAGGCCGGCAGGTTTTGGTTCTCGGTCTCGAGATCTACATCTTTACCACAGCATGGGCCAGCACGTTCTTCGTCTCCAAAGCCGACTCCACTGGCTACCTGAGCCTCCTCAACCTGCCCAAGGGAACGCCCTCCCCGATCCGCGAGATCAGCTCCGCGTTCCTGTCGTACCTCGTCGAGCAACGCCGTCGCGACAATGTCCAGACCATTGTCAGCCTTTTCGCAAGGGCGCAGAACCAATACCTCTTTCCTGGGAGCGTGGAGAACAAGGACAAGCACGTACTGGACGACCGAGGACTGGTTAGGTGGTGGTGTCGCGTACTCAATGCCATGATGGAGACACAGAACACCCACGAGGACAAGATCTTCCGCCCTTCCAACAAGACCGGCAACTGGGAGGATATCAAGGGGTATCTGGTCGTCCCCGGTCTCGACGCGTATGAGCTACGAGCTTTCCTACCCCGAACACCCAATGCATCGTCTAATTGGGTGCTCGGACATCCCCTGGAACGTGTCTCGCACTTTGCTAGAGAGTACGACTGGGTACCACCCAGGTGTCTAGTGCCCAAGTTCCCGGATGATCCAAAGTCTCGCTTTCGCGATGAGCTCGATCTCGAGGCCTCCAAGTCGGCGCAGTACGAGGAAAAGGGGCTCTGGCGGAGTCTGACGACCATGGATCAGTTCTGGGAGATGATGGCCTTCCGACAAGAGTGCTCGAGCGGACATATGACGGGATTCATTTGGGTGGTGCTCGAACCATATGGCTGGGCCGAGCAGAACACGATTCCGCCCTCGTCTCCCACCAACTCTCTCATCACACCAAGCACCTCGTTCGACGGGTCACAAGCAACACAGCCGTCCACGCCCCCAAGGAGGCGCGAAGTTGCTCCGGGCTCGACTCCAAAATCAAGCCCTCTCAAATCAGCAATGACTCCGGGCTCCACGCAACAGACTCCTACAAAGCAGAGCCCTTCCAAGAAGAAGAGCGGTGCGAAGCCGAAGAGGCCTATTTTGAAAGGACGAATTGTTCCCCGTCTGCCCCGTGTCAAACGGCATGCTAGAAATTACGTTCCCGACATACCTGTTTCGACATCTTACTACCACTGGCCTCCAGAAGGACGGGGCACTCGGATCGCGGCGGAAGCCGATTACAAAAGATCGGTCGACCTGCTGACCAGGTTGGATTTCGAGACCCTGGAGCTGGCCACTGCCAGCACCAGGAGATGGATCAACGAGGTCGGTGGCGGTCAGAAGTGGGCAATGGAGGTTGTCGGCTCACGGCCTCTCGCCGCTGCACCTAACTCAACGGCATCGACTGCGATCAACAACATGGCCAACCTTGTGCGCAAGAAGGAGCGGGGAGCTGCGGGTGATGCAGCGGGCGGCGATCGTGCCCCTGGTCTCGGATCTGCCTCTGTGCCTTCACCCGCAACCCAGGGTGGGGTGACCATGCTTATGGCCCGGAAGAAACCGAAGAAGGAGACGACGCCGCCGCCCCCACCATCAAGCGAGGCTGCCAATGTCCCAGCTGTCAACCTGCTCGTTCCCCGAAAGAAGCGCAAGGAGTCCGAGCCTGAGGAGTCTGCACCAGTGGGAGACGGCGTTGCCGCGGCAGGTGGAAGCGCCTCGAGCGCGACAAACGAAACACCAGCTGTCAACACCCTTGGTGGTGGTTTGGTGCGCAAGAAGCCCAAGACGGCTTGAACACAGATCTCATTTTAGATAAACTTCGTTTTGCGGAGGGAACACGCAGCTTCGCAGGAGCAGGCAAGCTTGGACTTGGACTCTAGGATAGGTGGATACCCCAAAGGCATGAATAGTTTTAAACTGGTGCGGCGTTGCGTCTGGGTGTTTGGCATTGGCATATTCAACTACACAATACACGTTCACGTAAGATCTCAGTTTGACTCACAAGGGAAAGATATCCCTCAGTTTATGCATTTGCAACCGCTGATGCGATCTCGCGCGCGTGTGTCTTAATGTGTGTGTGTGTGGGTGCGCGCGTGTGTGTGTGGGTATGTGTGGGTGGGTATCTTGAGATGCAGTGAGATTCAATAAGACCGACCTCACACCCTCCGCCGCTTAGCGTTAGGCTTTTCGCCATCACTCTCGGCCTTTGCCAACTCGGCAAGCTTCGCCTTGACGGTCTCGGTTGCCTGCCTCAGCAGGGCCTTCTCACCTATCCTGACGTCCAGGGCCATACGCTGCCGCCGAACCTTCCGGTCCGCACCATCGCTGCCCTCCTCGTACTGCCTGAGGTCCTGCTCCAACGTCGTGGCGTACTGCTTGGCCCGCTCCTCCAACGCCCTGGCGATGACAGAGTAGATGATCCTGTCCCGGGCGACCTTGTCAGGCACAGCCTCGGGCCTGACCTTCTTGACGGCCTTCATCACAGCCTTGAGCTGCTCCACCAGCTCCTCGGGAGCGCCGGCAGCGTTCCCGACCTCGGCCACCCTCCCTTCGGAATCCGGGTCCTCCGCGCCCCTCTCGATAACAAAGGCCTCCTCCAGCTCGTCCTCGTCCAGCGCCCCCAGGGCCTCATCCCACTGCTTCGCGGGCAGCGGCACCTCGGCCCGCAGGGCGGCGAGCACGGGCGCCCAGGCGAGGTCGACGAGGTTCCAGCGCCTGTGGGCGCGCGTGACGTACCCGTAGCGCCGCAGCAGCTCGCCGTTGCTCAGGGGCCCGTAGTAGTTGAAGATCTCCTCGCCGGCGGCGATGGGCCGCAGAGACGTCGCGGTCAGGGCGTGCTCGCCGTGCTCGATGTGGGCGTTGAAGGTCGCGTCGGCGTTGAGTATGTCGGCCATGGGCACCATGCCGAGCATCGTCTTGCCCTCGCGGTCCTCGACCCACTCGTCTTCCTCCTCCTCCTCCTCCTCCTCCCCGGCGTCGCTGCCCGGCGGCTTGTTGCCCTCATCATCTTCCTTCTCCAGGTCGAAGGCGTACGCCATGATGACGCTGCCCATGCGGAAGGCGAGCTGGACCAGCTCGTCGTCGCTTAGCTCCGCGGTGCCCTCGGGGAAGAAGACGGTGGGGTGGGCCCTGACGACGGGCAGGATCTTGGTCCGCACCATCTTGTCGGCCTCGTCCCTGCCCACCTTGCCGGCGACAGGGCTGGCTTGCAGCTCGGCCAGCTCGTCGGCCGCCCAGAACATGGGCGTGCTGAAGTCATCGATGGTGGGCAGGACGTCCAGGTACGGCCTCCACGACGAGTTGGCGCCCTGGAGGTACTCGTAGATGAGGACGAGGATGAGCGAGGTCCACGAGTCCTGGGACTTGTCGTCTTCCTCGTCGTCGTCGTCAGCCTCGTCGCCGTCGGCGTTCATGTCATGGTCATGGTCATGGTCATGGTCATGGTCATTGCCATCCTGTTCCTCGGGCGTGCTGAACAGGCCAGGGATCTTGGCGGCCAATGAAGAGGTGCTGGTGCATATGATGGACTGGCGTGGGATGGTGAAAAGGACCGTATCCGGGGAAATGTCGGTCTTTGCGACTGCGCCATGTCAGCCCGGCTGGATTTGTCTATCGAGGGTGTGCCTGCTCTGCTTACTCACCTATGCCACGGCCGGCGCCCCTGTCTCTCAAATCTCTGACCTCGATGTCATGGTGGAAGGTGGTGCCAGGCTGGGCCCTGAACCAGGTCAGGAATTCGGATGTTTTCTGGTCGAAGGTGTGCTGCGTCATGGCTGGACGGTGCAAACTTGTTTCTGGCCGTGCTGGTGGAAATTGCAGGAGCAAGCAGTCTCGGTCACTCAATTTGTCACTCAGTCTCGATCAGCCTCTCCACAAAGGCTGTGCTGCGCGATACTGCGTCCACAGTAGTGGTGGGAGACCACAAAAATTCAGCGTGTGAGGCCCCACAATTCCCAGCCTGCCAGCATCCACAATCCCACCTCCCAGCTCCCGGCTGCTGATCTACAGGGGGACTGCAACGCTTGACCAGGGATGTCATGGACAAGCTTCAGCGCCAAGCCGGCACGTCGATGGGTCGGTGGGGACATGGAGTAGAAGGTTGGAAGGTCCCAGCTTTGATCTTGGCACCGTTGAGCCTCGTGCCTGCGTGCCTCTTACAGCTCTGTCTGGCGAGGCGTGGGCCCGTCGTGGTCGATATTTCCGTCACGGTCGTCATGGCCCATCGTCTCAACCAGCCGTGACGGCGGCCCAGCCTCAGCCTTGGCCTGCCCAACACAGCTCAGAGGCCAGCCTCGTCTCGTCTCGTCTCGTCTATTCACGGTGCATGACATCAAAATTCGTGTTGATGCCCAGACGGCTACCGACCAAGCCGTCCCTTGTCTGCGGGGGCTCTTGCCTGCCTACGGCCGACCTAGCTGAAGCCTTGCCTGGACATACAGACGTCCAAATCCCCACGATATGGGCCGTTATAGCCCGGGGTGCTTCAGCTTCTCGGCAGTTGGGCCAGGGCTGGCAGCTCGATGCCACCCAGCCATGGCAACCCTTCGAAGCATCTACCGTCCTTCTCCCCCCCCCCTGTGGTCTGCAGGGCTCCTCGTCCCAAGTTGCCAACCCCCTTCATCCCGTCGTCGACAAGGTCTCTGGCCTGACCCGGTGTCAGGTTTGGAATGGTCCCTTTCTTGGCTGTGACGGCGTGGTAATGCTATCACGGGTTGGGCGAGGTCTACATGGTGACCCGTGGCAGCACTGCCCATTGTCACCGCCAAGCCGCAGCGATGACAGGCGCGCGCTATTTACAACCTCGCTGCCGTCGCCTGCCCATCACCATCACCATGGCCATCGCCGTCACCGACGCTGTGGCCTCGTGACACGGGCCTCTCTCACCGAGTTTATCTCTGCGCTGGATGAACATCCCCTCTATCTGCAACAACCCCGCAAGGCCGCTGAGATTACTGAGATGCACGCATATTGCGTCCAGCTAATTTAGTCCCATCTTGTCGCACGCGGCATGGCGGCATGGCGGCATGGCGGCTTCGATTCCCGCTCCCACGCACCACAACAGGACAGGCCCCCACCCAGCCCACCACGTTTCGGTTCCATTTCTTGCCTTTTTCCCTATTCCCCTTCCGCATCTGGAGGTGGAGCTCACGTATGACACCCCGTTTCCATCCACTAAAACATGCTTTGGGCTACTACGCTATGCACGTCGAGCACGTGTGCCTGTCATAACTCGACATGGATGACCTCCAAGAGGGTTGCAGGCCCATCAGATACCACTTTTGCAATGCCACTGACGGAAACACCGACACTCGAGCCATGCGGTGGAGTGTACACGACAATACAACCCTCTCTCGGTTTGTCCCGGCCGCCGCCCTTGTCGCTGTTGTGGCAGTGTGGAATGCCGGGTCTCGTCCGGATGTCCGAAGAGGCAAGCCCACCCACGCCCATGCCATGCCATGCACCCGGCCTGATGCTGAGTAAGTCAGCGATATTAAGTCATCGACGAACCGGTGAGGCAGGCAGGTGATATCTCCTTGTGGATACCGCCAATAGATTGCCGTTGAGAAGCTTTAGATAAATCTGCTGCAGAGAGTCACCGGCAAAGACGGGCAGACTTCTGTCAAGCTTCCTGTCTGTGCCACGCCTTTTCCATGGGACGAAGGCAGACCGTGACTGCGGGATTGCATGCATGAGGGGTTAAAGCTTGTCAAGCCCAGATAATCTCCGAACCGCACACATGGGCTATTTTGGACCTGTTTCTTCGCATTCGGGCTGCGGGCACCGAGTCAGCAAGCCATATGCGAACAGCTATCATCCATGCGACGGTGCGGTCTTCCCCCATGCCCAGGCCCTCCCCATGGATTGCCCCTGGCTACGTGCTGGTGCTTAAACAACGTCGATCGTTACGCAGCACCCGCTATGCACCATCACACATAGTTATGACTTTGTTGGCACTGAGCATGGTACTTGCATCAGATCTAGCTTCCCGTAATTAGCTCACCATCGAATGCCGAGTTACTAGCGAGCATACCTCTGACTAACACCACGGTACGACTGTGCCGGTGCCCATGCAGTAAGCAGTACCACCCACAACCACCATCGGATCACACACGCTCTTGTCCTTTCAGCCTCTGCTCCCGCGGGATCCTATTGGTGCCATCCGAGGGGAACGACTACGCCATTTCTCTCGTCGTTAACCTTTTCGTCCAATACATGTACATGATGTCATGTACACTTATGCTTAAAGACAGTCAGGACCATGCCAGAAGCAGAAGAGAGCACGGCCATACTACCTGCCTCTAACCTCACCGTACACCTTGCTAAATTAATCAACTTCACGGAGCCAACATAGCTGCCCAGCCTTCTGGGTGGGGCGTAATTCATGTGGGTCAATATGCAGTATCCATGGGCCGGGGCACATCATCGCTACTCTATTCCCAGCGGTCACCTGTTCGGGCTGTCCACACCACATCTGCATGGTGAGGAGAACTACCAGGTATCCAGGTAGGTACCCAGGCACTTCGCGTGGTATCCACCGCAGGGGGGCTGTGAGAGAGCTTGATATCGACGGGTACATCATGACTGTCGTAGCTACTCTGCAGTTTGGTGGGTATCGACTATGATGCCGTACAAGTGTATAAGAAGACCAACATCTCCGTCCTTTGCATCGGTTGTTTCTCTCATCATCCCATCCATCCATCCACTTCACTCACATTCATTTGTGCCTTTCCAAACATTCAGTGCCAAAGCAACATCACCGGTCACATATTCAGAGCTTCTACCCTCCTGTCCCTCAAGATGTACTCTCGCGGATATGTCCTCACCCTGGGTCTGCTCCAGGCTCTGCCCTTCTCCGACGCCATACCTTCACCTCAGTGAGTCTTCTCAAGCAGATTCTTGTCTCTCTGCAGTCACATTCCGTTCCTCTATACTTGGCTAACACACATTTCTAGAATGGGTGACTATGGTGAGAACTCGGGCTCAGTTGGAGGTGTTGATCCACCTATCCCCACCGTCACAGCCCAGTCCGGCTCCCTGTACGGTGACGCGAGCCTCCTCGGCGGCAACGCCCCGCTCCCGGATGTCAATTCTCAATCAGCCGTCGTCCCCAATCCGCAGATGGTTCCCGGCCAAGATGCAGACAGGAAGCTGGGGCTCTACCTCGACTTCAACTCCGTCGAAGCGCCCCAGCCCCTGAGGGGAGGATTGGGCGCCACCGACCCCGGCCCACGTACTTACTACTACGAGAGGATCAACCCCGACCTGTTTGCCCCCCCTGGCACAGACAATGGCGATGTCGAGAACGCCATGTGGCCTCTGGGCCTGTCGCATAACCGTTTCGGTACAGACCCCGGCGCCGGCTGGGCACGTCAGCAGAACACGGACGTCCTGCCTGCGGCCACCGCCATGGCCGGCGTCGATATGAGGCTGGGCCCTAATTCTTACCGCGAGCTCCATTGGCACACTGCCAATGAGTGGTCGCTCATGCTAAAGGGCTGCGTTCGTGTTTCCACCGTCAACGAGAACGGGGCAACTGATGTCGATGATGTATGCGCTGGTGATGTTTGGTTCTTCCCCTCGGGAGTTCCTCACAGCATCCAAGCCTTTGATGAGGGCTGCGAGTTCCTGCTTGTCTTCGATGACGGTGCCTTCTCTGAGGACGAAACCTTCCTGCTGTCTGAGATGATGCTACGCACCCCTATCAGCGTTCTCTCCAAGAATTTCAAGGCCGACCCCAGCGCCTTTAACAACATTCCTCAGGGCCAGAGATACGTGAGTTATTATCAGACTTTTACACCTCAGTTCGACCAAACAGGTGCTAATCTACCCAATAGATCTTCAACGGCAGGCCTCAACCCAAGCAGATTGACGAGACTCAGAACCTGACCGCGTCCGCCGGCTCGCTCGACGGTACCTCTAGCTCCTATACCTACCACTGGTCCGAGCAGGCGCCTTTCGAGACTCCCGGCGGCACAGTCAAGTTCCTGGACGCCTCCACCTTCCCCATCGCCTCCAACTTCGCCGCCGCCCTCGTGGTCGTCCAGCCCGGCGCCATGCGCGAGATCCACTGGCACACGACCTCCCCCGAGTGGAACTACTTCCTGCAGGGGTCCGCGCGCATCACGGTCTTCAAGGCACCCGAGGCCGCCCGCACCTTTGACTTCACGGCCGGCGGTGTAGGCTACATCCCGCAGGCTGCATCCCACTACGTCGAGAACACCGGCACCGAGGACGTTATCTTCCTCGAGGTCCTGCAGGCGCCTAGGTTCTCCGACGTCAGCGCCGTCCAGTGGCTCGCCCTCACGCCCAAGCAGGTCGTCGAGGACCACCTCAACGTGCCCCAGGGCTTCTGGGAGAGCCTGCCCAAGGAGAAGGAGTTCATCAAGCAGGGCCCCCTCAACATGACTGACCTGTCTTCTGCCCCCATCGCCACTGCTGTCCCCGTTGTCATCCCCAGCGCTTCCCCGTCTGTTGTTGCACGTGGTGTTGAGGAGAAGAAGAGGGAGGTCACTTTCTTTGCTTAATTGTAATTGGTGGATCGGGACAATTGTTGATTAATTCGACAATTGTGGAGTATTCTTCTGTATATATTTAGATCGTGTCAGTTTTGCCAGCGGAGGTGTTTTGCCCTCTAAGTTCTTCATTTTTTCACTTCATGTTTTTGCTTTTCGTGTTTCTCTTTTTTTTTTTTTTTTTTTTCCATAGATGATATCTGAAACTAAATGACGTATGAATTATTCTTTTTAAAAATAACCCGGTGCCGAACCCAACGTAACTACGTGGCCGCTTGCTCCTCAGGCTCATGCTCTTGAACACTCCCTCGGCCTTGCTCTCGCCTCTCGAACCAAACCCTGATCTCCCTGCCCTTCCACATCAAAACCATGACTGGCACGAAACCAAGCACACTACCCCATACGACAAACAGCAGGAAAGCAAACCGATACCCAATTTTCTGACAAAATAACACGACATAAAATGCATACGTCATACCAAACACCTGCCTAAGGAAGTTAAAAAACGTAGCAACATCCCCACCACGCGCGCGGTAACAGTCAATACTATACGTATAGCATGTTGTGGCTATAGGCTGCAGCGCAAACACGCTCAGACCCATTCCAAAGAGCGGTACGAACCAGTGTGTCCGGTACTCGATGGTAAAACCGTAAATCAGCAACCCCGCAGGCAGAAGCAGCGCCCCTGTCCAGATGGCCTGCAGCCGCGCCTCGGGCTCCGGGTTGACCCCGGCGGCGCGCCGCCGCGCCCTCCTCACGATGGCGTCCAGGATCACGCCCGCGACGCTCTCGCCCAGCACCCCGCCCACCGTCAGCGCCCCGCCGTACGCGAGCCCGATCTCGAGCGTGTCCCACCCGAAGCGCTCCTTGAAGACGGCGGCCACCGTCACGGCCGGGAGGATGCTCCCGAACCCGTACTGGGCCGCGTAGTAGGCTGCTGGGAAGAGGACGGAGGGGTACTGCGCCATTCGGAGGGCGGGCCAGATGAAGTCGTGCAGGTGCAGCTTGAGGCCTGGGAAGGGGCCTGCGTATGGTCTAAGGCGGGCGAGGTAGGCTTTGGGTCCCAGGGGGGATGTCCCGGTCTCCTCTATCATGTCGGTCGTGGCTACTTGGGTCAGGTCGTCGGCGATACGTATGTCACGCACGTAGAGCGTCTCGGGTAGCCCGACGAGGATAACGAGGAACATCGCCCCGTCCATGATGGCCGTGAACTTGAAAATCCACCGCCAACCAAGGAACTGGCCTAGGAGCCCACCCAAGATAGGTGCGATGTGCGCGCCGGTCGTCAGCATCACCGTGAAAAGCCCCATCGCTCGCCCCCTCTCGTGGACGAAGAAGCAGTCCACCACCGTGCTGGGGCCCAGGGCCATCGCTGCCGGGAACAGGCCATTCACGACACGGGCGCCAAGGAGCTGACCATACGTGCGAGCGTAGGCGGATCCGAGGATGGAGACAAAACCCAGCAGCGTGGTGAAGAGGTAGACGGGTCTCCGCCCGTAGACATTTGCCAGAGGGACCCATAAGAATGGGCCGATGCCGTTGAGGACTATGACGACGGTGGTCTGGTACGAGGCTTCGACAATGCTAATGTCGAAGTCGCGGGCGAGCTGGCTGTAGGCTGGGTTGATGATAGCTGTGTTAATCGTGCCGAGCGCAGCAAGGAGGCAGACCTGGATGAGAACCAGGATCTGTTTAGTAGTAATTAGCAGAAAGGGACTTGCTCTGCTGTCTGATATCCAGGTGCTCACTTTGAGAGACAAAGCCCAGTTGAGTGGGTTTCGAGGGTCGTCAGATGGACGAGGGAGGAAAGTGCCCCTGTCGTTCTCAATGCCACGATCATTCGTTTCTACATTTTCATTTCTTTCGAATTCGGGTTTCTCGCTGTTTAGATCGCCTGCCCGAAAAGATGCCATGATCACCTAGCAGCAAGTATAATTTCGAAACTCCCCGTGTCGTGATATCAACTTGACCAAGCACAATGCTCCCCGAGGATCGGCACAAGATTTTAGAGACTACGGTTCAGAATTGGATGCGGGATCAGCCACACGAGTGCGAGAGGGTATAACATTTCCACAGCTTAAATCAACAATTCGACGCCGTTGTAGATGATTAAAATGACACCGGAAATGTGGGCGGCAATGGTCGAAACCCCGCATCGCGATCGGGTGTGATGACGACTGCCGTCGGGAATGCCATTCTCTAGATGGGTGGAGCAATGGCAATTAGCACGTCTGCCTGTGCTCAGCATAGTATTTCTAAGCAAATTCAATGGCTTCTGTTGTAATTCCAGTGCGGTTGGTTTTCCGATGACATGGGAAATTTACTAGACCTATTGACGCGGTCGTAGAAGTCTGACATCTGGAGGACAACTTGAAGTGCTGTCATGCGGCCTATCTTTGAATCAATTCCACAACTCTCCCACTAATATCAGTCCACCAGCCTTTCAATTTCTACAAAGACCAGTAAAACCTCTGAAAACACCGTCCAAAATTTCATCAATTTGTGCTCCAGTTCAGTGCTGGGAGCCTTCGCCAGCAAATGTTAAACCGTCAGTTGAACACATACAACGAGTAGCTCCAGAGACCGAGCCAAAGGCTGGGAAGTTACGCCTTGCCGAAAGTTCAGCCAATGTTGTACTTGATTAGAGTGTCTCCCGTAACAGAAAAGTAGCATTAATTACTAGCAGATTTTACCTCATTCGTTACTATATACCAGACCATCCCACTATGATGAGTCTAAATCATGAACACGACGACTATAACACGTCGCTCGATATTACTAATCCTGCTCAACAGAGTGCTTTCACAGTCCTGAATTGAGCAGGGCTTGAGGCTCCAAATGCCTTCCATCATGATATCTTTATAAAAATCCTTGTCGTTATTCGTAATCTATTTAAGTACTTGAGTACGAGACAAGAGGAAAGGAAGACTGGAAAATTCGTCAACTGATGTTGTTGTATGATCCCATGGATGCAAGGACGCCCAGGTGTCGAGCAACACTCTTCGAGGGGCGGATCACCGGGCAAAACCGCGGACCGGCGCCCGTAGGCTGTAGATCACCCCGCAAACAACATCGTGGAGAACGAGCTTCTTCGGCACTACGCATGTAGTTCAGTACCTACTTAGCTACGCAGTGTGACTGTTCTCGGTACGGTCCGTGATCTCTATAAAGGCTACCGCTTCGTTTGACGGTTGTGGCCTTCTTGCTCAAGATATCGGTACACACTGGAGGGCCCAATTTGACATCTCGAACGGCAAAATCCAAATCTAAGCAGTATGTATTCTAAGAACCACTTGCACAATTTAATACTTTTTTGTCTGCTATGGTTTACGAAAATTTCTCATTCCATGGTAAATGTTTCAAGCAGCATTCGGGTTCACGAAGTACCAAAGGGTGTAACAGCTAGCAATGACTTCACCGTTCAAGCTCGTATAGCTGGAATTGACCCCTGGTCGTTGTTGCCTTCATATGCGTCAAATTCTGCTGAGCAGAATCTGACCCGCAACGAGTTCAACATACATCCTATTACTATCAGCTCGGTGGATTATACTCAAGGTCCTCTTGAAGTCCGAGTGCAATACGATACTGGGGTAATCCATTCCGCTTCAATCAGACCGAAATCTTTGGGAATTGAGACTCTTGTGCAAGGAGATTTCATCAGCTTCACGCTTCGACGACACGTGGATCTCATGTTGGAAATCAACAACGACAAGTGGCAGGCATTACATTTGCTTACCAATGAGATTGACCAAAGTGCGCCAACCGCAGATTCCGAAAATGTGTGGTATTTCGGACCGGGTCTAAACAATGGCTCAGCATACGCAAAAGTTGACGGGGGCAACCTAACGGTCCCATCGGGCACAACCGTGTATCTTGACAGCGGTGCATTTCTCAATGCTAGAATATTGTTCAACAACGTGTCGAACTCTGGCGTCCGCGGGCATGGATTCCTGTACAATTCGCCAAATGGCGGCGCCATTCTCATCGAACGTTCATCAAACATCATCGTCGAAGGCATCACCTCCTTGAACGCGACTGGTTTCACCCTCACGACAGGCGAAGCACGGAACGTCCACATCAACCGTTACCGCTCTTTCAGCTCCGTTGGAAACGGCGATGGCCTTGACTTTTTCTGTTCACAGGATATCCTTGCCGAGAACTGCTTCCTTCGCAACTCAGACGATAACCTCGCTATTTACGGCCACCGCTGGGATTACTATGGTGACACCAAGAACATCACGTTGAGAGACTCGGTCTTGCTGCCGGATATTGCACACCCGATCAATATTGGGACACACGGGAACCCTGAGTCCCCCGAGACTTTGAGTGACATTCATATCAGTAACATCGACATCCTGGACCACAACGAGGGGCAGATGTGGTACCAAGGTTGCATCTCAATCAATGCGGGCGACGCGAACCACGTCCATGAGGTGCTCATTGAGGATGCCCGGGTGGAGAAGATCACAAAGGGTCAGCTGGTCAACCTTCGTGTCATGCAGAATGGCAGGTGGACCACGGCGCCTGGCACCAGTATCCGCAACGTCACGTTCAAGAATCTGGAGCTGGATATGGGGAACTCGAAGTTCGTGAATCCGTCCCAGATTCTTGGATTCAATTCGACCAGGAACGTTCAAAATGTCACATTTGAAAATCTGACGGTTGGCGGGGAGCTTGTCTACGAAGACATGTCTAAGCCGGGGTGGTTTATGATTTCTGACTATGTCCCTCTATTCGCGAACGAGCATGCATTGAACATTTCTTTCAGGCTGAGCAGGTAAATTAAGAATACTCCAGAGTACAGCAGAATTGCTATTGGTTTAGTAGACACCTCCATCAAGTACTGAGTCGCTTCTACCTAAGTACCTAGGTAGGATAAATGAAGACTGGAAGGGCGAGTTGTGCAAATTCATATTGACCTTGGGTCACACTACAGCCGATCAGACACACTCTTGTGAACACAATATACACGTTAATGTCACATTTTGTTAAGTGTGAGCATCAAGGCGGGGGCAGGTATACAATGACGATTTCTTACTAGACAACATAGATATTACTTGGGCACAGAACTAGGTGCTCACAGGGGTTGGGAACGAATAAATTTGAATTTTGATCCCATTACTGGTTAATCAATCAAAACCCGTTCACTAATCAACTCAACCCCTTTTTATGTCCTCCCTGTTTCACCTATTATGTATTCCAGCTCAAACATCATGCCCCCCGAACAAGCAAAACGTACTTAAGTATGTAGCGCCTTCATAAACTGGTAAGTCAGCCGATGGGCCCACACACATCCCCACCTACACACAGCCGTTTCCCACTAAAAAATATAAAAGTTTATACTTTAAATCTTTATTTATTAATTCTATATAAATATATAGAAGACGTAATTTTAAATATAGTTTTTAATTTATAAATAATATATATTAAAAATATTTTATAATTTTATAACTTATTCTTTTTAATAAATTAATAGAGATAAAATAATGAAAGAATTTATTAAGAAACTTAAATATTTTAAAAAATAAATAAAAATTCTATTAGCTAGGCTTACGTATATAAGAGTGGAAAATAGTAGTGTTAGAAGTGGTTAATTATTAGTAACTAACTATTAGAGGGTTACTCGAAGAGCCTATATAAGTAAATACCTTCCCTACTAACTAAGCCTAATAAAGGACTATTATAACTACTATAAATTCTTTAATAATATTTAAAAAAGTTTTCTATTATAAAAGGATTAATTAAATAATAAGAAACTTTTATTTTAAAAGTTTTTATTGATAAATATTTTTATAAAATTAATTATTAAAGGTTTAAAATAAGTAAAGAAATTAAAATAAAGAAAATTTAACTTTTTTTATATTTTTAATAATTAATTTTAGAAATTAATTATTAATTATATTTTCTATTCTTTTAATATATATATTTATATTTATAAAATAGTTTAAAAATTAAATCTTTAAGTATTAATTAAATTTTTTATTTTTTAAAAGAAAATAAGTTAAAAAAACTAAATTTCTATCTTTTTATATAATTTAAATATATTAGAAAATTCTTATAATTCTAATATTTTTATTATATATTAAGTAAAAAGGAAGGATTTAACCTATGTTTTATTATATATATAAGATTTATATAAAATTAAATAAAAAAGTATAGAATTTAGCCTTTTTAGTAGGAAATAACTATGTGTGGCTAGGGGTGTGTGTAGGCCCATCGGTTAACTTAAATACTAAAGACCTAGCTTTTAAAAAAGCACGATGCTAATAAAAGTCCAAACAATTGAAAGGCATGAAAGGGAATAGATTGTGTTTCGTAGACATACTTATCAGAAACACTAAGGAGATAACGCCAAATTGCTTAAAAAGGGCGGGAAACTAAGTTGCGCCAGTGCAGCGCTATGGGGGGTAGCTCTAAAGCCAGAGTAGTCCACAGAATACTAGAGGAGAATTGAACTGTATAAATTACCTAGGTGTACAGTACAAAAGATTCGAAAATCTAAATCTAAAAGTCATCCAATACCCAATAACAAGCACGCAAAATCTACCTTAACCAAAGAACACAGCTGAAAGCAGTACGACGCGCCCACAAATCGAGCTTTCCACAATTCCCCTGGCTTTTCTATATGTCAGGGATAATTTATTAGAGACACCTCTTACCCTGGGCGAAGATCTCCAGCAACAATGATTTTACCGGATCACAGATTTTGCAAAACAGACTCGGAAGTCATAATCCCACGTTTCTTGTTTCGTGGATTCAACGGGACCACTGGGGGCGGCATGGCAGGATTGAATGATCCTCAGGGGATAGTGCCACATGCACATCAATTAGGGTGGGACACAAAGGACCAAGTCGACAGGGAAATCAAGCCAAAGTGGCTGCAAGAGCGAGTCAAAATTCATTGTTGCCAGGAAACTTACTACCCAACGCCATTCAGCTCATGGTCGCATGATTGGAGGACTGCTTTGGGGTTCTGCCTCGCGTATTCTCGACTAAATAGGGACGGGAGGAACTTCGACTCTCGGACCAGTCATATCGCGGTTCTAGACACCTGGGCGTTGGGGGACAGGAACATGCTGCGAAACAAGATCTTCCACGTGAATCAATTCGGTATCCCACGAGTCCACTGCTTGTGCGAATGGCTCATATGGGGTCCTGTGTCTGGACCAGCATACCGCTGCGTGTCATTGACTGACATCCGAAAAGCAACCAACTGTCGCATCTGGCCGAATCATAACAGCATGAGAAATCCAACGCCCTACCTGACCGGAGCGGAAATTCGCAAGAGCATCCTAGTCGCTGGGTGCTTCCAAACGAAAGGCGATGACAGCGCCGACGTTATGCTGGCAGTGGCGGCCGCCGAGCTGGCCCGCAACTTCTGGGGGAACTATGAATGGGTCCATGCCGACGGAGAGCCAGAATCAATATTCGGCGCCGAGCCTCTGTGGCCCCGACACATGCTGAAGCAGGTCCTTGACCTCTTTTCCGCGTTTGAACCAGTGCTTTCGGGTCGGCCCCTAGTGCATGGTCACACAGCAATCGAGGGCTTTCCACGGGTAAGCCTCATGAATGACCTTTTGTTGGCTGTGGAGGCGCTCTGCAGAAACAACCTTTCCCGCAAATGCTGGGTTGTGGTTGACTTCAGCGTATGGAAGGAACCTCTGTGCAAGGCTTGTTACAAGCCTAGGTACCAACCTCGGAGGCCAGGATAAGCTACTGGTCCCGAACTTCGAAATATGCTCACAGTTAGGAGACGAGGCTTTGTGAGAGAGGTTAGTTGGCATGAGTTTGAAAGTCGTGTGTGAGAACTTGCAAGGGCTTTATGGAGTACCTCTGGCTTGAGTTGGTGGCAGGAGTTGGTCGACGTCTTCTGGATGTCTGATATCTCAGTCCAGCCTTCTGTGGTGTAGGCCCTAGGTACCTAGTTACCCGAGGGTCAGACCTTTGGTTGCCCCCTACGCCTCCCGGCGTAGGGGGTGCCAAAACCCCCGCACGGCCAAAACCCCCACACACTTAAGAAGAATAAAACACTATACTTAAATTAGTCTAACTTATTTAAATAGAAATAGTATAATATAAAAAAATAGTTTTATAAACCTTATTTTTTAAGGAATTTAAAGAATATAGATATAAAATTTTAGGGTTAGAGTTTAACTAGATTTTATTACTTTTTTATATTTATATTATTATAAATATTAACTTTAATTAATTTTATATAAATATAAAAAATATATTATTATAATCTTTATAAAATAAAAAATATTTATAAAATAAGAAATAAACTCTAAAGTTAGAGTTTTATAACTTATATAAAGTATATAAAGTAAAGAAAATAAATAAAGTAAATAAAGTAAAGAAAATAAATAAAGTAAATAAAATAATAATTTTATTTATTAATTTTATTTATTAATTTTATTTATAAATTTTATTTATTAATTCTATTTAATAATTTATATATTAATATTTTATTTTATTATTTTAATTTAAAATTAAAGTTAATTTTAAATTAATAAATTTTATTTATTTAATAATTAATTAATTTATTTATTTATTAAATAAACTATTTATTTATTATATATTAAAATTTAAAGTATTTATTAAATAAATATAATAAAACTTTATTTTATAAATTATTTTATAAATTTAATTATATATATAATATATATATATATATAATTATATATAGTATTTATATATATATAATATATTTTATATATATAATATTATTATTTTATATTTATATTAATTATTTTATATTTATTTTTATTAATTAAAATTATAAAATATAATAAATTAATTTTAAAATTAAATTAATTAATAAATATATTTAAAATTAATATATTTATTTATTAAAGTTATATTATAAATTATATAAAAGAGTTAAGTTTAAATAAAGTTTATTTTTAAATTATTTAAATTTTTAAAACTATTTATTTTAATTTAATATTAAATAATAAGTAGAAATAATATATAAAAATAATAATATATTTTTAAAAATTTATTATAAAATTATAATTTTAAATTTTCTTTATTATTTTATAAATATTCTTTATTTTATAAGGATTATAATAATATATTTTTATATTTATATAAAATTAATTAAAATTAATATTTATAATAATATAAATATAAAAAAGTAATAAAATCTAGTTAAACCCTAACTCTAGAATTTTATACCTATTTTATTTAAATTCCTTAAAAAATAAGGTTTACAAAACTATTTCTTTTATATTATATTATTTTTATTTACATAAGTTAGACTAATTTAAGTATAGTGTTTTATTCTTTTTAAGTGTGTGGGGGTTTTGGCCGTGCGGGGGTTTTGGCACCCACTGCGCCAGTAGTGGGTTCCTCGGAGCGAGAGCGAACCCACGGGTAGGTTTGGAACCTCAATACCAGTGACTGTGAAAACGACAACTTTCAATCATCGCATCCACGTGGGCACAGACAGCCGTTTCGAAGGAAAAGTGGTGAAGAGAATCCGCGGGGTTAGACAGAGCCCCCTGCGCAAAGCAAATCAAGTATCCCCAGGGTTCCCTAGGGTCATGAATGTCGCCGTTTCATGAGCCTTTTTGCCCTGACGAGAGTCGTTCTACCCCTCAGCCAGGCGGTTGATCATCCATCCCCCCAAAAATTGCTTCAATCTATCTTGACGAGATAGACCAACATACAATTTCTCAGGAGGTAGAGCACATGTGCAGTAGATGTTTTGTTGATCCTTCCCACATTCGAGCCTCGCACAAATGGATGTCTCCCATCGGAATTCTCTCACCGTGGTGTGTTGTTTTGGTATGCAAAGCCTTCTAGTGGGAAGCAACTACTTTTCCTTTGACAGGGTTTCGTATTTACGCCGTCTTTGATGCCAAGCTCTTATACAGTCGTCGCTCTGGCATGTGCTTAAATTACACAACATTGAAAGCTGGACTTTCTCCTGGGCTTGGTGGATGTCAAGAACGGAAATATGATTTTAAGACAATTAACGAACGGACTAGGGCCCCCAAATGCCAGGACTCAATGTTCAAGATTTACCGTGTTGACTTGTCCAGTCAAGAGAACGTCACGTCGCATTGTTGATAGCACATGAGGGTATAGACACCCACCGTGCAGGATGGAATATATGTTCCTTAAGTGAGCCCCGGATACTGGTCGAAGGCCATATTAGCAACGTCAATATTAGTTTATATTGGGGGTATGGAGCGAAGCACAAGTGCTTCGCTCCACCTCTCTTTGAATCTGGTACAATTACAAGCGCTGCCCAGGTGGTGAATTGCTCAGAGCCCTGGAAGTCTTTCACACGTATTCCCTGCTTTTCAAAACACTATATTTTTTTTGGCTACAAAGACGATCAATCAAATGCGCACGTCATCGTCTAAAGTTGCCAATGGTGGACCCCGCCCGGGCGGGGTGGAATTACTAGTAGATGCAATCTCACCCACTCGCTAAAGACTCGGCCGACTTATTCAGGTACTTCTGTATGAGCCCGTCGCCGCAACCGCCATGCAACAGGATCTCGCTCTTGAGCGCGAACACATCGGCCTGCAGGCTCCTGGCGGCCCTCAGAAGCTCTTCGTGCTTCAGTGATATCTTCCTCTCCGTGGCTTCGAGCTCCGCAACCGCGGCCTTTGTTTTCATGCGGCACCTGGTGGCGGCAATCCGGTTTCGAGCGCGCTGGTCGGATAGCGATGCCGCCGGAGTGGGTGGCCGTCTCGCCCGGCGCTTCTCGCCGGCTGAAACTGATGCTCGTGAGCTCTGCGGTCGCCCCGGGGTTATCTGCGCCTCTGTATCTGCCGAGTCAAAGCTGGCATCAGGGAGAGCTAGCATGGGTTTCGTCGCAGAGTCGGGAGAAGAGGTGAGATTAATGGTCAGTGCGGAAGCGTTGCCGTTGATGCTTGGCTCCTGACACGGTCCGAGTTGTGGGTGATCGGACTTCTTCTTTTTGCGGGGCCGGCTGGGGTAGTGCGAGCCCGTGCGATGTGCGTGACGGAAAGGCTGGCTCCCGCCCGTTGTCGCTTCAGAGACTGATACATCCTCGGGGTCATGTTCATGTGCAATCGAGTTGCCGTTGTCCGAGATCATACCTGCTGGTAGTGTGCCACCTGCCCGAGCGGCTTGATCATCGCCGCCTGGACCGGGCGAGGGCCCAGACCACCACGGCATCCCGAAATCTGCTTGCACCAGGGAGCCAACATTATATTGCCAGGGTGTGGATGCTATGGCCTTGGTCCCATCGGGGGAGGCGGTGAAGGGGATGGAGATGTAATGCGTTGGGATCGGCGGCGATTCAATGGGGCCCACGGGAGGCGGATCTAGTCCTGCCGGTATTTCGCTCGCCCAAGTGTTGCCTTGGATGGATATGTCATGATTGCCGATGTTTGTGAATGTCGATGGGGTGAAGATGTTTTCCAAAGCATCGATGTGTTCTTCGACTGGCAGTATGCTGATGTCCTCACCCCGAAAGTCGCTTGATTGTGAATTGCAAGGCTGAAACCCGATCTCGTTGCCGTATAGTTCCGGCAGGTTCATCTTCAAGTGACTGTTGTATTCCGAGTTGTGCAATGCATGTGCAGTATCAGACGGGGGTGGACTATGGACCTCTTGGTCAGGTGCTGTTGTTTGTCTGTTGGAGCAGACCTCGGAAGGTTGTTTGCTTCGAGGGGGCCGGGGGGGGGGGGTTGGGACCTGATGCTAACGTATACGAAGCTAGCCGGCCTGTATGCCTCAAGTGCCCAGGTGAAGAAGAATGGACAAAAATGGTCTGCAACTCACCTCTCTGGCTGTAATGTAGAAGAATTAGCGGTTGCGTCCCAGGTGATCCCCACAGTAGTGGTGTCTGGCCTGTCCATTGATTTATACTTGAAGTGGCTTTTCGGTTACGCGCGCTACCTTTGCTTTGGGAAAAACTCAACCCATTAATATCGCTCGTGCCCAGATAGTGCCGGTGGCCCGGGATAGCGAACTCAACCTTGAAATACCACATAAATCCAAGCAACCCAAAGGCACAGATGATTTGCCAAGAACGAGGGGGTCACAGATAGGGCTGCTTCAGAACAGGGTTCTTCACGGCAGTGCCCAATGGGCGTCGATGCGGGTGGATATGGTTACTTCATTGGGAACAACTAACGCGACTGCCGATAAGGCGTATTCAATTGACGCCCTGTAAATCCAGTTGACGTAGCATAATATGGAATATGGTTTGAAACGATGGTCACCAATTCCTTAAGCATGGCATAGCGAGACCCTGACCATGGACAGATGTTGGCCCTCCCCACCCCGGCCCACTTGAGCACCGGAGCTGAGAGCTGAGAGAATGAGCGACGTATTCACATTTTCTTTCTCATTCAACCCAGGGACTAGGAAGCGTGAGAATGACCAGAGAGGAAGCATAAAAGTGACGGCCTTCTGCGGAGTTGTTTGGGTCACATTTGAGAGGCCTTGAGATATTCCAATTAGTAGCGACTATGTGAAAAAAGGGAAATCAAACACAAGTGAAGTCTATCCTGAAAAATGTGCTACTATTCAGTCCTATTTGGTAGTTCTGTAAGAACAAAACGCATGTTTCTGGGGAAGTCGTACAGAGGCGAAATGCCACGATGGAGCTGAAGGGCAGTACATATCATCCCCTGTTTGGCGCGGAACACCATCCGTGTCATCTAATTGGGCATCCGCGAGATTCCCGCAGCTCGGTCGGGCTGGCGGCCCGAGGGGTGTCTTTCTTTCTCCGCATGGCTGTCCGCCATGAAGGTCGGACGGCAGTCTGGATGTGTTCTTGAATTTGTGGGGAAATGGAGTTCAAGGGATTACAGAAGTTGTTGGGCTGATCGCATGTGCAACGTTGTACCACTCGTTCACGAGATCCGACTGGTTCCTACACCATGGGTTAACAACGTGCGGATGGATACGTGCTGCAGACTGAGTCCAGGCCTCGGCTCTGTGCAAAACAGACTGAAGGACCCCGGCATATCTGTTACCTGTCAAAGCATACCTAGGTATCTCCATGACCCTGGGAGTCGTGAAACCATGGATCAGCAAAGAATGCTCCGTTGAGATCTTACGTTGTCTTTTAACAGAACAGGGGCTTGACATGTAGGAGGTGATACTTGAGGTGCATGGGGCAGTGCAACTCACAATATTGTAGACGTAGCACGGTTATGAAGCGACTCGCTGCCGTCTAACAGACCCCCAGGCCGCCCGAAGTTGGGAGCATTTTCACGTGCGATTTCTTTACCCATGGCTTTGATTGTTGTGTCCGTTCCTTGTCTCAGCCACAATTCATTTGTATTACTAATGAGACTTGACAATGCTACATGACAGTCATGCCCACGTGAAGCTGGTTACACAGTAAAAGCAGAGGCATGAACTGGTATCTTCTATCTAACCAGGTTGGGGTTCGAGAATACTATCTGGCCATGGCCTTCTCCGCGGTCAATAGTTTGTCTTCGGTATCAGGCATCGCAAACACCAAGGTAGGGCCCAATTTAGTTGGTGAGAATTTACAAAAGGGCTGTAAGAATGAAGGGATAGATTTCTCTCAACTATAGACCTATTTAGGAGGGAGAGGACGGTCCCTTTTATAGACAAAGGCAAGTCCTCTAAACACCCACTAGAATACCATAGAAATCAAGAGAAATAAGCATTTCTTATATAAGTTAATACCTTATATTTAAAGGACTAAAATAATAGTTATATTAGACTATAGATAAATATAAAGCCATTAATAAATAGAGTATTTTTATAATTCTCTAAAAGCTAGATATATAATATAAATTATTTAAATAGCTTTTTAAAAAAATATAAGTATTATTTAATCTAATTTTAAAAATTTATTATTAAGAAAAACCTTTATAAAAATAAAAACTTAATAAATAATTATAATTATAAGTATTTTAATTAAATAAAACCTTTATAAAAGCTTAGTTTATAAATAAAATATAAACTATATATATATTAATAATGTTTTAATTTAATTTATTAAATAAAATAAAAGCTAAAAGTTTAAAAGGTTAATTATATTAATAATTAAACTTAAAATTTTAATATATAATTATAATTATTTTATTAAAAGATTTTATAATTATATTTATATATTATTATATTTATTTATATATAAATATATTTTATATAGTTTAATTACTATATTTAAACTATTATATTATATATATTATAAATTTATAAAATATATATAAATTTATAAGTTTATAAATATAAATTAAATATAATAATTATAATAATATATAATATATTATATATTATAAATTAAAAGAATTACTTTAAACCTTTATGTTAAGTTATTTTAAACTTATAAGTTAGGAGTACTTTTAAGTTTATTTAGTATATTTTTAATGTATTTTAATAACTTATAAAATATAGAAAAATTTCTACTTTTAATAAGAATTTTTAATAATTAAAAACCTTTTAATATATAGAGTTAATTTTAGTTTTTAAAGAAGAAAATAATCTATTTATAAAAGTAAAAACTAAGTATTTTTATTTAAAAGTTTATTATTTTTAAAAAATACTTTTATTAGATATATTATAGTAAATATTTATAATTTATTTATTATTTTAAAATATTCTTTTATTTTAAAACTCTTTTATATATATATAAAATATTTTTATATTTATTTTTATATAAATTATACCTTTTAACTAACTTAAATTCTTATTTAACTATAAGCTTTATTAATTAATTTATAAAGTTATTTTTATATTTATTTTAATAATTTTAATTAAATTTTCTTTAATTATATATTTATTAAAATAATATATAATATTTATATATTTAATTTATTTATAAAATATTTAATTTTAATTAATTTTAAAATAGTATTATTATTTTTATATATTTTACTTTTAAAATATTATACTTTAATTTTAAAAATTATTAAAATAAATTATTAAATTATATAAATAAATTTCTTTTAATAGCTTTTAAAGTTATATATTTAGTTTTATAAATACTTAATATAGATATTTTTATTATTAGGAGAATTAAGTAATAAAGTTAAATATATTTTTATTTTTAATAAATAAAAAAATATATAATTTAAAATAGATTTTCTATTATTTATATTATTACCTTAACTTAAATTATAATAATTTATTAAATATAAAATATTTTTTAAATATTAAAATTTTTATATATATTAAAAATTTTAATAAATATCTTTATAATTTATTTAATTCTTTAAAATATTTTATATTAAGGTTAAATATATATTTAATTAGTTTAAATATTAAAAGTATATATTTAATTTAATTTTAAAATTACTATATAAAAAAGCTTATTTATTATTAAAGAGCTTTTATTTTTAAAAGTTTAATTTATATTTTTTTAAAGTTTTTAAAAATATAAAATATTAATATTAATTTTATTTTAATATTATTAATATAATTATTTTTAAATATATTAAATTTTATAAATATTTTAAAATATATTAATTTTAATTTATAATAATAATTTTATTATTTTATTAATTTTAATATTATTTTTAAAATTATTTAATTCCTTTTAAAAATTAAATTTATATTTTAAATATTAAAAATAAATTATTTATAATATTTAAATTAATATTTAAAATTATTATATTATTTATATAATATATAAATATTATTTATAAATTTATATTTATAAATATATTTTATTATAAAAATATATTTTAAATTTAACTTTTATTAAAATATTAATTAAATATTTATATTATAATAAAGATATTTATTTAAAATTATATATAACTTTTAATAATATAGTAGCTTTATTTTTATATTTATTTTTATTATATATAAAGTTAGAAAGTTTAATATATATTTTATAGTTTATATTAGAGTATAAAAAATATTTTTATATTATAATTTAATATATATTAATTTTATTAATTATTATAATTAATAATATATTATAAATTTTTAATTTATAAATAATTAAAAGTTTTAAAAATTTATTTTAAATTATTATTTATAATTATAAATAATTTATTTAACTTTATATTTAATAATCTTTTTATTAATTATTTAATTAAATTTTATTATATTAAAATTATTTATATATTTCTTTTTAATACCTATTTACTAAATAATATAATTTTATTTTTAAATAATATAATTATTTTATAAAAGTTTTATTTTTAAATTATTCTTTTATTTATTATAAATTTAAGTTATAAATTTTTTAAAAGAATTTAATATTTCTTTTATATTAAAGGTTTAACTATAATATTAATTATTATAATAATAAAAGAATTATTAAAATTATTTATAATAATATTTATATAAATATTTTTAATAAAATATAATTTTTATACCTTTTATTATTATTTTATTTTTATAAATATTTCTTTCCTTATAGAAACTTTTTCTTAAATTTTATTTTCTTTTATAAATATTTCTTCCTTTATAAAATTTTAATATTATTTTTATTTTTAAATTTATTAAATTTATTAAAATTTTCCTTTTAAAATCTATATATCCTATATTAATATAAGTTTATTAGTCTTTATATTCTAAACTTTATATATATATATTTTAAA